ATTAAACCACACATCAAAGTTTCTCGGATCTTATATCGATGCCTTCCTAAAGTGGGACTACGATGTAGATAGTGTTTGTAATAAACTGAACAAAACGTTTTTCGCAATGTTAACAATCAGAGATTCTTTCTTTGAAAGCTCCTTGTTGACTTGCTGACTTGTAAACTGGGGACAAGCGAGTGATGCGCAGAGGGTGTTCATTCAGCAGAAAAGGATACTTAGGTTAATTTTCAGACTGCCCCCGAGGCTATCCTGCAAAGATATATTTATAAGATATAAAATACTAATAGTGCCTTGCATATATTTATTTAAATTATTCATCATCGTTCATAAAAATAAAGGCTCTCACAAGAAACACACGGATGTCCACGGTTATAACACCCGAAACAGAGAACACCTTCTAAAGCCAAGACTGAACCACATCTTTTACAAAAAGTCGCAAAATTACGCAGGACCTTATTACTATAATTGGCTTCATACAAGCATAAAAGCCTTATCTACAAGACAATTTAAAAAGTGCATCAGAAAGCTTCTGTCAACCAATGCTTTCTACGACCTGAAACAATTTGAAACATATATTACAGGACTGCCCTGATGAGTTTAGTGATATTTTCTCTACATTTTGTCAATATGTTTGTACTGTTTGTATATCCGTTTGTAACTATTCTATACTGTACTGTTAAAAGTGTGTTATCATATTGTTTATATACATAATTCCATGTATCTTGATACTACTCTATAATGTACTCGTTTCCTGACGAAACATCCACTGTATACATACTGGGCTTTGTGAATAAAACTATCTATCTATTTAGATTTATCCAAAAACAAGAGCAAAGATTCTTGGCAATTAATTATCACCGAGAGGTGTAGCACAAGTAAATGTAATTTAACGAAAGATTTATCCTCTCATACTCAACCTATTTTTTACCACTGTGGCGCATAAAATGTCAGAAATTTCGGACGAAATTCCTGCTAGGCTATCTGAGTTGATGCATAACTTGATTAAACCTAAATGCTCATTCAAATTTTCCCTAGTTCCTTCACCAGAGGTCGAGCAGATTATAATGTCTTTGAATAATTCAAAAGCTTTAGACTTTCATTGTTTGAACAGTAGGATTATTAAGGAATATATCCGGAGATTTTTAAAGGTGAAATGTCTGACCCTAATAATTACCCACCAGTCTCAATTATCCCAATAGTTTCCAATAAAAATATGTATTCTCAACTATCTTATTATTTTGAATCAAATACTTTAATAAATCCAGACCACTTCAACGCTGTGTGACCTCTCCAAGGCCTTTGACTGCCGCAGTCATTCAATTTTAATGGAAAAACTGGAATTTTATGGTTTGGAACCCATTGCGCTAGAGGTATTATCCTCTCATCTCCCTAATAGAAAGCAAACACTTTTTTGCTGTGATAAAATGTCAAATGTAATGCGCGGAGTTCCACAGGGTTCCATTATGGGTCCATTATTGTTTTCAGTTTATATTAATGATCTCTTTGGCCCTGTAGCTGCGGTTAGTTTTGCAGATGACTCCACATTTAAAACATCAAATACAAATGTAGATATTATTAAAGAAGGAACACAGGAAGGAATCACCTAAAATTAAATGAGGATAAAACTCACTCGTTAGTCTTTTCAACAAATATAAATATTTCGGAAGGAAAATCTGCGAAGTTGTTGGGTGTGGTCATGGAAGATAGGCTCTCTCGTAAGGACCATATTGCTTACTTAGTAAAGCGCCTCTCCAATGTCAACTTTTTGTTACGACGATTGAAAAATTTAATCGGAAAGGATTATCTAGTCCCGAGCTACTATGCTCTTTTTCATTCAATTTTATCATGTGCTGTTATACTGTGGGGAAACTCAATAGATTCCATAAAAATGTTTCGTATGCAAAAAAGAGCGATCAGAATTATATCCAACCCAGGATATAGAGACCAGTGTCAACCGCTGTTTCAGGATTTTGATATTAGAAATTCGTAACTCAAAAAATATGTTTTCAGTTCACTCGGATAATCATAAATACCCCACTTCCTCCTCAAATTTGCTTCGAACTAAGGAGTTTAAATACACTAAAAAAATGAAAAATTTTCTTTGCCTACGTTTATATAACTTAATTCCAAATCGAGTCACAAACTTGCTATTTGAAAATTGTAAAACCCAAATAAAATCTTGTTTTTACTCTGTAGAATAATACAAGTGGAAGGTAAAATATATTACCTGATTATCCGATCCTTGATGGTGGCCACCATTTGGTTGTGTTCGGTATCTTCCTTTTTTTTTCATTTTTATTCTTGTTTGTTTTTATTTGTTATGTATTACGTTGTTGTACCTATTATTATTGTAGACTTTATCTAATCGTATGTGTATAAGCATATATGCGTGTGTATACATATGTATATAATTGTATATTTTTTGCTCTTTTGTACTTAAACGTGATGTGAACATACCATGTATTGTAATTCAGTCAAATAAAAAAAATAAATCTTAACTTAAAACAAACACAACTCACGAACAGTTAAGCTACGTTATATTAAAAGAACGGAAAACTAAAATTTTTAATAAAATCCATAATGAAATCACAGACTATATATATCGCGATACGGTTCTGGACGACATTAAAATTTACGAAGATCCGAATCGAAAACAAAATACTCCCCGTACGCAATATTAAAATGAATAACTCCGGTCCTACATACATATTCGAGTTCGAACAATAAACCTTACAATCTACGTCAGCAATTTTCCAGCGTGCGTATACATAGCATTGTATATCTACAAACGAGCACTAAATATAAATGATATATTATTATTAAGTGTTACTAATTTGCGGGCGTTTATTTCCACGTTCAATTATTTAGCGGGCGGATCTCGAACGCTCGCGAAATACTAAGCGCCATGTTTTTTTTTTTACCTATTATAGAGATTTTTGTGCAAAACAATAGAACGGTTAAAGTGACTATGTCGTCGGCCGGTAATTTATTAACGACTTCGGATAATTATTATGACCGTTATTCATTCACTGTCGGGGGACAGGAAGTGAAATTTATCGCGAAACATTTTAAATTTAAAGGTTAACAGTATCCACACGCTATCTCGAAGCAATTAGAAAGCAGTATTTAATAAATTTCATTGTCGTTTCGAGCTTTTCGAGCCGGCCATAACGTGGTTGCCTTTTTTCCGAATTTTTAGTGAAATGTCAAGGTTGTGTTTCGTTTTGGAAGTTATGCAAAAGACCATTTTGGGTATTAGTATCAGGATTAGGATCTCTAACCTTGCGTTTCTCACAAAATTCTAAACTATACTTCTACGAAGTTAGGGTAAAGCTCTCTTAGATGGTTTATGTTGATTTTATCTAATCAACCATTCTGGAAAAGGCCGCTGTAGTGCCTCAATAATAATAATAAAATTATTTCCGTCAATTGACACAAAAAAAATTTACCATTCAATTCCACAACCCTATGCCTCAAGGTTGTTGGTCCACTCGTATTCGTCATATATACAATTATTTTACGAGGTGTGTTCAAAAAGTAAGGTGACTTTTGTAATTTGTGCGGGCTACGTACATTCGATCTTCGATATATTTTTTTGTTATGTTGGTACACAGGTCCCTAACATTTGTTCACAGTTTCCGCCAAATTGCGTTAGACTGTTTTGTCAAAAATAAATGGAACAAAGATTTACATAAAATTTTGTGTAAAAAATGTAATACAGTGCTGCAAATTGCTTGAAATGTTGACAACGGCATACAGTGATCTTCTTTGATGAAAAAAAAAATGTTTATAAGCGGTAAAAGCTGTGAAAAGATGATCGACAAAGCGCCCATGACGAACATCGCTATGGGCGCCCCAATAAGTTAATAACTGATTAAAACTTTGAAGAAGTGAAACAAGTAGTGTTAAAAAATCGCCGAATTCACTCTTCGACGTCGGCATCTCTATTGCCTCGTGCCATGCAATTTTTTCCGAAGTTTTGGGCATGAAACGTGTAACAGCAAAATTTGTTCCGAAGCTGCTTAATTTTGAACAAAAGGACCATCGAAGGAACTATTAAACGACGTCAATGATAATCCTGATATGCTCAAAAATGTCATACTAGGTAACGGATCATTGAATCCAAGACCGAAAAAAGCAGGTGAATTTCGATCAAATCGTTTTGCTTGTTTCTTTGATTATCATGGCGTAGTATATCAAGAGTGCTTACCCTAACATCGCACGGTCTATAAAGAGACTTCAAGTTATGCGCCGTTTCCCAGAATCTATACGAAGAAAACGCCCGGAATTGTGGGAAAACTATTCGTGGATTTTGCATCACGATAATGCACCTGCTCGCTCATCGTTGCTTGTGTCTGGCAAAAAACAGAATCACAATCATGTCTCAGCCACCATATTTACCGGATATGGCTCCCTGTGACTTTTTCTTATTGCCAAAACTTCAGAGACCCATGAAAGGAAGGTGGTTTGGAACGATTGAGCTGGTACAACTCAAAGCTATACCAGGATAGTATGAAAAACGTTAGCACAAGTGTATTATATTTTGGGGGAGAGGCACTACTTTGAAGGGGGCGACATTAATTTTGATAAATAAATAAATGCTTTTTGATAAAACTTGTCATCTTATTTTTTAAAAACGTGTCCTATATGAAGCCGACCAGTAGCGTGCTATTTTCGGATGACACTACTACATCGGTATCTTCCAAAAATAAGAACGAATTGAATAAACAAATTAACATATTTTAACATAACTTTCTTTTTTTTTAAACCGCTATTCGAAAAATTTTCCTCCACCAATGATACACGTGGATAAATCATCAAGAAATGATGTATCGCCCATTTTTTAAGCACAATAGAAGAAATAAATAAAACACGAACTTCTGGCCAATACAGTTGGCTACATTGTAAATATCCACGTCGTACGCGTGGTATCGAGATTCTGTTAGCCCTTACCCTTTGCTGCCGTCGCCTATTTCATTTTGCAAATCTCTTTGCAGACGCTATGCACTGAAACGAACACCACAGACAGCGGCGTAGGCGACGACGACGACGACATGCAGATCTCAGAGGCGGCGGCGGGCGTTCCCACCGTCGGTTCAGAACCGTGTCGGTTCCCCAAGCTGGAAGAATGCGCCCACTTCCACTACGAGAGGGTGCAACTGCCCAAGCTCCACGTCACCTTGCAAACCAACATGGACCAGTCCCTGCACTCGCAACACAGTACGTATCTGATCGTCTCTTGACGAATCGTTGGTCGAAACGGCTCGTTTCGTTCTAGCAAACGACAACGAGGACGTCGAATGGTTCATGGTGCAGGTGACGTCCGGAGACGAGTGCTGGCTCCTCCAGAGAAACCTGGAGAACTTCCGTATGCTGGACGATCAGCTGCACCAGTGCATCTTCGACAGGAAGATATCGCAGCTGCCGGATTTGAGCGCGATGTCGTCCAACGAAGAGGACCTCGAGGTACGTTCGTAGTTTTTGATTTAAAACAAAGGAGAATTTCCCGAAATTCATCTCCAATGAAAACCTAAAAATTAAAGTGGTAACCGTGCGTTTCTTGTCATGTTTTGTTTAGTTCAACATTGCCATATTGTAGCGGAATGCTGCGTTGCCACTTCTCCCTAAAACTTGTGGGTTTTCTTTATGGTTTAATATACATGGCCGAATTCCGCTGGGTATTTCTTATCTCTCGGTTATTTATGGAAACAAAAAAATTAAATAAAAGTAAATACAAAATAATAAATTAAAATGAAAAGTGTTTTTACGTAGAATTTAGTCGCATAAGTTTATTTGTTATTGTTTATTATTAAGATTGTACCACCTTGAATTTATTGACAAATGCTAAACAGCCTTGAATATTGAATTTTTAGTTATAATCAAAATGAAATTAAATCGATTACCACGCCTAAGATTGTATCACTATGAAGGTGTACAAAAATGCGAAATTGAAGTGTAATAGGCGCGCCAAATTTCAAATATTTAAAATCGGAATTCGTAAAATTTTATCACTGTATCTTGAAAACAAACCTCAACGGTGTACCGAATTCTTGTTTTGTACTTCTAACGACTAAACTAATTGATATTTTCAAAATCAATACTAGAATAAATTTTCGAGATATTACGAAAACTAACATTTTCTTTCCAAAAATTGGCTATTTTTTAGCGCATTCGCAACAATTTATAGCTTAAATACTGGAAAATATTTTTTTAGTTGGCCATTATTTCAAAATAGGTATATAAAAAAACTTGTTTACAACATTGTATTATAACAGCATAAATGCCTAACGACAAGAGTTGTTCTATGCATTTCGACGCTGCTTGTAACTGAACGAGCGGTAGTGGTACTCTCTGAATGCATTTAATAAGATTTTTTCGAAGTTCTACATTATTTCTAGTATTAGATATTTCGTTTTTAAGAAATACTAAAAAATAAAAGTCGAGGGGCCTCAGGTCGGGGGAAGGTGGAGGTCCTCCGTTTGATGAATATGTACCAAGTCAATTTTTGAATAAATTGAGTCTAAGTTCCCTAACATATGTGCTATTATGTGCTGGAGCACCGAATTAGGAAAAAACAATCACCAATTCTTCCAAAATTCGTATGCAACCTTTCAAATGTTTGTTGTCGATTGTTCCGTCCAATTCCTTCCTTAAACACACCTCATCAGCCCATATTACATTTTGAAAGAAATTAATTTTATTTAATATTATAATGGAATAACTACAATATTATGCAACAAATGCGGTAAACGGCATTTGACTCACGAGTTTATTTGACACTAGCGGAGGGCAGTGGTGCGGTAAAATCCCGGAAATGTCCGAAGTGGCTCGGATTCACGGGAAACGAAACTGACGTGGTAAAGTGACGCTTCCCGCACGCTAGATCGGTGTGTAATTAGAGACGGGAGTAGAAAAAAATGTTTTCCGGTATTATTGCACAATATATTAAGTGTTTTTGTATTGTTGCAAGCTTACGAAAAGATGTATTTTTGAGATATTCAGTTACAATGAACTCGCATTTAAGAAAATGTTAGTTTCGATAATATCTCGAAAATAAAAACGGCCATATTTTTCTTAAATACGCCACTGAATTCTTTGTAAAAACTCATAAAAAACTATCGTATTTAAAGCTTTTTTATCTGAATAACTGATTGATAAAAGATAATAAAAACCGGGAAATTTTTAAAAGTAGGTAAACACTAAAAAAGGACAACCGGGCAGTTTTTTTGGATGTCTTGCGCTTCAGCGTATATCCTATAATATAAAACAAAAAAAAAACAATGTACACGGTGGGCAATTAAAAATTCGTCGTAAACACTTGGGAAACATTTTATTTCTGAAGTGGTCAAAAAAAAAACGTGAAAAATATTTTCACATTTAAAGTTTGTTATTGTCTAAAAATTCTTTTGAGTTTATCTATAAAAATGGTTCTAACTTAGGTAAAAAAACTAAATGAAATACTATATTTTTTATAAATAATTAAAATATCGATGAGAAAAATAAGACACCACAAAATTTTTAAAAGTCGCCATTTTTTTATTATTTTATTTTACAAGTATTTTTGGTTTACTGGATTGTAGGCAGATTATAAATAGTGGGTCGTAGTGGGAAAACACTGACGTTCAAAATATACCGCAAGAATATCGACAGCTCCATCATTTGTGCACGGCATTTTAATAGTTTTAATTCCTTACTTGTGCGTGCAGCAAACACAAATTACGCTGTCTCAATAAGTATAATTTGAATATTTATTTTGTTGACTAGTTGATTTTAGATACGTCAATAATACCTTCTTTGTTTTTTTGTCGAGATACGGGGCGAAATAGAAGCTTTGCACTTTTTATGGCGGTATTATATTTCGAGTAGACATATATATGTACATATACATACATACATACATACATATATATATATATATATATATATATATATATATATATATATATATATATATATATATATATATATATATATATATATATATATATATATATATATATATATATATATATATATATATATATATATATATATATATATATATATATATATATATATATATATATATATATATATATATATATATATATATATATATATATATAATATAATAATGACACTATATTCCGGGATATCATCCGTTCGCTTGTTGAACTCCGACTGGAATCTTGCATCCGACTGGAATCCTGCAGACGTTTCGTCAAAATCTCACTTGGCATCTTCAATGCTCGCGCTCCGAAAACACTTCGAACACTAGAAGGTTATCGGCGGTGCGTGCGGTATTTATACCATGCGCCGAAGATGGTGACGGTGCTGCTTGTGCGGGAGGGGAGGTGGCTCCGCAGATGTTGTTTCTTTGTTTCTTATGGCTAGACGATGTTCCCCGAGCCTGACTGAAATCCTTCTGTTGGTCTGTCCCACGTCAGGCTGCACGATCCGCATGCTACACTGTATACTCCTTGGTTTTCCAGAGTAATTTTTTGTTTTGGGTTTCTTAGTATTGCTCCGATGGTATGGTCAGGTTTGTATGCCGTTGATATGTCGTGTTTCCGTAATATTCGGCCGATTTTGTCAGTAACCCCCTTGATGTATGGCAGGACAGCGATCGATCTTTGTTGGGTCTCGTCCTGCGGCTGTTGTTGCTTACTGATTGCCTTGCTGATGATGCGCCTTTGATATCCGTTTTGTCGAAGACAGGTACTAATTTTCTTCAGTTCTTCATCTCTGTTACTCTCGTTTGTGAGCCTGAAGGACCGAGCAATTAATGTATTTGCACCGTTACCATCTCCGGCGCAGGGTATAAATACGGCACGCACAGCCGATAACCTCCCAGTGTTCGAAGTGTTTACGGAGCGCGAGCATTGAAGATGCCAAGTGAGATTTTGGCGAAACGTCTGCAGGATTCCAGTCGGAGTTCAACAAGCGAACGGATGATATCCCGGAATATAGTGTCATCATTATATATATATATATATATATATATATATATATATATATATATATATATATATATATATATATATATATATATATATATATATATATATATATATATATATATATATATATATATATATATATATATTATATATATATATATATATATATATATATATATATATATATATATATATATATATATATATATATATATATATATATATATATATATATATATATATATATTTATATATATATATATATATATATATATTTATATATATATATATATATATATAATATATATATATATATATATATATATATATATATATATATATATTTATATATATATATATATATATATTTATATATATATATATATATATATATATATATATATATATATATTTATATATATATATATATATATATATATATATATATATATATATATATTTATATATATATATATATATATATATATATATTTATATATATATATATATATATATATATATATACCTACGCAGAAAACTATTTTTACATTAATTTTTATATATCTCAGAAGGGAAAGCGATAAATACTCTTTAAAACTAAACTAAGTTCGTCAAAAGCGGATTAGCCAAAAAAAAAATATTCAACTTTTTCTAAACCAATATTTGACCCTTCCCCCCTCCTTAATTTGGCGAGCTAAAAAAAATAGTTCAATCAAAACAGTTTCCTTATCTAGAATAGATTATGTTAAAACTAATTTTGATATAGGTTAATTTGGAATATTTTTGAAAAAAAAACATTTTTTTCTATTTTACAGTAGAGGCGGCCATTTTATGAACCTGAAAATAATTTCCATCGCCACGATGTGTCGCATTTTTCAAATATCATCAAAAAGCAGCAGTCGCGATCCCCTGGCGGTTGTTTGAAGAAACAAAAGTCGGACACTTCGGCGCCCATTTCGAGGAACATTCTTGGCTTGGGTCGCAATCGAGGCTCTCTGGGTCACAAACAAAAAATCTAAGCTCTAGCGACCCAAATATATTTTGCAGATGGGGATGTCGCGTTTATGCTTTGCTCTCGCCAATCGATGACCGTATATTTGGCGACGCCAGACGGTCTATAAACGTCGGTGGATCGGGGTGGTGGGGAAGATTCTACACAACGACGACATTTTTATCGGCTAGATTGATGAGACCACCACTTCGGGGTAGTAACAATAGGGAGTGTCCGAAATTTCGGAGCCCTATTCGCTGTTTATAACTTGTATTTTTTTATCAAAGAAACGTAACTGTTTTGAAGAGACGAGAAACGAACGGATTGATAGTTTTCGACTCTTAAATATTTACCGTCCTCTATCGAAAACATATAAAACTTCAAGTCTTCTTCGTAACGTCTAGAGAGATCGAATTATTGATAATAAATTTTAATGAAAATGAAGGCTTCAAATTCAGTTTGAACCTGAATAAGTTTTTTTTATGTGGGTTAGTTTATTTATCATTATTAATTATTTTTTACCGTGAATTCTTGTATTTGTTAACCTGGCCAACTATTGTTTGTCCAAAAAGAGTATACTTTGCAAAAAACGATGAAACCTTTATTTGCTTTTTTCTTCGGAGTGGATTTTTTTGCTAAATGAGGATTTTAATAATGTAGCCAGAAGAACAGAAAGTTGCGACTTCTCACTGCTTTCAACAGGAGGATTAGTGCCTGGACAACATAAGGAAATTTCTATTAAAACTTTTAAATTTTCATATGGAATATATTCTACTCTAAAATGCCCAGAGATTTCTACCCATCTTTTGTCAAGTTCTATTTTCGTATCCTGCCATTTATTCAATTTTTCTTCATTTAAATATAAATTTACTCTTCGAATTTCTTCTAAGAGAAAATTGTCGTTATTAACAATATCTTTTACTTCCTTCATTACAAATTCCTTTGATGAAGAAACTTGTTTCCATTCAATTTTACTATTTAGAAGGTCCATTTGAAACAATTTAATGCTCTAAAGTTCACTATCAACTCTTCGATATGTTCTTATTGCACTGCGTCCATGAATTGCCATTGAAAATTCCATATTGGAGATTTTGCATTTAACCAAGGAGTCATCATTTCGATTTTTGACTACAATGAACGAAAACTCTTTTTTTTTTTTAATTTTTTATAGCTCATATTTGAATTAAGAATCTAAAAATTATTAGTTGCTAATATAATTCACTGATAATATAATGAAATAAATAAAATAAAATTTTGTTTTATTTTGTACACCTCAAGTCTTCTTAACTTGATCAAAAAGTACGAAATTGTTGGTTTTCAAATTAATTAAATAAAAAGGGAATTTCCATAAAACTTTGTCGTACATATTGCGCATGCGTCAAGATTATCAAGCATGCCTTGCATACGGCGCATCAAAGATCAGGCTGGGGATTACGTAAACAAATTCGCACACGCGCACAAATGTAATTTTGACGTTGTTAGACAAAGAGGTCTGTAGTATCTATCTATCTATTTATCCAGGTACCTCAATTGTGCCGGAAACGGCAGCCATATGTGCGCGCGAAATTCAAATCACTGTCAAACTGGTGTCTGGTGTTTGCCCTGTCCTCTGACGTGCCGGAAACGGCAAGCAATGAAATTTTCAAATCACTGTCAAAATAATTTTAAATATTTAATTAATAAAATTGAAATAACACAATCTAAAAAAATGTTTTAGAAATAGAAATGAGTATGAAATCATACAAATCAGTACTTTCAGAGTAGATGATTTGAAAAGAGTACGGTTTGCGAAAAAACAGTACAAAACTGTGGGTATAGTTGGTCACTTTATATTTGTGTATTCTTCGAGCGTGTCTGATACAAATCTAAGTAAATTGTAATCTTTGAAATTACATCGTAAACACACTGCCATTTGTGTGTGCATACAATTTTTAAAAAATGTGCCGATTTTTTATTATGTTCTTAAATTTATTTTTGTTGGTTCAATATTTCAAGACCTTCCCTATCCCTTTCACTGGTGGTAAACGAAAGTTTTAGAGAAATATTATTTTTGATCCTTGCACCTCAACTGGCAATCTAATCTTTACCTTTGAAAATATTTTTAAAAGAACCAACCCAATAGTAACCATGTTTTTAGATCGTGCTGTACCTGATTGTTGTGTTTCATTCTACATAGTTTTATATTCCTTTATTTACGTTTTAGTTGCATTAAAATTTTCACAATTTCCACTTTTCCCTCAAATTTTGAAGAACATACTTGGTTTTTCTTTTCCCTCCTTTAAAAAAATGAAGAAGTATCTTAAACAAAAACAACAAAACACGCCTCAGAAAGTTCTAGCTCAATGTCGCGTCATTGGTTTCAGTCGAAATTGATCTGCTACTTGGAACGCTTCAGCAGCATAGCCGACAATTCGGTGAATTGCGGTCCCGTACTCAACTGGCTCCAGATGGACAACAAAGGCCACCGTCTCTTGGTGCCCAGCGAAGAAAGCCGATCAATCAACACCCCCGCAGTAGCTGCAGCCTACAGCGTCAGGAGATACGTCTCGCAGGTGATGAAAGCTTTTAATTAAGTTCGTAGTTATTTTTACTTTTGCTTCTTTTTTTTGTTGCCGGTGTTATCTTTCGGTCACATTTAATAATAATAATAATAATAATAAATTGCCGTTATTGTTGTATATTGTTATATACAAATATGCAGTAGAGAAGAGGTGAAGTCTAGCAAAATATATAAATATAAAATATAGTAACGGGTGTTTTTTTTCGATGTATAGAACTTTAAGTTGCAATAAAACAACGATGGATTATTCGATCGACATGAATTTTATTTATCCGAAAGATGGCATTAAATTTTAAATATGATTTCTGGCATATTACCGCCACGGCTGGCGCGGATGTAGTCCAATCTGGACGTCCAATTTTCGATGACTTTTTCCAACATTTGTGGCCGTATATCGGCGATAACACGGCGAATGTTGTCTTCCAAATGGTCAAGCATTTGTGGTTTATCCGCATAGACCAATGACTTTAGATAGCCCCACAGAAAGTAGTCTGGCAGTGTTAAATCACAAGATCTTGGAGGCCAATTCACAGGTCGAAAACGTGAAATTAGGCGGTCACCAAACGTGTCTTTTAATAAATCGATTGTGGCACGAGCTGTGTGACATGTTGCGCCGTGTTGTTGAAACCACATCGCCTGGACATCATGGTTATTTAATTCAGAAATGAAAGAGTTAGTAATCATAGCTCTATACCGATCACCATTGACTGTAATGTTCTGGCCATCATCGTTTTTGAAGAAATACGGACCAATGATTCCACCAGCCCATAAAGCGCACCAAACAGTCAGTTTTTCTGGATGTAACGATGTTTCGACATGCACTTGAGGATTAGCTTCGCTCAAAATGCGGCAGTTTTGTTTGGTGACGTAGCCATTCAACCAGAAGTGCGCTTCATCGCAAAAAAAATTCGCTTATGAAAATCGGGAACAACGGCAATCTCGTTTTGGGCCCATTCGACGAATCTACGCCTTACTTGATGATCGTTTGCCTTCAATTCTTGCACGAGATGGATTTTGTAAGCACGTAAACCAAGATCCTTCCGCAAAATCTTCCATAAAGTGGATGGACACAGATCCAATTTCTGTGCTCGATGGCGGATGGACTCATTCGGGTCTTCCTCAATGCTACGCTCTACAGGAGCAATAGCTTCTTCTGTACGCACCGTACGGCTTCTCTGAGGATGCGAGTTATCAATAAGAGTAAACGTGGTGCGAAAACGTTCCATGGTTAATCGAATTAACTGCTCTGATGGACGATTTTGTCGACGATAAAATGGACGTAGTGCGTGTTACGTATTCCGCACAGAACTATGATTTTCGAAATAAAATTGCTCTATTTCCAAGCGTTGTTCAGGCGTGAGTCTATTCATGATGAATTGCCAAACCAAACTGAGAATAAATCACTTGACAGCTGTTAAATCGGTAGCCATCTTAAACAGTAATGCCAACTTAAAGTTCTATAAATCGAAAAAAAAAAAGACCCATTATAAATATACAGTAGAGAAGAGGCGAAGTCTAGCAAAATATATAAATATAAAATATAGTATAATAGATAAATGTAATAGTAATATCGAACAATAGAAAGTTATTAAAAGTAATAATACAAAGAATAACATTGAAAATCAAATTATTTGAGAAGTTTGCAGTTTCTACCTGAAGTATTTTTTAAAGAATTTAATTGAATGTGATTTACTGTGTACTATTAAAAATCAGAACAGAGTTATAAGAAAATGATCGGCGGATATCGTGGCAGTGCGAGTCTGTAGGGGTGCCTTAAAGCCACTGATTGAACATTACGAAACTGTAATTTAGCTCGCAAGTAGGGCGGATTTAATGTCTTAATAATTTAGAACACCATAGACGCCAAAAAGTACTTGAAAGTACTGTCAATTTTTAGCCAGTTAAGTTCCTGGATTTTGTGGCAAATCCTAACAAATTTATGCAAGTCGAAAATAAATGTGCAACAGCTGTTTTGAATTTTTTGCAATCTATATTTGTTAATACTATCAAGACATGGGTAATAGAGCACTAAACCAAAGTTCATAATCGAAAGGACAAGTGATTGAGCTAAAAGTGTCCGTAAACTGAAACTGACAGTTCTATGCCTGTATATATGGCGCAAAACCAAATAAGACTTTTTCACCAACAAAGATACATATTCCACGAATCTAAGTGTACAATCAAGTATAACACCAAGGTTTTTATTGCAATTTACAACTTTCAAACGTTCACCGTTAATTAATAAACACATTTGAGATACTTGTTCAATGTTGGGTTTAGGAGAAAAGAACATTAGCATTAAGTTGAATATTATGCCTAGAAGAATATAGAAATAAGTTATGCAAATCCAAATTGATATAAATTGAAGCAATATCAAATAATTTGCAAATGCAAATTCAAATATTCGATGGATGTACAAATATCAGAAACATAAGTTAAGAATAATATAGGTCCAAGGACAGAACCTTGCGGTACACCCGACGAAACAGGGAGAAATTCAGAACTTACATTGTCAAGGGTAACTCTCTGCTATCTGTTAAGTAGTTTCCCAAAAATCGAGTCGAAACATCATCGAAACCGTAGTAACTCAGTTACGATTAGATTTTTCTTCTTCTTTTTCTGTTGTTGCGAACCATTACCGTCAAAAATCATTAGCCCGATCCGTTTTGGTTTGATTTTCTCTTAGGCACGGGACGAACTGAACTTGGAAGTGGGCGACATGATATCGGTCATCGATATGGCCAGTCCCGGCGAATCGATGTGGTGGCGAGGCAAACGGGGCTTCCAAGTGGGCTTTTTCCCGCAACATTGCGTTCACATTATCGGGGACAAGGTGCCCAGGAACATGCCGCTACCGCCACCTGTTGTCGGGTAAGCGGAGTTACCGTGAATTGAAACACTCCCAATATGAAACCGTATTGTAAACGCACCATTGTCGTTTTGGAAATTTATTAGTAAATCGCAGATATCAACATACAGGGTGGTATAATTTATTGAATGGTCGAGGGACAAATGGCAAAAATACTGGTTTATCGGTTGCTGCCTGGTATTCCGGGAAAAATTCGTATGCCGGATGAAATAATGACGCCAATAAGGTTTTCTTGGTGCCAGGTTGCCAAATCGTGCAACCCTGCGTTTAATAAGCTCAAATATAAAAAAATGTTGCAGCAGACTTATTATTTTTTCCTTATTACTACAAAGGGTTCCCGATTAATTTTTAATACTAATATTGTTAATCTAATAAGTATAAACTCCAAAAAATATATTGTTCTGTATTAGTGTTAACAAGATTAGAGAAATTATTGTGTAATACATCCAAATTTGAAAAAAAAATCATCTTATTATTATTAACTGTATAAAGAATTTCCGATTAATTATTAGCAAAATTAGCTAGTGTATTATATTTTGTTAGAGACTTATAGCTGTTGACGGTTACAAGAAATATGATAAGAAGATTTGATATCAGATTCTTGAATTTCATTATATCTGAAATTATGTTGAGAGTTTCAGGAAAATTGTTTGGATCTAGTTTTCCAGAAGTTTGTAGTATTATAGAAGTTTTTCAATTTGTTACAAGTGTGGACTGAGAAATGGGAAGCAACGTTAAGCGACATTTGGAATGGATATATTAGAAAATTGATTAAAATAAAAAAAATATTTCTAAAGAAATCATAACATCAACAAAACGTTATTGTTTTTTAGTTTTGTAACATAACCACTTATCATGTACCAGATAAATAGTCTAAATAGGCTTTTGCAGCGTATTTATCGAAATTAACATCAAATATCATTTGGCAAACAAACTTTTTTTTATCCGTTTTCGGCCGAACAAAAAATCGATTCGGCATCAGACTGAGGTCCAAATTCACCAATTAGACTATGTAATGTCAAATAACACCCTGTACTTATATTTAATTGATTTGAGATTTTGAGTAGTCTCTTTGACTTTTCCGAAATTATTGTGTGATTTTATGTGGACTGCCTTTCATCAATAACTTGTATGGTATAGATTTCCAAGGCGATTCTGGATGGTAATTTACTACGTTTGGGCATACGATTTCCAATTGTTTTAAGGCCGCCGTAAAAAAATTAAATCAAACGGGATCGTACTCCATGCGTTGTGATACGTTTAGCGGATCTTATCGTTGCTTAGTGACATATTCAGGGTGTTTTGGAAGCATTTAGTAGAATTATTTTGCAGTCTAAATAAAGAGAGATCTTTGAAAAAATATTTTGTTGCATTTATGTATTTACAACAAAAACTTTTTTGTCTTGATTGCAACAAGAATTAAGTTATATCTCCTCCATTTCGAAACACCCCGTATATGTGTGTCGCCATTCTGTGTTTTGGCGGCCATTGTTCTTTCTCTTTTTTTTTCTGCCCGTAGGTCGTTAGCACTAACCCCGATCAAGCCGGTATTGCGCAAACACGGCAAGCTGATAACGTTTTTTAGAAGTTTTATTTTGAACAGGCCGTCGCGACGCCGCCTGAAGCAGTCGGGCATACTGAAGGAGCGGGTGTTCGGTTGCGATTTAGGCGAGCACCTGCTTAATACGGGACGCGAAGTCCCTACGGTACTGAAGTGCTGCGCCGAATTTATCGAGGCGAATGGTATCGTCGACGGGATTTATAGGTAAGTGAGCGCCCCGGGTACTTCAAATATCGCAATTGCTCAATCAAAGTTTGAAACTCTAACTAGGCGGCGTCATAGTTTAAGTTCTTCTTCTTCAATTACGCTTTAGTTGGCCACTGCCACATACGGCTATACGGCCAGCTTAGCCAGCAACTTTCATGCCAATAAAATTAATGATTCTTATTCGTAACTTCTTGACAAAAAATACTATTTAATCCACATCCCACTTGCCAAGTTACCTACAAAATTCCCAAACGTAGGTTATGTTAATACTGTTTTTAAATTTACGGAACCAATTAATTAATGAAAACCAAAAGAAAAACTATTTTCCAATTTTCTATTTGCAAGTGCAAAGAAATTGAATCCTAATATCTTTGTATAATATGTTTTGTTTAGCTCGCTAATTGCCAATGTAAAAAAAATCGCCAGCGCAACTTAACCATTAAGGGAAATTATTATAATTAAGAATCGTCTCCTATGTACGTTTTCAATAACTGATATCGTTCGTTACAGATTATCGGGTGTAACTTCAAATATCCAAAAACTGAGGAACGCATTCGACGAAGACCGAGTTCCGGATTTGTATACCGAGGACATATTGAAAGATATCCATTCGGTCGCCTCTCTTCTCAAGATGTACTTCCGGTATGTTGACTTTCCCATTGCCGTTATGAATGTGTTTTTGCCATTTTTCTAGTGACAAAGTATTTTCTTTCTAAAAAAAAATGGCGCCTTTTAAGTCCCAGTTACATGCAGAACAAATATTTTTAGGCTTCTATTACGTTAAATTTAGTCTTAAATGCGGAAGCAATCCTAATATATAAATAATAATTTGTGGTCACTGTTACCCTGTCAATTTTCAATGTTCTTCTTCTTTGAGTGGCAATGTGTGTTAGGGTCATTCGGCCAGTCACAGCTACTCAAGATTGTTGACGCCGAGTTGTTATTCGTCAGATTACGCGTTCCCAGCTAGGAGCGGCGCTTAGTTAACGTTTTACTCACAAAAAAAACAATAACTATTTTTAACAAGAAAATAATTTATTCTGTACAAAAATAAATATCGTTCTCCAATCGCGGATCGCTCGCGAATCAATACATCGTATGACCGGCAAACCCGCATCGCAAATTGAAAAATAATCTTATAAGGATCCATTGGTCATTTGAAAGCTCCTACCCCACTGGCATCGCGTCGCCACGCCGTAAATTTTATCGACCTTTCTTCTTCCCGTCGATCTTCACGCACACCTCCAAGTGGAAATCGAACTCCGTGCCCTTTTTGCAGTGCTTCAGCAGCTTCTTGCCGTTCTCGATCTTGTAGTAGGCGCTCGCTATGGCGGGGTGCGGGAGGTAAACGAACCTCTTGTCCCTGACGGTAGTGCTGGGCACTTTCTTAACAACCGCGGGCACTCCCACCGCCGTTCCGGAAGTCAGGTCTTCGATGATGACCTTGAGATTGTCTTGCGCGAGTTCCTCGCCGTCTTTGTGTTGACACTGCACGTTGTAATACATGTCGCAGTTGGCCATGTTTACGTTGAACAGCATGTTGTCGGGGCATATCTTCGGCACTCTCCGCCCGTACACGCAGCGGTAATACCGTTTGCAGTCTCCGTCATGTGGAAGGTTCATGTCTTCTTCGTATTCACTGCAACGCCCTGTCTCGGGTTTCGGTAGCGCGGGCGAAGCGTCTGAAACAACGGAATCGCACTTTTAGGTTATGTCGACAATCTTCTTAAGTTTTCGAGGCTTCGGCATAGGCGAGACATAGGGGTTATTAAAATTTACTAAATAACTGTTATTAGTAGAAACCATATAACTACTAGACATATAGAGGTCTTGCCTTCGCTGACAGTACAGAAAGTCATGAAGCAACTATGTATGCAATAATGCAACAACTATGTCGATCTTTGGATGCGGCAGTTTTCCGGCAGTATTTTCTCAAAATATGTCGAAATTCTATTAAATTTTCGTGCAAAAACAGAGTTAAGCTCTGGAAAAGCACTGCCGAATTGCAACACCCACGTCGGGGTGGGTAGTTAATTTGGCGTTTTTGTTCTTCTGTAGATTCTATGCAATTTCTACATGTATTTTTTTTTATGTAAGCAGTTTTTTTTTTTTGTAAAACGGCGCAAAGCGTCGGTTGGGGGGTCACGTATGCGCAAAACATCCATACCTTCTCTACAAAACTCTCATAGTCATCTGCGGCCCAGCAATTTTTGCCGCAGTAAGGCCACTATATTACCTTATAGCTGGTATGGTAGAAAAGTATTTTTATGGACAACTATCTATTCAAAACAACGGAATTAATTAAATTTAGATGTAATATTTTTATATTTAATTAATTTATATTTAATGAAATTAAAGAAAATTGAAAATGAAATGAAAATAGAAATTTTCATATCACATGTTTTTTTTGGCACTCGCTCCGCTCGTGACTAAACTGTTGAATGTAATATTTTTATAGATAATTAAATTATATTTAAATTAAAGAAAATGAAAATTGAATTTCAAGTAAATTTTTTGGTACTAATGAAGTTTTAATTATACATTTTTTTAAACACTCGCTCTGCTTGAGTTTATTGTTATTACATGTAATTAATTTGTATTTGATTATATTTAAAAAAAAATGAAATAAAATGAAAAAAATGTTTTGTATTAAAAAAGTGTTAAGTATATATTTCTTTAGATTCCTTTACATCGCGTAGAATTTTGAAATATCCACACAATTAGGAACCATTGATATTATTTGTCTTAAATGATTTTCCTTTATGTCGGCTGGACTGTGATTTTGTGTTCGAGGCTCGCAACTGCATGCGGTGTTCCAAAGAAGTTAATTTTCCCTGAAGAATGTATGGTTTATTTTGGGTTTGTATCTTCTTGCGGTCGTCACTCAAAAGCACACATCGTGAAACTAAATAAATGTAGCCGTGCGCGAAAAAAAATTTTAGAGGGAATTTATGATTTAATGAATGAATGAACGAACGTTCGTTTTACGAGCACGTTTAATCCTTTGATATCACTGATGACGCACTGTGGGCCCATTGCCCAAACTAGGTTGCATTAATTCGATTATTTTCTAGTTACTTAAAAACCTTAAAATTGTTTATTATTTATTATTATTATTATACATTGCCGGTACATAATAATACTTTTTTTTTCCAGCGTTGCCACATTAGTATTTTTCGGAGTATATTTTAAAGATATACCAAAACTAGAATAAAAAAAATTGTAAGGATTTTGCAATTACAATTATTTAAGGAAACAGAAAACGTACTAGTTAACAGATTCCAAATATATGAACTATTTACCTAAATTAAATTAACTTAAAAAAACCTAAAGGATAAGAAAAAGCCTTAGAATTGGCTTATAAATAAACTTTTGGCAGAGATGTTTTCTACTTAACATAGTTTTTAAACCCTGAAACCCACTAGGTAAATTATAATTTTAGTCATTCTCGCTGTCACTCAGAGGTTGACATTTTTAACTGGCATAAATTTTGCGATTATTTGCAACATTTCTGGCTAACAGTTTTTAATAGTTTACGCCCTTGCCTAATAAAAAATGTATATTTTTGCTTGTCGTTCGTTGGCCTTTATATTTTTTTACTCTATAGAATTTGAAAAATTAAATATCAATGGTACTTATCCCCTCACTTCTTGTCAAATCGCAGCAAAAACACAAACATTCTACATTGCATGTACAGGTCTAAACTAATTAACAGGACTGACATCAGTTGTCAAATACTTAAAGCGGCATTTGTTTTCAATGCCTACTGAGCGATTTAAAAAGTACGAAAACTTCGTTATTTTATTGAAGCGATTGCAATAAAAATAGACTTTCTTTTAAACATCTGATTATAAAAAATTCTTGGTAAAGTATTTTTAGAAAGCCATACTGTTTTTACATGTTTCAGTACGTTCTTAATTAAAAAACATTTTTGCATTTTTAATAACGATTGATTGCAATCTAGTTTATGCATGGGGCCCACAGTGTGACGGTAGCACTGTTATCGAGACTGCTCTATGATTTCTGGCGATCATTTTTTTTTAAATAAAATTACGCAATATTCGCGAATCTAGAATTTTCGAGCCACGCTTTTTTGCGATATAACTAATTAATCGACCATTGACTGAAATATGTGCCTTATCGCCGCCAAAATTGATCCGACAAAAGCCCGGCTTAATTAGTCGGCACGTAAAAAGCAGGTTTAATTTCAAATGACAGGAAATATTTCTCGTCCGTTTAAAGGCTTGACTTTTTGCACATTTTTAATAAGTTTTTGCGTAACCGATACTACTTACCTGTGAGGTGGATGTAGAAACACATCGCAACGATAGCCATTGCAAGCGGTATGGTAGCCATATCCTGTAACAACGAAAATTGGTTTAGATAGTTTAGACGCGACGCTCCGCTGACATTGACATTGTACACGTGCGATCATCGATGACGCTTTTAAACCTTTTTTTGCAAAAAAAAATGTGGTTTCACTATTTACAGGTGCATTGTGTCAGCAACAAAGTTGACACATGCATACAATTTAAATATCGCAGATAATACCCGTGTATATAGATATAGTGGCAAGATTGTGAGAAAGTTTTCCATGCAAGATGCATTTTCTTAAAACCTTTTCGTTATAAATCGATGTAAAATGTTTTTTATATAATCTTGTGAGACTATGCGCTCGTGCGTTGTATTGTTTCCTGTTTATCTATTTATTATTTAGAATATACTTAGCTAATTTTTTTTTATTGTGTGAGTCGAGTCGAATCTTATTTTTTAAAATTTTTGTATTTACGCTTTTGCTAAAGATAAATAAATTGTAAGCCAGTTCAAACTGATTTGAATAGAAATGCACAAAATGCATGTTGTGTATGGGATTTTAATTTTGTAATTCTGTTTATATTTTCTATAAAATATTTCGCCTCTTTAGTTGCTAATCGTGAACATCATTTCAATTATTTTGATTAACCTCTTAGTTAAAAGTTAAGCGGGTTAACCTATTTTGCTTTAACGTAGGTTCGAATATATTGTTTTTTTATATGTAAGCATTGATGAAAATAATAATTATTATTTTTTCATGGACTGTTCCAGGCCAACTTTGTTGGTTATATCGAATTAATTATGACCCCGCCTCGTGCCCTCTAGATAAAGTAAAGCCCGCGTTGCGCTCAAGCCGCAGGCGCCACCTATGGGCTCGCTTATAAGTTACGGTGTCAGATGGCGGCGCAGTTTTTGTGTTTCAATTAAAAATTACACATATTCAGTTAGCCACATATACTTTTCAAAAATAGGATTTTACCAAACTTAAAAATATATAATTTTTCTTTCATTTTTCAGAAAATTTTAGATTTCCAGTTAAATAACTCTCACTTGGTGTAAATTAATAATATTTTTTTACATATAACGATGACATTTACATTTTAATTGTTATCTTCCCCTGTGCGTTGCGGCCTGCAAATCGTTGAAAAGTCACTTTAAAAGACTGAATAAAATTTCCAAAAAAAATCCGCATAGTCGGAATAGGGAAAAAGAATAAAATAATAAATTAACTTTATTGTTATACTTTATTTTAGATCGTATTTTACCCAATTTTATAATCGGGATTTCTTTCAACCATGGAAACTATTCAATCCTATGGCCTCGTGCTATTTTGCTCAGAATAACGGACATAGATGTAATCAACAGCCAAATTAAATTCAAGGAATCACACAATGTTGAAATAATGACGCTATTGGGCTACGTTCGAGATTCGGGCATGCAACTTATTGCTGATCTTTTAGATATAAGGGCAAAAACTCCAAAGATCTGTCGCAAAAAGTAACTGAACTAGCCACAATGCCTACAAACATTTTAAAGATGGTAAAATGAGATATTTTTGAAATGTACGCCTAAAATATTCTAAAAATGTCTGCAAAAAATGTTTCGATTAAATAGATGACGTAGGTATACGCTCAGAAAATCTTCTTACAGTTTGTTAAAGTAAAATTAGTGCAAAATATAATGCGGTATAATAAATAAATGCGGAATAACGCGGTTGTTTTGTTGAGAGTTCTTGTTCTTGTTCTGTATTATTCAGAAGTACGAATAAATCAAACAAAGCATAATAAAAACAGCAACATTTAAATAGCAAAATGTCTAAAAGATACAGATATTAAACGACCATTCTCAAATAATACAATTTAGAGTCTTCATACATCTCGACAGTATTAATTTTTTATGGAGGATCTTTTTCCTTGTATTATATTATTTAGAACCAGATTACCCTACATATCGACCTAGGTTTTATACGTTCTAGTGTGAAATATTTTAATTTTTTTTTTTGGCAAAAAAATTTTTTTTTTTACTCGCTTCATCTATACTTACAATTATTCCAAATAGAAAAGAAAAAACACACTCCGATTTCGCACTGCCCGTAAAATTTTCGCTTCCCACCGTTCGTCCTCAAGTTGAGTCAGGTTTGCCAACAAAGCAAACTTCTACTCAACAGCAAGGTCGGCACCGCACTATATCCTATCTGAGACTAAGCGCCTCCTTATATACGCTACTTAATATTCGACGTGGTATTTCTTTAATCTGCTAAGATAGGGATTTCGCTCGTTTAACAAATATTTTTTGTTTTCATTTAATTAGCTTCGATAGTGTATACTTGACGGGTGTACGTTGTATACCGAACGGATCGCAAAATCGACCAAATTTTTTCTTGCACACAATAACAATTAAGAGTAGTTACGGAATCGTTTCTAATAAACCGACGTCCCCCGGGGGCAAAATCTCTTCCCACCGATCCGTGCATGCTACTTACTAAAGGTCGACAACTATCATCGCGCGATGTTTATAAATACGACGTCGTTTGTATTGGTTCGAAAGAATTCGCCGTAGCCCGATGTACGGTTAATAAATAATTTAATTACACTTCCTTATCAATGTTATATAAGATTAAGGCCCGAAATGCGTACAGTCGTTTCCCCGAAATCCCCGATTGTGTCGACTCCGTGCCATTTTCTTTTGTTTAATATTTATTTATTATGTCCCTATTGTTATTGGCAAAAGAAAATAAGAGACGTTCTTTTCGACGAAGCGACGAGTTCACTGCCACGGCCTGAAGCCGGGTGATGCAAAAACGACGCAAATTTTACAATAGAAAAAAGCGGCTAGTAATGGGAATTGATGTCTTCCTCTTACTTATATGTATAAATTTGAGAACGGAAGGGGCGGGAGTTCTCATTTTATGATTACTTTATATATCGATGTAATTCTTACTGGATTAGTTTACACATTACCATTTGACAGCTAATAGCAGTACGAGGTGTGTTCAAAAAGTAAGGTGACTTTCAAGTTTTATCAAAATTTTTTTTAAATTGATTTAACAAATATAATGCAAAGTAACCCCCCCCCCAGAATATAATACAGTCGTGCGCACGTTTTTTTCAATCCTCAAAACACTTTCTGGTATAGCCTTGAGTTCTTCCAGCGATTTTTTCTTTATCTTGGCAATCGTTCCCAACCTCCTTCGTTTCATGGATTTCTTGAGTTTTGTCAGCAGCAAAAAGGCGCAGGGCGCCATGTCCGGTGAATACGGTGGCTGAGGCATGATTGTGGTTTTGTTTTTGGCCAAAAAGCTAGGTACAAGCAATGATGAGTGAGCAGGCTCATTATCGTGATGCACAATCCATGAATTGTTTTGTCACAATTCCTGACCATTTTTTCGTATTGCTTCTCCCAAACGGCGCATAACTTCTTATTGACCGTACGACCTTGTGGTAAGAACTCAGTAAGCAAAACCTAGACATTTGATGGAACTTGACGTGCTTTTTTCGATCTTGACGATTCTAGGTTCTTCCATGATTCGTCACCATTTGCAAACAATTACAAAAGTCACCTTACGTTTTGAACACACCTCGTATGTATTTTTTGTGCAATATTTTGTGAAAAAGACTTAAAATGTTTTTTATTTCTTAAACAACTGTCAATCCAATGATAAAATCAATTTGACAATTTTCGATATTGCTATTATTTACTATTAAAACATTTTAAAAAATATTTATATTTAACATTAGCGCTATGCCAAGAGAGGAATGAAATTACTGAGGGTTATGTGATACTTAGTGTCGGGAAAATAGTATATTAGATTGCACCGATCTAAAAGGTCAAATTTAAAATAAATAATAAAAAAAATAAAATACAGAGTTGTCCACCCCTTAACTCTAATCCCTAAATAATAAAATTCGACAGAGAAAACAAATTGAATACAAAAGTCCCATAGTTTCATCTAAATTTTTCATCTTGTGTCAACACCACCTTTCCTATTGTAAATAGGCCACCCTGTATATATCATTTTTAGATTTCCCGGTAAATCTGAGGTATATTTCATGTCCTATACCTAAGTCTCACGGTTTTCGACGAATCTTGAATTTTATAGCAAAAATACCGCCTGCCGGCGCTAAAATAATGAACAATTTTTCGTATAAAGGAGCCTTCATTATTTCATTTTAAGTGGATTCCTTATGACAGGGGGTAAATTAATACAAAATGAGCAAAAATGCTCCTTCAGATCACCTTTAATTCTTCGAAAAATTGTTTTTTCGAAAATTCGAAAAATCAGATTACTTAAGTGAAATAATTAATGAGCCACAGAAGACTCGTGCCAAACTAATAGATGGTGTTTTGGGAAAGTGACGTTTCTGTACTGCCCGTTACCTTATTACAATATTAAAATGTTAAATTGTCAATTAATTTTTAATGGCAAATTAGATAAAATTATAACAAATAGGGGGTTTCCATTTGAAAAAAGTCACATTTTACGTTTTTTTTATAATTTAATTTGTATATCCAGAATTAAATAGCTAAGGCTCCCTTATAGGAAAAACTGTTTATTTTTGCAGGCCCTAAATGTTATTTCTGATATAAAATTGAAGATTTGGCAAAAACGGCAGGATATAATATTATACAGAGTTATTCAATTTAAAATAATGAAGCTTTTTTTCACCCGTATATACGAAAAATTAAAAATTGAAAAATCGAGATGATAGTTTCTGAGTTAAGGGGGGTAAGGTATTTCGTACGCCCTATACATAACCCCCTTAAATATTAAGTGGCAGATAACAGAGAGCAAATGGTAAAATTTCGCCACAAAGAGAGAGCGCATTCGGTGTTCCCCAGGGAACTGTATTGGGGGCCTTATTATTATGACAAGTGTTAATTAATAATAATCCCCAGCGTGTCTCTAAAATTAAATGCCTGCTGATATTTTTTGATTATCTGCTTAATTTCGGTAACCAAGCCGACTACTTCGTGAAGAAAACTTTTTTTTTTATTTACAATATTTGTACGCAGTCAGACAAAATATTTGAAAATCCAAATTAATATTGTACATGTTGTAGAAAATATCCTCAATTTTTCACCACATTAGTCTAACCAAAAGGCATTTCGAAATTGTTCATCATCAATTTTGATTAGAAATTCTTATGTCTACAACATACTAGACACTATATAACATATTTTGCTAGATATTAAATTCTTTAAAATTTCAATTGTCTTAAGTGCTTACTTAATAATTTCCACTCATTGTTATTTGGTAACTGCTATTTACATTGATAGTTCGCAGGATTGCTAGTTGGCGGTCTATATTTGACTAGAAAAATCTTGATTTGTGGCAACGAAGGTTAGGTTTTTATTTTTTATTCTACAAAATTTAATCTGTTAATACCGTCAGTCCGATCGTATCGAAAATATTAATCCGCACATCTCTCATATTAGTTTTGGCCTTGCGTGTTGTTTGCAAATATTAGGCGAAACATTAACTTGAACAATTGACTGTGTTTGTCACGATTCCGACGAAAACTGCTCAAAACGATGTCGGTACATGGGGATTTAGTTTATTATTGCTACACAAACGGAGATTTGTGGTGGATTTTGCGGAGAGTATCCAGAAACAAAAAAAAATGAACACAATAAAAAACGTCATCTAAATCAAATTAAATTTTTCTCGGAATAAGTAAAAACATTTTTTTTACTAAGAAGAATTATTCTGGACTGGCAAATATTTGCCAAATTTGAAATATTATAATAAATATAATATAAAAAATAGATTTAGACCATATTGAAATTTAATGAAGTTTTATAATGTTGTTTGTATACAATTATTGTGGGAATCAAAAATTAGCAAGTTAAATTATCTAAATGTGAAGAATTTGTTATGATAACTTAAAAACAACTGCAAATAATAATATCCACTTAATTTTTCTTTCTAACAATTCGCCATTGATGCTGTCAATGACTTTGCAGCCAGTAAACAAAACAAAAATAATTTGCACTATTTTTTGGCATTAATTTATCATTGCAAAAAAGTGCGATATTTTTGGACCCTTAAAAAACTAAATAAAAAATAAGTAGTTAAAAAACTAATGATCTTATAGCCAAAACAATCCAGAATAGTTACTGAAAGTAACAAAAATCACATCCTAAAATATGCGAATATGGAAAATGAAAGAAATTCAATGTTTAGTTTCTTTTCTTCCTTTTTATTCTTCTTTTCTTCTTTATTTTATTTTATACACATTCTAAGCACACATAAGCCGTTGCCTTAATTTGAAACATTTTTTGTTTCTTAAATAGGTAAATAAAGAACAAGTAGTTAAAAAACTAATGCTGTTAGAGCCAAAATAATGCTGAATTGTTACTGAAGGCAACAAAAATCACATTCTAAAATATGGGAATATAGAAAATTAAAAGAAATTCGATAATTAGTTTTTTTTTTCTTTATTCTATTTCATACTCTATCAGCAAATAATTGACACATAGTTAAAACTAATGCTCTAATAGCTAAAGGAGTGCTGAAGAGTTATTAGAGATAACATAAAAATGTTTGGTTCCTTAAAAAGCTAAATAAAGAATAAGTAAGTAGTTAAAAAACTAATGATCTTATGGCCCAAAAAATGCTGAATAGTTATTGAAGGTAGAAAAATTACATTCTAAACTATGGGAATTCAGAAAATAAAGAAATTCAATGTGCAGTTTCTTTTTTTCTTTTTTTTTTTTTATTCCATTCTATACTCTATCGGCAAAACGGTGGGAAGAATGCAACATCCTTCCCAAGAAGTACCACACCACCATCGAACTATTTCATACTCTATCGGCAAATAATTGATACATAGTTAAAACTAATGATCTAATAGCTAAAGGAGTGCTGAATTTTTAGTTTCTTTTCTTTATTCCATTCTATCGGCGAAACGGTGTTAAGACAAGTGGATTTTAGGATCAATGTTTGGCTACAGCTGAACCATTTCTTTTTTCAGCGAACTGCCAAACCCTCTTTGTACATACCAATTATACCAAAGCTTCGTGAACGCGGTACAAGGTTGCGGTACCGCTATTCGAACTACCGAGACCGACCACGAGAGGTTGCTGAAGATGCGAGAGGCGGTACAAAAACTACCCCCGCCGCACTACAGGTAAGACACTTTCCGTTTTACGGCGAACGCACACTCAAAATGAAAAACGTTGGACGGGTTGTGTGAGTTTTAATGAATCAGTCTTTAGGGCCCCCATAAATTCATTGACTGACGCCTGGCTTTATTGGGGAGCATTTAAAATATTACTCATACTTGATTGCACCCCAATATCGGATAACGTTGTTGACGGATGTGCGGCAGAGCGAAAAAATCACTTTAGCAAGCAAAAATATCTACAATTAAAAGTAATTCTACTATTTGCTTTCCTAAAATAATGTTTTTTTACAATTTGTCCTAAAGCTAACTTGCACAAAGGAGATTATCCAATTTATTAAAAGAATAATAACATTTTGAAAGCGTCCGACTAAAAATAAGTATTCATTTTTCTTTTTTTTCTTTAATTAACCGTGCTTCTTTTACATTATTTCTTGTCTAATTAAACAATCTGTTGATAAATAATAATAATCAGGTTTAACTTAAAAAGCGTTTATTATATTTACTATTTATTCTACGTAACGAAAAATTATTTGGCACTTTTCCCTGTGCTCAGGACGTTGGAATATTTGATGAGGCATCTGGCCAGGGTGGCGAATCACAGCGAAAGCACCGGAATGACCACTAGAAACGTGGCCATCGTATGGGCTCCGAATCTGTTGAGGTGCGAAGCCCTGGAAATCGGTGGTGTGGCCGCCCTGCAAGGTGTGGGCGTGCAGGTAACTATTTACGAGATCATTTCGGCTAACAATTGTCGATATTTACAAGAAATTTTCGAAATTTTAGGCTGTGGTCACCGAATTCTTAATATGCTACGCCGATCTGATCTTCTGCGATCATCTGCCAAGTCTGAACAGGCCGGACCTAGTCGAAAAGGAAAACCTCCTTTCGAAAAAGTGCCGACCTAACAGCCTGAACATTTCGACGCCTACGAAACTTATCACGCTCGAAGAAGCGAGGAGCAAGCATTTGGTCAACAAAATCGAAGAGTGCAACTACATCGAGGTAGGCGGCGGGCCCAACAACCTGCCCAAGAAGTACCACACCATCATCGAACTGCCGCCAGGTAAATACATTTATTTACAACGTTGCTTAGAAAGTAACTTATTAATTATCTACTTGGTGCTCTGGTACACTTATGGTAGTGGTTCATTTGAACTACTCACTACCCAAATAGCACAAGGACGTCTGTAAAACATCTTCGGGATATCTGACGGGACATGGCGTATATCCTAGGGGTATACTGTTTCAGCTAAGAGATATCCTTAAGACGTCTCAACAGTGGAGCTTACTTAATTATTAGATTATTTCCAACAGCCTATGAGAAATACTGGAAAGGTAATGTCTAGTAGTCCAATTGGTTGTACGACTACGAAAAATTCTATCCCAGTATTTGGTACTCGCGTGTGATGGAATTAACCTATTGGGTATGGTTGGTGAAGTCATCACTGGCTATATTTGAAATGCACAAGTTTTTAATTTTGCTTTTAATACTAAAAGTGAAGGACGATTGATACCATTAATAAAACATTTTATACACATCTGATTTTTTTCTATTGTAGATATGAAAAAATTGTGGGTATATAATATAACAAAAATATAGAATAACCTAACCTAACCTAACTTGAACTAAACTCTATAAGAATAACTAATATTTGACAGGTTTTCTGTCATTCTTTGATGAAAGCACCTTTTTTCAGGCAAGCAGCTATTAAATTCTCACATTCTTTTTATGTTTGTGGTGTATTTGCCCTCTTATCCGCATCTGAAAATATTTTAGTTTTGAGAAAGATAGGTTTTATTATATATCTGTATTTTATAAAAAAAATATAAGAACGAAACTTCTATCTTATATGTTTAAAAAATTAAAGGCTTGATTTGAGGTGATCTTAGATGCTAATCTCCACGATGATATAGATATACATTTATGTATTTCATTTAATCCAAACCTCATTAAACAAACACTCATCGGCAAGATATCTTTCGTGAGAGTAGGTACTATCGCGCGCAAGAAAAACTAGAACAAATATGACTTTTCAATTTGACAGTAAAAACCTATTTTCATGCAATATTTTTGTCAACCTAAAATTTTTCCTAGTTTTTTTTTTGCTCGTCATGGTACCTACTATCTAGTGGATTTCAATTTTAAAGTCCATTTTATATGAGTTCTCATCCTCTATATGACTTAAATGATATATTTTAGTGAAAACAAAGGAACGAAGCCGACTTTGCATACAGTTCACGTAACTGAAATTGTTTTGACTGGTTATTTTAAGAACGAAGTCAATACAAATGTTGGATGAAGTACCTATCATGTAATTTTAATATCCAAGAAATATCATTTAATTTAAATGAATTCATTCATTATTCTGGTACCTCCATTTTGGGTGACGTGGTTTAGGTAGCAGATAATTTAGAGGTGCATTTGAACTACTCTCCGTTGCACGTGTTGCAATGTTGCCTCCAATGGATTTATTTGAATTGCCCTCCAAATACCGTTCAATTTCCAATGCTAATTAAGTAGTGTCTCCAAACGATGACGTATTTTACAGGCGCGAGGAAGAGAGGACACACCAAACGGTCGCCGTTGGGATGGAGAATGTTTTTCACAAAATCTCGGAACAGTTCGCAGGGCAACGTGTCGAAGAATCGGAAGTCGACCACGCCCATCACGATCAACGTGAGTTTTTTCATTTTTATTTTATTATTTTCGTTTATTCGACGACATTAAGCAGGAAAAATCCATCACCGAGTCTGATCTCACTGACATGAAGCGCAAGCTGAGAAGTGTCAAATCTGCCGAGAGTCTGACCTCCGGCCATTCGGAACCGGCCAGCAGCGAGGACGTCTTGGGACCTTTGCATAGCTTAAACAAACCCCCTGGGCACAACAGGTATTTTTTTTTATAACAGTTGGAGGTACACACCAATAGAAACATGGAGACATGATTCAAATTAAGGAAAGGAAACTTCTAGTTAAAGAAAAAGGTCATATGTTAACAACCAAACTCCACCAATACTTTATGGACAAATTGGCACCTATAGATGTTATGTTGTTACAAGTCAAATCACAAAGCACAAGTTTATTAGTCTTTGGTTGAGTCTGTCATAAGTTATAGCTTGGTTGTATGCTGTCTCAAACCAGACCATGACCAACATATTTGCTTTTCAAAGAGATTGACTAGACATTAGCTTCATATGAAAGAAATTATATGGTTTATTATAAAAATTCGATTAATCATGTCCTTAATACAACAACTTCAGTTGGATGGTGAGTTGGACAGCTTGCCGCTAAACCTTACAGTAAGGTCAAAAATAATATTGAAGTTATGCTCTATGGTTAATTGAATTCACTCTGTGATCATTGTGTATCGTCTAAACTGAAGACCTTATGATTACTTATCCTGAGACTGTATCAATTGGCAAACAAATAAATGGTCTAAGTGTTTAACGGTTTCTACAGATCTGTTTCCCACGATTCGTACTTCGATACTCTGCAGTCGTCGCAGAACAACTCGGAAGGGTCGTTACTAGACCTGAGCGAGATCCACCTCAACTTCGATCTGGAAGAGTCCGAGATGCGGATATTTTCGGAGGACGAGAGTTTGGTCAGCTCGCCGAGGATACAGAAGGACGTAAGTGTTTTGTAGAGCGAAGGTCGCGAGTATGTAACACGTTGCTTTGTCTTCAGTGCACCCAATCATTTTGATTATACCGCCGTAACTCGTCCCTCGTTGGTGGTTTGGTAAATCGATTTACGTTTCTATTGCGTTATCTGCTAGTGCACGATTCGTTTAGTGGACGATGGATCTTGTATCAATATAGTAGTTACCCATTTGATCCCCATTGGCTACAAAAACCAAAAAACGAGGCAAAACGACGATATTTTTTGAAAAACATCCAGCAACGTTGTCAGATCTTCCCGCTTCGTGTTTGCAGTGTTGCCAATTTTCTATCTTTTCCCCAATCTACGTAAAAATACATCTGTAGCTAGTTTAAACTTCGTTGCTAACAAATATATTTTTATTAATATTTAGATACTTTTCCAATAAGCAAGTTAAAAAAGCCGATATTGTCTTTTTGATCACATAAAAATAAAAAAAATATATTTTTGACGCTTAATAGAACAAAAAAATACGTTTTTAGAGAAATGGTTTGAACTGTAACTGCTTCCAACTAATACCAACTAATTTATATTAAGGGTTTTGGAATATCAGCAACGTTAAAATTACGATTACGGTTAAATTAGAAAAAAAAATTTTTCAAAGAAACTTCCACAGGCCACAAGCTTTTGGATTATTCTTGCGTGGGTTGTTGCTGATGTTTCGCCGATCATCCTGTCGGCTTCTTCAGAGCTAACTGAAACATCGTCTCGGGTAACTGATACCCATATTGGTGACAGTCGCCGTTAAGATGTTTTAAATGCTTACAGATTTCTATAGATTCTCGGATTTATCGTTGGCAGAAAAATTAATTATATGCAAGAATTTAAATTTTATCGAATAAAATTTTATGTCCGGTTTCGTGATTGTCTTCAGCAAGAGCTGATGAGTCTATTTGTCTTAGTTTTAATGCTCTTTCATGTTCTTTGAGCCTAGTTGATATTTTTCCACCGGTCTCTCCAATGCATATGCATAGAATGCTGTAAACTCCTGACATCTCAAATGGATTTTTGGACAAGTGGTAAATCTGGTTTATTAAGAACTTTTGATATGCGATCAGTGATTATTTGAATGTAAGGAAGGACAACAGTGGCATGTGTTGGATTGCTTTCGGAAGGGTGTGGTGAAGAAGAGAACGGGATAATTGGCGAAACATTATCAAGTTCGACTCAACAACAACCAACGCAGGAAAAATTCAGAAGTTTTGTAAATAGTAGAGAAAAGGTGTCAATTGCTTTTCACTGTGCCCAATTTTCTGTTGTTTCCGAGAAAACCATCATCAGCTTAATTTTTTGTTGCTATGGAAATTAGTTTTCACTTAGATCTGTAAGTAAAGTCGGAATAGAAATAAAATCTGTGTCTTACTAAATTGTTTATGTGGAAATTACGTTAGTAGTTCAAATAATAACAGTGCATTATTACCGCAAATGGATATATTAAAACAAAATTAATATAACCATCAAACTTAATCCTATTGTTAGGTAGTAGTTGGAATAGGGTTTAAAGGCAACAAGAGATGCTAAATAAAAAATACATATATATTTTTTTCGGACTCTCTTAAAAAAACTGACTATGGAAAACAGCTAAACATTAAAAATGTTGGAAGTTTTTTTCTTCTTTCTTTACTACATATTTGAGTGCACCAGCCAAACAGAAAATTGAGAACGGCGAAAAGCAAGTGACAAATTTTTTCTAACTTTAGCGTTGCAGATACACATACCACCACGACTGTCCCTAACAATTAGTTGCTATCATGTTATTTTATTTCTATTAGCCCTCGATTAAATTATCTGTTACCGTATTGTATATCTCCTACCGTTATGCATGACCGCGAGAAAAAAAAAATTTAGGTTAGTCAGGTTTCAGAAACATAATTGACTTTTCCTAGGGAATGACGAATGACTGTCAATTTGTAACACTTACCCTCTATCCCCTTAAAGTGTTCGTTCGATTTGCAGAACCCGCAGAGGCGGATCTTGACTCGTGCGCGCCCCGAGGAGTTCAGTAGCGCGGCGAATTCGGTAAATCCGTCGCCGAAGAAGCAACCCCGGGTAGTGCTGTCGCCCGAGTCTATGTCACGCAAACGAACGCGCCTCGAAGATCAGCTCTCCGACATCCAGTACATCGACTGCAACACTCCCGAAAATGTCATCAACACGACGGCGCTGGTCCACGCCCATCCTCAGAGTCCGGCCGTCGAACGGGACAAGGTAGGCGGAGGCGATCTGTACCAGCCGAAGAACAAATCGCCAAGAAATTCGGATAACCTCGACACCAAGAGGCAGTCGCTGAACCTGGAGTCCATATCGCGAAACGCCCCGCCCATCACCAAGTCGTTTACGGAGATGGACATCAACAGACATTATCTGGGCGCCACGAGCATACTCACTACCCCCACCCCGAGCTCCCCCGGCTACAAGCAATTGGGAGAGTCGAGTTCGAACACCACCCCGGAAATGTCGCCTAATTATGAAAGCCTACCGTCGAAACTAAGCTTCCCGCAGCAGTCGCCTAATAAAGCGGCCACGCCCACGACCCCTACGTACGAGAACATACTGACAACGATCAATATAACGTACAAGTCGCCGTCGAGAAGCGCGCCGGGTTCGCCGCTCAAGAGTCCCGTCTACGAGAACGTTTCCCTTAATCCAGAGACGGTGGTGATACCCACGTCTACCGCGTCGTTGCCCGTGCAGGAAGCGAGCCAACCCGATTTATTTCTCGACGTTCAAAAGTCGGACCGACCTAAGAGCCTGAGCGCGTTAGAAGACCACAGTTCGGCCGACTCCACCCTCAAGGCCAACAGTTCGGTGGCGGTGTGCGACACCAGCGAGCAAACGTCGCTCGCGAGCTTCAACGAGCAGGCCACGTTGAGCTCGAATCAGTCGTCGAGGTCGAACGTGCAGTATACGGCGAGCAGCGTTAGCTCCGCCCCCTATCACTGCATCGAGAATTGCGAAAGACTGAGCCCGACCGACCTAAGCCTGAGCGAGGTGGTGCAAAGCTCGACCGAGAATCTGAGCACTAGTCACACGTCGATCAGTTTTCCGGACAGTCCGTCGAAGAACAGTCCAAACGTGAGTCCGACTTCGGACACGAAACGGAGCGAACGGGGCGCATCGAACGACAACCTGACGACCGAATCGGAGGTGTGGTCGCCGATACCCCCGAGGCCGGACAGTACGAATCTGATCGATTTCAGCCCGGACAGTCCGGCTACGTGTCTGTCGCAGAACGACAAGAGGAAATCGGACGAGACCGAGTCCTTCGACGACAGCGCCATCTACCAACAAGTCAAGTACTTTCGGCGTTCGATACACGAGGTGAACGCGTTACTCGACCTGGATGGCTCGAAGACCGACGATGGTGCGAACGTTTACGAGGAGGTGGCGACGCCCGGTGGCGAGGAAGAGAACGGCTACGATTCGTTGGAGCACGTGTACGAGAACGTGGAGGGCGACGAGTTGAAGAAAGACGGCGCGAAAACCGACGAGCATGAGACCGTCTTGGTGGAGCGGTTCAACGTGAAAGACCTGAAGAATAAGTTCGAGGAGAAAATGGAGGCGAAAACTAAGTGCGCCGACGCGAAACCGAAGGCTCAGAAATTGGTAGATTCGCAGAAGCGGGAAGAGGAGAAGGAGGGGAACAAAAGTCAATCGAGGCGGGTGGTGTACGAGAAAGACAGCCTTCCGCCGTGTCTGCGCGCGCGCAACCTCAAGCATCAGCTGAAAACGCGCTCGCTAGACGAAAACGATTTCGACAAGGAGTTCGGAGTCGGGTTACGGCAGAGGCGGAAGTCGCTGGACGAGGGTGCGGCCTACAAGACGAATTCGCTCCCGAAAACGCTAAACCAACCCAAAAGGTTGCCAGCGGACGACGGCAGAGTCGAGTCGATGCACCTGGCGCACAGCGGCGAGAAGGTGAACGACAAGGACGGCGCGAAGGAACTGGAGGAGGAGCAGAAGAAGAGGGAGCGGATCGAGAAGTACAAAGAGGAACGGAGGAAGATACTGCACGAGAGGTACAGGTAAGCACCCGGGACGTTTTCAGTCCTCGTTTATCGCGTATCGTTTTCTTTTATTTTTAGTCCTTTTGGTTCCAAAGTTGTTCTGGTTAAATCGTATGTATAAAGATCTTTTTTTTTTCGCCTGGGGGAAGTGCACCGCTGTTTGGATGGGTTAGCACCGTCTTTTTTTTTATTCGATTATACTTGATAGGAGATGGGCCCTTGTCGTGTCTTGTTAATTTTTTTGAAAACCACATTTTGCGGAAAGTTTGCAACCAAACGGCTCACCAACTTTACCGTTAAAAAAAACTTGGCACAAGCAGTCTCAAATTTAAATCGCCTCAATTAATTTTAGTTCAAATGACCAACACTTTTATTTTCGTTTCTCGCTCCTATCGAAGATACTCGGGTTAATATCTTCGCCACTATATGTGTTTTTCGCTTAGGTTATATATTCTCCCAAAGATGGCGTAACGTAGAGCAGAAACACGCCCTCGACACCTACCTTTCCCGATCATGTGACGTCTATCGCAATACCAAAACAGTGGCGATTCACTAAAACTGATTAAAGGGTTTTCGTAGTTGTTGGTTAAAGTATAATAAAAACCCTAAATATAATAAAATAATGCTGAACAATATAGTTTGACAAAAGCTATCCTGCCAAATAATTGTCTTAAATACTTGGGGTGAAAAAACTTATGATTAAGCTGGCTAAGGGAAAATACTGGGAACTATTTTGAAGTTTCTAGAATGACCACCAGGGGACACAAATCTTAAATTTTAATATTGTATTAGAAGTATTTGATTCTTAGTTGTTAAATAGTTTTTGCTCTATTTTTCGAGACAAAGTGGTGGGGGTGTCTGAACATTTTCCAAAATAAATAGGATAATTGTTACACTTATCTCTAAAAATGCATATTCTAAGGTGTTTTGGAAGTTAATTTTTTGCACATTTTGTCACCTAACCAAAACTGGTCTGTAATGGTTATTTTACCACATGGTTAATTCGTTCTTCCACTTTAGTGGCTCAACTTTTTGTGACTGATGTAATATTTCTTGAAATGGACAAATATTTACCTACAACCCAATTTTTACTTTTTAAAATTAACAGCCTGAGAATTTTTATTTATTGCTAATTTGTGCAATTTTTAGATAAATGATATTAGAGAGGGTGATAAGGATGATTAACATCAAAGTTCCAATTTGAGAATAAAATCAAATCAAACACCGCAATATGCACTTTTTCATTCTTCAGGTCTGAATCATTCAAGGAAGACAAGGACGTTCTCCTGTCCCGCCTGAAGATCTACAAGGGCAAAGAAGAAACGTCGGAGGCGGGGCAAGCGCCGGATCCCGCGCTATCCGAACGGTCGTATCGAATCCGCAGGAAAAGTACGCGCAGCGAAAGCGAAGTGATAGTACCGAGCGAAAAGTCAAAAAATAACGCGGCAACTCCGCTCAAAGGCAGCCTGACGGATATAGCGGGCCGAGACGAGCGATCCGCCTCGGCGATCGAGCCCGCAAAACCCGCCCCCGGCAGCCTAAAAATAAAGGCGGCCATATTCGAGCAGCAAAACCAAAAATCTCAGCCGGTGATGATGGATTACGGCAAACACCGAACTTCCGCGAGGGAAAAGAACGAAGACACCGACCAGCAGAAGGTCAGTAAAGGGGCGGCGGATGAGACTTTAAAAGGTTTGGATTTTATCCGACACAAGCGGAGGGAAGACGAAGTGGCCAGGGAGGAGAGGCGGAGACATACGTACGAGACGAGGGAACGCGAGACCGAGATGGATAGGTTGAGGAGGGTTAGTTTGGAGAGCAGGAGTCCGAGGTTAGTGTTGGGCTACTGAACTTCAGAAGGTGGTCGGTATATTGCGTCACAAAGAGCGGGGAGAAGTCCTGTGGCGGCACATGTACACCCTGTGCCATATAAAACGATCCACTATACGATCTAGAAACCCATAGGAGATACGAAAAAAAGTTTCGTACAAAAGTGTCGGACTCTCCGGAAGATTTAAAATAATATAATTTTGTTGATACAGGGTGTCCCAAAAGTGTCTTGCCCGGTTTTATTTTAAATGAAAGGCCCTGCATATTCCGCCATTTTTTGAAACCTTCGTTAAATTCCTATTCAAATTTTGAATAATTTAGGCAGAAATTGAGGTTATGTGTTTTTTTTATTGCTCCATATAAAATTGTGTTGTGACGCTAATAATCCAGGACCTGCAACAAAAATTTAACCACCTACAAAGGAGATGTTGCATCTACTCAATCAGTTTGCCGTTTGGCGAATTCATTTAACAAAATCTCATGGTTTTCAAATGGAAAAGCCTATTTTTTTTTCAGATATCAATTCCAGGACAAAAAATATTGTAAGTTTGCAATTTAACTTATATTAAAATTTTACTTACTTTTTGAGATATTCGAGATTTAAAATAACACCCGTATTAATTTATTTATTTTTTAAATAGCAGAGACATGATACTACTTCTTTTAAAGATATAATACTCCAGATATTCGAATAAAACCTGTTGCTAACAATACAAGGTGTCCATTAATGCGTGAAAATTCTGAAAAAATCGACTCTATACTACAGACTTAATAAAACTTCAGAATTCATATTTAAAGAAGCATTTAGTAGTTAATTAGTTAGTTAGCTATCTAGCAAAAATAAATAATTAAAGTCTATAGGTTAATCAAAACACTATAACTATTATAACTATACAAATAAAATATATGCTAACAAAAAAATTGACAACTATGAATTTTTTGAATAGAAATATGAAAAACAACAATCAGAAATAACAAAGTTTGTTTATACCTTAATACCTCAAAAATAAAAAAAAGATTGTGATATCATAGCCAACTACATTTTTAAATATTTTGATATTTTTTTGATGTTTTGATGCCAGATGGACGAGCATTTTAAGAGGAACATTTTTAACTAAATTTTATGGACCGAATTAACTCACCCCTTTTAGTTATTTTTTTTATAGATTTATTTATTCAAATTTGTTACCTTGGTTAGTTAGCCTATAAAATGAGAAAATACCTAATATTGCCAGCAAGTGACCTAACGCGGATAGCTTTTCTAAATTCAACAAGAATTTATAGGTGTGTTGTTTTAAACCTCGAATATCTCAAAAACTAAATAAAATTTTAATATAAGATAAATTACAAACTTACCTTATTTTTTGTCCTGGAATTGATATCTGAATAAAAATACAGGGTGTTCTATTGGCAGGCAAATCTTGAGATTTTGTTAATTGAATTCACCAAATTTGGCACACGGTGTACATATACCTAATTCTAAAGTATTAAAATTGCAAGGGTGAAGAAAAACTTAAAAACATTTTTTTTCCTATTTTTCCTACTACTCGTTCTAAACTACTGAATCATCCACCCATCGAGACCTCAACAGCAATGTTGCCGGATTTACCACGTTTACGTTACACGTCATAGTTTTGTCGCTTTGTCGCCCTATTTATTTTTATTGCAATATTCACGTTTAAATATCTCCAAAACTGCCACAGCTGAAACGATAAAATTTAATCGCTGGGGGTTTTTGAATATGCAGAATTCAAAAAAGCTAACAGTAATGTTGTCAGATTTACCACTTTTTAGATACACCTCATAATTATGTTATTTCAAATGCAATGCCCGTTTTATTTTTATTGCAAAATTTTAGTTCTGTTAATTACAGAACTACGGCAACACCGCGTTTTCAGTAAAAAGTACCAAAACGCATAAATAATATCTCTGAAACTGTCGAAGCTGGAACGATAAAATTCAATACCTGGCAATTTTTGAATACGCAAAATTCAAAAATATTAACAGTAGTACCAGATTTACCACCGTTAATAAAACAATTCTGAACATCGCAGAATTTTGGAGGTTTTTGAAAATAGACAGCTTTAGAAGTGTATCACTTAAAGGTTACCAGAATTAGAAATATCATCGCAAAATCTGACAACATGCCGGTACTTGTTACTATCCCGATATAATATTAAAAAACATTAAAATTGCACATTTAATATTTTTTCAATTTAACAATATGCAAAAAAATGTGGAAATAATTTTTCATTTACAGGAAGGAGAGGACCTCGCCGACCTACTGCATTAAGGACATGAAGGCAATTTTCGAATCAAAATCCAAACAATAACTTCGAGAGGGTTATTATACAATTTACAATTTTAAAGATATTACTAACTTAAATATGAATCGACCAAATTTATTCTACGACTTCGTTTTGCTAGAATTAACGAGTTATGTTTTTTTTTTGTAAATACTCTCGTATATAGGACGAAACGATATTTTTGATTTAGGGACACATGGATGACGTGTAGATGGTACTAAGGCCACATATTGATACGTTGGGCAACGTGCGTGACATTTTTGTTATTTATTTTTGTACGTTTTTTTGGTTGTTATATGAAGTTAGGTTAGGATATTTTTGACATTTTGTATCGCAGTTTACGGCCTGTCCCAATTTTTTAGTAGGGACTGCTCTGCAACGGTTCTGTTTTGTTTTTGATGTGCTCTCACTAGGAGTGGAACTGCTATTGGCGTGTATCACTGATGCTTAAACGTTTCGAAGAAAACGTCTCCTTCAACGATAGAATATTACATCGCAAATTTTCTGCCTATATAGTAAACGACAATAATTAAAAACGTTTTCTTTGAGTCGAATCGCTGCTTGTTTCTCTGAATATAAGTGTTCTTGTCTCACCTTATTTATTTAAACTCAGTTGTATATAATGTAACTATGCTTTAATATTGCAAATATATAGTTATGTTAAATAAATCAAACCGAATTTCGTGTTAACTTATTTTACCAAACCTGTCCCGTGTAATTCCTGTACACTTTGTTCGCCGATATTTAACGCACTAACGACATTTTTTTTGTAGCGCCTTCTTCAATCAAAGCTGTGAAAATAGAAAATTAAACTTCATTTTAATTTTAAATCTGTACTTTTACATTCATATAACCAAAAAATGTTAATTAAAAAAATGAAATCGAAGCCAACATAGGCAAACAATTTCGATTTTTTAACCTTCATTCTCTTACTGTATTAGAATGTTTTGCGCATATATAACTGATGCGTCGCAGATGGCTATGAAATCTTCGTAGAGAATGTATGGACCTTTTGCGCATGCTTCACCCGCCAGCTGACTGAGTTGCTACATTGCCGTATTTTTTTTTTTTGGAAAATGCATTTTTTTTAAATCTCTGAAATCCGAACATAATTGGCAACGTCGAGCTAATTAATTACTATTGTCGCAGAATAGTCTGTGTCCTGTGCCACAGTTGTTTTCATTTTTGACGTCAATATCTCCGTACCGTACTCACAAACTTGTAAAATTTGTGCTTTCAATACTTTGTTCTTACACGAAATTGCAGCAAATGTGGCAAATATGAGGACCTAACATTTAACAAACTGGAAAATAGACTTACACAAATATTTACATATGAATTTACCAAACAGAAACATCTTTGGTTAGACTTAAATAGCTCCAGGAATAATGTTAGGGTAATATGTTTTAGTGTACAAGAATTACAGCAAACATAACAAAGCCATTAAGTTTCAAGTTGAATTTTTATTAGAACAAGCAGTATTTCTTACTCCTTGTCAACCACTGTCTATAGGAGGTGGCTTCTTGAACATTTTTTCATTTAGGTCTCTTGAGTTATTTCAATGGAGGTTAAACCTATGAGTTTATGAAAACGCCGCTTTGGGCCGATTTACAAAAAAAATAGCTCACATAAAAAAATGCAGGTAGAAATTGCATCGTATCTACTTGAAGAACAAAATCAATTCTCCATTGCTTTTCCAGACCTTAAATCCTTTTTTGTCTGAACATTTAATAGGATTTCGACATATTTTGAGAAAACACTGCCGCAAGGTCTTATGGGTACTACGCCAGAATTTGTCATTGGAGCTGCCATTGGTTAAAAACGAAATTTTAAACCTCGCGCAGCATGCGCACTTTCGTTGAACCTTCTCAAAAACATTTTACATAGTTCCTTGACAAGTTCCTGCACTGTTAGCACAGGTAGGTATGTCTAGTAGCTATATAGCGTATACTAATAAGATGAGAAAAAATATTGAGATGATGGGATATTTAATATGCGCATGCGCGGTCATTTGAGGTCTCGTTTTCAACAACAACTCGTTTCAAACAACCCAACAATCTTAACCGCGACTCAGGTCTTTATCAGGCATCCGAGACGGTGTTTATGCCCCTCATTTAGCTCCGCCCCAAGGGTGCGAAAGATCTTTAGGAGTTAAATGAGTTAGCTTATGGTGGATTGGAAAATCTGGCGGTATTTATATGCCATAATTTAAAAGATCCTTCTGAAACATAGTTATTTTCATTTAAGTGAAGGTCATTTGTCCAACCTTCTCCAACATTTATGAGCAGTATTAAAGGACTAAATATAGTATTTAAATTTAATTTAATTTAAACTTTATTGTTAAAAAGTAAGTCAAAACTACGTCCCGCGAAGGCAAAACGCCTTTTTTTCAGATCTAGGATGTTCTTTAGAATGAAAGAACATGATAAATATGTGAGTGAAACCAAAACCAAAAAAAGGAAATGGCATAAAATTTTGTCTTAATTAAACCGTTAAAACTTTTAGGATTGACAAACATCTGACTTTTTGTATGTTTCGGATGGGTTTTTAAATATTTTCTTTGGGATTTGTGTTTTTCTGGAGTAACATCATTTTCTTAATAATAATAATTAATTAACATCAATTAACTTTAACACAGAGCACCCAAATTATAAGTATGGCTATTAAGACATTTAATGCGCTTCAAGTGTAAATGTTTGTAAGTGTAAGGCGAAAGTCAGTGGAATACTCTAGGAGATCTCACCACCAAAATATCTAGCTTTAATCGGTAATCAATACGTATAAAATATATAACAATATTATTTCTGATGCAGAGGTTTACTCAAATAAGTCTATGTTGCCTTAATATATTGCCCATGTGTATTTAAAATTTGCATTATATGGGAGTTTTATAGTCCGTACTTTATTCCTTTTCCCATTCGTGAGGGGGTTTTCTTTCTCTACCAGCCTCCTAGGAATAGTAATTCTATGCTGAAAAAACAGGAATTTTTAAAGCGAAGCGATGATAAAAAGCATATCGGGAAAAGCAATTTCTTTAATGTGCGCATGCGCGGTCATTTCAAATGTCATTTCAACCAATAAGATTTGTCATCTCAAGCCAACCAATAACACTTGGCGGCGTTTAACATCCAACATGGCCGCTGACACTGCTGATAGTTCGGCTGGATTTTGTTTAAATCTAGCATTTTTACGGCAGCATTTACTCGAAATATGATCACATCTCGTTAAATAATGTGAAAACGAGTTGTGTGTGGTGATCGCAGTTTAGAAAGAATATAGCACAAAGTTCAGGTCAGTGTGCAAAATTAGAGGCATGCGCGCAAAATGGTTTCCTGCTCATTAATTTTAACGTCCGAATTATCCAATAGCTACGATCGAGGATTTCGTCGGTGCTTCACTGACATAAGAGATCTTGCAAATTGTGAGCATGGAACGAAACGAAACGACAGCCTTAAAGAATAAACAAATCTAGACTATCCCAGTGGAGAAACTCCTACTCTTTGTTAATGTCATTTATGCGTCTTTGTTTGCGTCGAGGCGCACGCATCTGTCATTTGTGTCTATTTTACCTTTGACACTTGTTTGGGCTTCTGCTAGATTTTGCTTTCGTCGTAGTTCGAAGTTGGAAGCATTTTTGTTGGAATGAACTAGTTAAAATGAGTTGTTTCAAACGGGTTTGCAGATTGTGCTTGACGCGTACTGATGACTATACGAGTGTATTTGTCGCCGTCGAGCCTCTGGGTCTGCCCATAACAGCATTACTAAAAGCTTTTTTACCCGATTTGGTATGCAGCGATAGCTTTGTAAAAAAGTAATTACATGAATTTTTATTTTCTAGTACACAGGTCTCTCTGTCAATCCCGTAGTATGTAAGAACTGCCTCATTCAGCTAAAAAACACATACCTTTTCCGTCTAAAATGTTTACAAACAGAAAACCTCATTGGGATATATTTACGTGAATCCCGATGCACTGCGCTTTGTATCAATCTCGAAGATGTCCTTTACTACTGGTCCAAAAATGACTCCAAACTTAATAAAAGTGGGCAAGATTTATTAAGTGAACCTACCCCGATGTCGTCAGTTGATGGGAAAATAGTTTTAAATAGCAAAGTGTTTTCTCTCATTAACATGGATTTAACGGAGCGTGCTAAAGACGCTTTAACAAAAAATGTAAAGACCTATGAAAAGAATAAATCTGGCAATAAACCCATTGCTAAACCTGATAAAAATAGTGTACCGGATTTGCAAAAGGATCCTTTAGAAATTACCATAGAGAAGAGCCCTGAATCCTTACCTGTGGAGAAGAATTTACAATCAGATTTAAAGGAAATTGTGGTGAATTCAAAACTTGAAGGTAATTTAAAAGAGGTGACAAATTCATTACCAAGTAAGGAGACCTGTGAAGTTGCGAGCAATGGTGGTATGTTAATCATTTATTATGACAATTGCATTCTCTAGATTAATTGTTAAGTTATTTTACAGTTTTTGAAAAAAAATTACTGCTGTTATATTTGCTTATTTGTTATTATCAGAATCCAATGATTCAGCTACTGGTAAGGCCGGACAAAAATTATCTGATGAAGTGCCAAAAGAGAGAATAAGGATCCGCTCTGACTTAGAGTTAAAGAGTGTGCGTACCCTCAACCATGAACTGTACCCTCAACCCCAAGTCCCCGACAAAGGGATCCCATTAAAGGTAATTATCAAACCCTCGCCAGCTTTGATGAAAGAGCAACCAAAAGTATTAAACTTTCGTCAATTCACGCCCGTGCGTCGGTACAAAAAGATATTACCCCGAAAACCTGTAGAAAATTTAATAGGACCAGAACCTAAAGTACAATTAGAAAGTGATCTAGCTGCTAATGAGAAGTCTACACACTTAGGAGAAGGACAGGGTGATTATATTAAAGAAGAGCCCTTAAGAGGCAGTGAAAACGAGTTAAGTTGCTCTACCCCTTCAGATGAAGACACTACAAGCGCCAGTGAGAGTTATATGTGTGAGAATATTTTAGAAGAGAACAGTAAAAATGGAGTCCAAGATATAATCGATAAGATACCAGAAGTTTCGGAGGATGCTGTGGATGTTCCAGATTATGTACAGATAAATAAGATTAGTTACGAGGATCTAGCAAAAATGTGCAAAGAGAATAAGCTCCATTCTTTGCCCCGAAAAGGTAGGTTTGTAATAATATTCCCCTTGTGTGCAGTAGTTTTTCTGTTCATTAAGTTTGAGTTTTTTATACTTTGTAAAGGACCCTTGTTGCTAAACATCTAAGGACATTTTTGGGTTTGCTAATAATTCAAATCTACTTTTAACACCCTCAAAAAGGTAGGTTTTTATTAATACTCCACTTATTTGCAGTATTTTGTCTGTCCACTAAGTTTAAGGTTTTTATACTTTATAAAGGACCCTTGTTGCTAAACATCTAAGGACATTTTTGGGTTTGCTTGAGGAAATAAATCTCATTGGTATTCATTATTCTAACTAATAATTCAAATCTACTTTTAACATTCCCAAAAAGGAAGGTTTGTATTAATACTCCCCTTGTGTGGGGTAGTTTCTTTGTTTACTAAGTTTGAGCTTTTTATACTTTGTAAAGGACCCTTGTCCCTAAACATCTAACTTTAACTTTTTTACACCCCCCAGACGAGAAAGTCAAAATGTTGCCCGCACACAGAATGTCGCGGCGGTGGCCTAGAAAAAGACTTAGACTGGTGGCGGTAGACGCGAAAGAATTGCAAGACATCAAAAAGAAAAAGTTGGGCGCAGTTCCATTGAAGGCGAAACAGCAAATACTGAGTGCCGACGATGAAAAACATGTAAGTTCGAAAGATGTGGTAGTTCTTTATACCAACCTCTCAAAGGACGGGGATTATGTCAGCGACCACGATTATCTCATCAGTCCCTATAGGAGGAATAATTTGTTTTTCCCGAGATGGAATAAGTGCTTCTGTCTTTGTTTGCTATGCGGTAAAATGCAAACGGAAGTCGAACACAAAGAGGTAAGCGTAAGCTAATGAAAACTGGTAAGGCATCGTGTAACGTCTGTCTGCGATATTTCTAGCACATGATGGGTCATAGTACGGTATGCGATGTCTGCGGGGTCGATTACCATAACGCCTTCATCCTGAACCTACACGCGAAGTGTCATAAAATCTTTTGCACCGACTGCAACGAGGACATCCCCTATGGAAAGTACAAGAAGCACTGTCTCAATCACCACAGCAAAGTGAGGGTGCTTTTGCTTTTTCTCCATGTTTGGTTTGCCAAAATTTTCTGTTGTAGGCCGTAAAGAAAGCGGAAAGTAGTTTAAATGCTTCCGATTCGGGGAAAGGAAACAGTATCGATCCCAAAGAATCGAGCGTGGCCGGGTCTTTCAAATCGACTGACAGTGGTAAGATACCCACGCTTCGGAAGTACGAAAATACGGCAAAGAAAAGGCGAAGGAGCGCGCCCCAAAAGGAAGGTAAGACCTTGATATTTGAACTACTAAGTAGTTCAAATGGCCGCCGGCAAGATTTACCGATAATTTTATGCAGCATCTGGAGACGAAAGTAAAGGCGAGGATGACCAAGAAGATGAGGAGGCAGGTAAACCAGTGAAACGTTCAAAAATGAAAACAAAGGGAAGAGAGAAGAACAAAAAGTTGAAATCGCGGGCTGGCGAGGAAGAAAGTGAAGACGAAGAATGTCTTCCCGGGCAATATCGCGCAACGAAAAGTTTGTATCGCAGAAGAACGCTGAGATCTCGCGCCAAAGCGTCAGCTAGCTCAGGTAAGCTGGTTGTTCTCTTAGGGGTTTAAGTGTGAAACGGTTCCCTTGCAGATGATTTGCAATTCCCGAGGCGAAGGTCCCCCAGGTGCTCCAAATGATTGGCGATTTAAGAGGAGTTTGTACATAACTTTGAGTGTTCCCTATTAAGTAAATCAACGTGAAGTTTTTGTTTCACTTTAAGTCAGCACACCACACAATTTTTATACCGTTTATTTATCTTAGGGAGAAATAAATTATAACGAGAATGATTTAATTAGAATACAGCTTTATGGTTGCATCCGCTCCCGACGAAAACACCCACGGCTGCAGGGGGTGGAAGTGCACCGCGAAAATGCCGAAGTCGTTGTAAGGCTCGTGATTCTGAAGCCGTTTCAGCGGTACGATCAAGGGATTTTGTAAGAGGTCGCTAGAAACAAGCATATATGTCTGCATATTGGGGAAAATATTAGTTTACTTACTTGTACACCATCCCGTGGGAAATTATCAAACTCCTGTCGTCCGAGCCTGTCGCGAAGAGGGGATACCTCTTGTGGAACGCGACCCCACGCACACCGGTTCCGTGTAATCTCAAAGTCTGATAGGGTTTCGTGCTCAGGTCCAAATCGAACCACAGCACTTTGCGGTCATGCGTTCCGACTAGAAGATTGTCGCCCAATGGATGAATCGCCATGGTTGATATCCACTTTGAGTTGGTCAACAATTTTTTCAACTGCGACTGCTTTATCAGGTCATATATTCGAACGTGTCGCTGGGTGGCCACGAACAGATAGGGTTTGGTAGGGTGAAACAGAATACATTGCACCAACCCTAAAAATAAAAGTTCCCGCTTGCATAGGCTTTGTAAATCAGCTGCGATAGTTTTGGTTAGTTTTAATTTGCCTTTACAAAGGATGACTCCAATAAAAGCAAAGTGGTTTTGGTACATTTGACCTACTTATAGAAGCATTTCAAAGTACCTCCTACTACTGTAGCTAGCACTAACCTTTTGATTTAGTAAATGGCAGCTGGCTCCTCCTTTTAGATATCTGGGATATTAAAATAGATTTACTTTGCCCGTCAGGCATAACCGACCCGAAATAATCCCCCTTGCCGTGCCACGTCACTTGACTGACTTCTTTAAAGTGTTTTAATTGTATCCTAACACCTTTAGAGTGCAATTCTTGCTCCGGCTCGCACCACTGAACTGTAGTCCGGATTCTTTCGATGATTATTTCATCGGACTTGGGAGCTTCTTCAAGCACAGTGTCTGTTGTGCTACTCACAACAAAATCGCCGACGTCTGGGTTTATTAGGAATACGTTATGGCCAGATGCTACCAGAATTAAAGAGAGAGCAGAGTTGGGGCACCATTCGACGGACCTCACTACATCTCCTGTGGGTATTGTCTTGAGACACCGACCTGTATTGACTTCCCAAATTTTCACTAGAAAAGGAACAACTCAATGGTATATCTGATTGCAGGAAATCTAGGCAATATACCTGTGCCATCATCGGATCCACTAACTAGGTACTGCCCAGTTTTTTCTGTACTAATTGATCTAACCATATCTGTGTGCCCTTTGTATTCTATAGCTAATACAGTGGGGAACGGTTGTAAATCTCGGGGACTTGGTAATTGAGGTACTAAAGATTCAGGATCAATATTTAATTTCATTTTTATCGCTCTGGGTGCCAAGTACAAATCCAAACATCTCAGGAAACGCTCCTTGATGAACCTGGGATAGGCGGGAACTTTTCTCAAAGAATCATACTTCTGTGGCACAAAATGCAACTTTCTCTTCCAGGGTGAATTCTTCTGTTTATTCCAATCTTTCAGTTCTTTTGCATCAAATAAATATTCAGGCGGTGGATTGTAAGACTCTGCATGCCCAGGTAGCAAACGTTTTGGAGCGGGAATGTGTTTGTGAATTCTTCTCATCTCTTCAGCTTGATCGTCAGTTTCCCACAGCATGTAAAACTGAGGCTCTTTTTTGGCTCTTAATTTAGCTTGTTCCTCTCGAGTCTTGATCCACCCCATTTTCAAAGCATGTACTAACTTGGAAACTTTCTTTGCTTCACTTTTACTGGGCAAAAAAGAACGTTTGTGTTCGGGGAACTTTCTGATGGGCATTTGTTCTACTTTGCTGGTAAACCTATGGAATACATTCTAATATGGGTACAGGTACAGATAATATGTATTACCATTCAATCCAAGGGGCATATTCATCAAAGTTTATATCGGGGACCATTTGACCTTGTATCCTCTTAATTAAAGTAATATCTTCATCACTAAGTATTACATTTTGCCCAGTTTGGGGATCTTTAACAGTTCTCCAAAAGTCAGGATCTTCCATTCTCTTCAGAAAGTCATCCAAATGATCACCCGTGTCTGGTTTGATAATTTTTTTCCCATCCCAATCATATCCAATGTGTTTGTAATCATCATACCTGTAAGCTCAATAAAAAATAATTAGAAGGTTGTGAATACACCATTTAACTCACCAATGTTTTGGTATATTGCCTATAGTATTCCTAATGTCTTCTTCATCACTGGTGTCATGATCTTCATACTCGTCTTTTGAAGGTAATTTTATTCCATTATCTTCACTAGGCTGCATAGTTTCTGATGTCCCTTCTTTATCTTCTTTGAAATAATCTTCTGACTCTTCTTCACTTTTGGATGCATCTGGATACTTTCTGGAACTTTCTTTGACTTCATTTTCACTTGCAGAACTATCCTCTTCATCTTCACCTGACTCTTCACTTTCTTCTTCTGAATATCCTGAAATATTGTCACTATCTTCTTCACTTTGTTCTTCAATAGATTCGTTATCTTCATTATCGCTTTCTTCTATTTCCCTTTCGGAATCTGAACTGTCCACTTCGTTAACAATTCCCGTAAAAATATCCTAAAAGTTCATGTATTAAAATTCTAAAAATAAATAGATTCTTGTGTACCTCGTCATTGGATTCTGAATCTTGATTCTCTGGAACGGTTTTTGATATTCTTTTGACTTTGCCTGATTTTCGTGGTAAGGAATTCTGCTGCTTGCCCATATTATAAAAAAAAAACAGAAAAAATGTATATCAAACAATCCCACGTGAAATTAAATTCTGGAAAATAGGTTAGAAAGTTCATTTGAACTACTGCGAAGACTGATATTAGTCATTGAATCCGATTCTTATTTTGTGGTTGACTTACCAAATTGTATTATCTATGATGACAACCTCTTCTAGCGTAAGGAGCATTGAAAAATAAAAAACTGCATGGAATACTGACTACTATAAATTTTAATACGCTTTATTTGCATATTTATAACAATCAGTGGTGTGAATTCAAGTAATTTTGAAAACTTAAACGAAATGGGCAAATTAAACGTTACATTGATGAGGTACCTAACACCAGAAGACTTTAGAGTACTAGTCGCTATTGAAATGGGAATGAAAAATCACGAACTGGTTCCCGGTCCGATGGCAGCTTCAATCGCTAATTTGCAGCACGGAGGCGTTCACAAGTTGCTTCGCGAACTCTGCAAGCATAAATTATTAAGTTATGAGCGCGGCAAGAGATATGACGGTTACCGATTAACCAATACTGGCTATGACTATTTGGCTTTGCACTCGTTGACGAAACGTAACGTGATCGGATCATTTGGTAATCAGATAGGAGTGGGTAAAGAGAGTAACATTTACACTGTAGCCGATCCAGATGGGCGCGAGTTATGTTTAAAATTGCATAGACTTGGGAGAGTGTGCTTCAGAAAGGTTGCTGAAAAAAGGGATTATCACAAGCATAGGTGGGCGAGAATTAAATCACTAAAATAATCATAACTACAAATAATGGTTTCAGGAAATCGGCTTCATGGTTATACCTTTCTCGCATTTCTGCAACAAAAGAGTTTGCTTACATGAAAGCATTACATGATAGAAGCTTTCCTGTACCGAAACCAATTGATTTTAACCGACATTGTGTAGTTATGGAACTGGTACAAGGTACACTATTGAACCATGTGGCAGACGTACAAGATGTGGAAGTACTCTATGATGAATTGATGAATTTGATTGTAAACTTTGCTAATTCAGGGGTTATACATGGTGACTTTAATGAGTTTAACATTATTCTCAATGAAAATGAAAAACCAGTTGTAATTGATTTTCCGCAAATGATGTCCACTGAGCATCCAAACGCGGAAATGTATTTTAACAGAGATGTCACTTGTGTCCGGGAGTTTTTCAAGAAACGGTTCTGTTTCGAAAGCGAAACTTTCCCAATATTTTCCGATATTCAAAGAAGTGACACTTTAGATGCTGAAATTCTGTGTTCTGGGTTCACTAGACAAATGGCTAAAGATATTAATTTGGAATTAGGGTTTGAGGATTCTGAAGATAATGATAAACTTTCTTCCGACGAAGAATTCTTTGATGCCGAACCGGAAATTAATAAAAATTTTGAAACTCTAGGCGATCCTCGAAATCCAGTTTCCATTAATGATATATTCAGTAATACTGAAATGTTGAAAATGGATAAGTATTCTGATGACTCTTTCTCTGAAAGTGATTCTGAGCAATTTGAATCTGCAAGCATTAGATCAACAGTGACGACGATACATCCAGAAGAGATCAAAAGAAGAATTAAACTGGAGACAAAAAATAGAGTGAGAAACGCGCAGAGGAGAAAGTGCGTAGCTAAAGGTGAAGCAAACGCGGTCACCAGAACCAGAAGGGAAAACCGAGACATAGTGAAAACAAGCAAAGGAATCTGGGGTTACGAATAGACTTAGTTTTTCAAACAACATATGTCTTATATAAATAAGCTTTTCTTTTTTATATCGTTTTTTTTTGGAAAATGAATTTCCAAAATGCTGCTCCAATTTTAATGAATAATTCGAATATTGTTTCTTTTTTCATTCAACTCCCAAAAGTTTAGGAAATTAGTATATTATGCAAGAAGTGCGGCAAACGCCATTTAACTCACGAGTTTATTTGGCACGAGCGGACCAAGTGTTTAATAAACGAGTGAGTCAAAAAGTTTACAGACCGTGTTGCATACTATACTTTTTCTACGACCGTTAGTTTTTGGGTTCATTTTCGCGAATACATTCACTGACATGACTGTCAGAATTGACAAACGTCAAAATTCAAAGCGTGGGAAATATCTCCGAAAACATCCGATTGCTCCCAAACCCGTGCGGTAAAGTGGCTCGGATTCGTGGGAAACGAAACTGGCGTGGTAAAGCGACGCTTTCCCGCACGCTAGATCGGTGCGTAATTAGGTATTTTACAGACGGGAGTAGGAAAAATGTTTTACCAATTGACTTCTATAGGCTTTCCGATAAATTTGTTTTACAGTATTATTCAGCGACTTCAATTGCTTATGAATTTAATAGCGGTGGAATGAATTTGATAACGATGACGTTATTCCAAGTTTCATGATGTGCCCTTAAGGCAATGATTTTCGCGACGTAATGAGAAATAAAAAGTAAAAAAATTAAAAAAAAAATTAGTAGGCTACCTAAATTCCTTAATCATGTTCTCTGCGCTTTTGTTAGTTGTCAAAATCAAAAAAGGGAATGACTTAATAGATAACCGCAGAAACTAAACGGAATAACGTAACGTAATTAATAGTAACAAACTTAAATATTTTGGCTCAATTGATAGATAGGGGCCTGAGTGGCGAATTAATAATAACTAAATTTGAGTTCTGCTGATAACTGCAAGCTGAAAAAAAAGTTAGTTACATTTTGTTTGGTCGGGTTGGTTTTCATTCCGCACCAGACCACGCCTAAACCTTACCAATCAAAACGCTGTGCTTTGTTTTCATAATAATGGTGTTCGTTTAGATTTATGTGTTGTCCGGTGTCTTCGAAATTCCTCGTAGTTTTCCATTAATTTCCTAATTTTTCGTTTTTCCCTTGATTTCAATAGCATACACTGTAAAACTTGTGAATTATGTCAAGCGAATCTGTCAAAAATGTGAGTATTCATTTAATATTGGTTTTTGTTTATATCAAATGCATTTGTTTGCTTGAATGACAGTTTTTTTTAGTTCCATTACATCAAGTGCTATTTTGTCATTATTTTAAATGTATCATTTTAAGTTTTCAAGCATTGAAACTCCGGGTTATGTGGGTTTTGCGAATTTGCCGAACCAAGTGCACAGAAAATCGGTAAAGAAAGGGTTTGAATTCACCCTTATGGTCGTAGGGGAAAGCGGTTTGGGAAAATCCACTTTAGTAAATGCTCTATTTCTCACTGATTTGTATCCAGAAAGAGTGGTACCAGATGCCGTTGGTGAGAAGATATTTATTGATGTCTAGTTGCCCCTCAATTCAAGTGTTTTATGTTTTTTACAGAAAAACTTAAACAAACTGTTAAATTGGAGCCTTCCACGGTAGAAATTGAGGAAAGGGGGGTCAAGCTTCGGTTAACTGTAGTGGACACCCCAGGCTATGGAGATGCCATAGACAATACTGACTCATTTTCAGAAATTATTAGGTACATAGATGAGCAGTTTGAGAGATTTTTGAGAGATGAATCTGGTCTAAATAGGAAAAATATTATGGATAATAGGATACATTGTTGTTTTTATTTCATTTCTCCATTTGGGCATGGGTAAGTTAAACAAGAAAGTTTCAGTTATTTGTTTATTTAAATTAACAGGAAGTGATGATGCTATTTCCTTTTGCTTTAAATTGGATTGCGCAAATAATAGGGTCAGTGTCTAACAGTTTTTTAACAGTTAGGGATATTAGATATTCAGAGCAAATAAAATTAATATTTTGGGACCATGCCTTGCATTATTCTTAATATTGCTTAAGTATGATTAAAAACAAATTCACAGATGGTACCAAATCTGGTCAATTTTGTGTCCCTGATGCTTTATTTTATTGTGTAAGCTGTACTCTTAATATTTGTTTATTATTTTTCATTTTCAATTATATGAAAATAATAAAATTAATTTCTTTGTAAGCAAATTAATAGTGTGGTAAACCCATAAAAAAGTTTGCCAAATGTGTTGCATACTATACTTTGTCTACCACACTTATTTTTTGAATACATTCACTGACATGATTGTCAAATTGACAAACCGTTGTGGGTAATATGTTCAAAAACATCCGATTGCTGCCAATTGGTGTATAATTTCTCTGTTTTACAGAAGGTACTGAAAAAACAAATTTGACCCAGTTTTAGCAATAGGTCTTAGAAAGTACAAATACACAAAGCCAGGTAATAAGAACACCCGCTTATAGGCGCTTATAAAATACAGAGGTGACAGTTCGGAATTCAAACTGCTTAGTTCTTTGTAACTGCAATATCTAAAAACACCTTTTAACTTTGAAAAAGTCTCACAAAAATAAGCAAGAGCAGAAAATATTGAAAGACGCACGTGAAATAGAGTTTGAAAACAAAAAAGTCATTGTTTGCAAACCATATCGCTATTGTTAAGAGAATAACTATTTGTTACTTTAATGAACAATACATTTTGTTACAGTGTATCGAGTTCAATTTGATACATAAAACTATTATTCTGTGTATTATGTGTCAGTAAACTACTGTGGCAATGTCCAGTACTGGCAACATTATCTCAGCTCCTCCTTTTATTATATATTACACTAAACAAAATATGGGGCTGTACAAAATTCATGCAGACTTTCACAACTACCGGGCAAGGAATGACAATAACCTTGTGTCTAACTTCTGCCGACCCGATATTCGGCATTACAATTCTACCGACTAATGTTGAAGTCCTGGTGTATTTTAAAAGGTTATTTAAAAAAATCAAAAATTAATTTTTGCATTTGCTATTTAATTGGTTAAGTATTTGTTTTTCTCTCTGTATGAATGTTTACCAATAAACTATCCATTTTTATATATTTACAATCACTTCCAGATTAAAACCTTTAGATGTGGAGTTTATGAAGCAGCTTCATAACAAGGTGAATATAGTTCCTGTAATTGCCAAAGCAGATGTGTTGACCAAAAAAGAGATGCAGAAGTTGAAGAAGAAAGTGCTCGACGAGATCGCCGAACACGGCATCAAAATTTATTCATTGCCCGAATGCGATTCCGATGAGGACGAAGAGTACAAAGAGCAAGTGCGTCAGCTAAAACAGGCGGTACCCTTCGCGGTATGTGGCGCGAACACTCTGCTCGAGGTCAAGGGGCGGAAAGTCAGAGGTCGGTTGTACCCTTGGGGAGTGGTTGAGGTCGAGAATCCGGACCACTGCGACTTTATCAAGCTGCGCACCATGTTGATCACCCACATGCAGGATTTGCAGGAAATTACGCAGCAAGTGCATTACGAGAACTACAGGTCCGAAAGGCTGGCCAAGGGCGTACCACCTCCCAAGAGAAACACGTATGCTGTTTTTTATTGTTTATATTTGTCCCGTATATGAAAAAAATTATGTTTCGTCATATTCAGTACAACAAATCGACAAAAATATTGAATTTCAAAAATTAGGACAATAAAATATATTTCAGATAATATCTTTTTTATTTTTTCAGGATTGTGGATGAAAAAACGAATCTAGTCAGCGATAAAGATAAAATACTTCAAGAGAAGGAGGCGGAACTGAAGCGGATGCAGGAAATGATCGCGGCAATGCAAGCGAAAATGCAGCAGCAGTAGAGCCGTCGAAAGAATCTCTTCCACCAAGCTTTCCTTTCGAATCGAACATATCCTTAACCGTTGCCTATCGCAGATATATTATTTTTTGCTCAGATCTTATATATTTTTTCTAGGTTTATTATTATGAATTAAGCGTTCTACGCGTTAGGAGGCCATATTTTTTTACTTACTTAGCTCCTAAATAGGGTTCAGTTAAGGGAACCGCAGATTTGATATATAGTCCAAAGTATATATTATAGTATACATTTTCTAATTAAATATATATTCTTTCAAAACTTTGTTTTTCGATATTTTTTTTTGGTTGGGTTGGGGGAAATAATACCACAATGGTAGTAAAAAAAATTAACGTTGTATTTGTGGGAATGAAACAGTATTCGATAAACAAACTCATATTAATAGACTAAATGAAACTGCTAAAATATACAACAGTATCACAGTGTAAAGAAACAATTGAGCCAAAATGTAAGGACGATTAGCTTAGGCTAATAAACTTTATAACAGAATACAACGATATTAATATTGGTATAACGCTATCGGGTGATATGTTGGTCCCTGTACCGCAAAGTTTGATTTCGCTTTCCTGCAAGTGAAAAACTGGAGTGAGAACACTGCGTTGTCGAACTAAGCCCCGCCCACCTCGTCCAGAAACGCGCGATCCGATCAACATCGATAACGGTACGGAAGCCATGTTAATAGTGACTATTGCACCTCTTATTTTTACGTTGCTTTACTGTATTATTTGAAGCGCGACGCACTTAATAAAATTCAACACTAAAAACGGCGGAATACAGCTCTCCCATTAATAAAGTTTAAAGCGTCAGTAGTAATATAAGTTTCGAAAATAGCAAATAATGTGGGCTGCGAGAGGCTAAAATCCTTTTTTAAATCCTAATATCCTAATCATCATTTCTAAGTTAAAAGCTCTGTGTCTGCTTACTCATTTGGAAGTTTATCATTAAAATTAATTAGGTTGTGATTCTAAATCAGGCCAAAATTGTTGAAACAGACTTAATCTAAACTAACGTCAACAAAACAAAGAGCAAAAACTAAAAATGTTAGTTCAAAATAATGTCAGAAAAATGAGGTTCTAACTCGCTAATAACCAATATAATGACATACAGGTGAAGTTTTATAAGAGGTGCAAGAAGTCCCTATTATAACGTCTACTACTACGTCACTGCGTTAAAGTAGGCGGAGTGACGAGGCGCTTGCAACGTCTTGACTCATGCCTACCTTTTCGTTTCGGTTGATGCAACTCATGTACAAGCGTCGCGGCAAATCTTGCTGGTTCATGAAACAGGCCAGCGTCATGTTGTAATCGATCTGGGTCGGGTCGGGCATTGCGGGGAATATGTCCACCTTTTCCTGACACAGATTATTAATCACGATGAAAACCATGTTGCTGCCCGTCACCCGCTGAACGATGAAGGGCCTGTAGTTAAAAAAGTCAAACTCGGTTGATGGTCGCATCCGTTTAGACTGTTTCTCAATCTTTTTATTAACCTCAGCGCCAGTAGTGAATGTTAACTCTCTTGTCGCCCGCGCCGCCTTGACTAAAGTTCGTGAGACAATTTTAATTTTATATCTCAACTTATAAAAATTTCCCAGGCAGTAGGGGCTCGTCAAAGTGGCGTCATTTTCGTCGCTCCTCACATTGGCGTGACAAAAACACGACATGAAATTAACATGACAAAAACGACGTCGAATGTCGTCTTAAAATGATTCGATTAATTCTATATATGGACTCTAAACTTAATAATTAATTTAAGTTATTATCAAATTCTTCTATTTAAAATAATGATGTAGGAGAATATGTCTAGAGGGTATCCAACTAGTTTGTCAGAGTAATGTATTTCGTTTTTTATTGGCTTCAGAGAAAAATGTTAAATACAAAAGGTACAGACGAGAGTAAAAGAAACATTCTAAAATTATTTTTAAATTTAAATGTTCATAAATATGTGAGATATCAAACTTACATTTTCAAATGGGCCACCCTATATATTTTATATTTTATACTCAATCACCCACCACCCAAAAAATGCACCGTTTCGGACAGATTTATTTTTATAATGTCAACAATTTTATAAAGTGGTACAGTCATTTATCCCATACTTGTCTTGAAGTTAGTTCGAATCAATTATACAAGTAGCCAACAAGAAGCAGTATATTATACTTCAATTTTTAAATGACAGGCTCATATTTATTCATTATCATCATCATCATTCATCATATCATATCATCATTCTCCATTTTCAGCAATCGCAAAAGACATTCTAAGTAATTTAAAGCGGCAGTTTCTGTGTGATTTACTTACGATTTTTCCCACTGCAAAAAGAAAAAAACAATTTAAACATCGTCATATTTTGGGCCGCAAAGGCCAAAATCTGAGGTAAAAAAAGCGTCACTTAAATGACGTCTAAGACATTAGTAGGTCAAACTCAAGTCCTGCTGACGTCATATATAACGTCATTTTTTGTGACTAGTTAAGACGTCATGTTGACGGCCCTCTGCTGACTGAGTAATAATAATAAACTTAAATGCAATTAAACATTTCACTAAAAGGAAACCGTTAGCGAAAATAGTATTCTTCTTCACAACTAATAAGAAATGCGGTAAACATTTGAACTACCAAGAAGCGCAGACAGGAAAGAGATTTCATAATTTAGTGGATGTTTAATTAAAGAAAACCTCTTGCGTTTGGATGATCTAGCGCACAAAGAAAGATTAATTTCCAAATTAAGTATTAGCATTTATAACCTAAAAATTTTTGCTAAATCGGAAAACTCGAATACCTCGAACAGTTTCCCATGGTTTTGTTGTAGCCGCTGTTGGAAATATTCCGGTCGGTGTAATGGACGAGATTGTACAACCACATCTCGTTATCGCATGGTTCCGGTTTGGTTTTTTGCATGGTGGCGCTCTCGTCGAACGCTTTATCGTTAACGAGCTCATCGTGGTGATTGTAGTCGTGGTCCTCGCGCGGAGCCTCGTCCTCCGCGTCCTCGTTGTCCGACACGACAATCACCGGCTCGAGTTGGTTCGGAAAAGTGTGTTCCTTGTAAAAGTGACCGGCCTCGTAGTAATCCGGGTGACGGTGCACGTTTCCGGTCACGACGTGAGCGAAGAAAATCAGGGTGGAGACGGTCCATTCGAAAATCGCAGTCAAGTAAAATGAGGGCTGAAAATCGTTACCCGAAAATTTCTTATGTAAAACATGCGCATTTTTTTTAAATATTAAAATAAAAAGTTTGGAGAGAAACCATAATCGAACATATATTTACGAAACGTTAGGAACACTCTTCTTGAAGTTTGTTCATTTAGATACTGTGCGTTCAATTTATCATTTTAATTGGCTGTAACTTTTTTGTTTTAAGAGATATCAAGGTAAACAAAAAGCAAAATGTAGGGTTAGTAATTTTTTGCAAGTGACGTATAAAACAAAACACTACAAATTTTCTGACATATATGCCTAAGAACATAAATAAAAATAATAATAAAAAAAAAATGAAATGTTATGCATATTATATACGTGTTTCATAGAATATCTTATTCCGATTATATGTTAGTCAACTCGTTTTTGACAAATAGGCAAAAATAGGAAATTTTTAAATAATTTCAAGGGGTGCCCTGACTGATAAATATATATTATGATATATTAGTTGATGGTTGAATTATTGCCCAAGTCATTATTATTAAAATAGTTTTTCGCGAATTTAGCACAATGTAAGGAGTGATATGTTTCAAGTATGCTTTCTAAATAATAAAAGTGCAACCGCAGCTCGTCGTCGGTATATTACACTTTATCCAGAACGCTGAGCTCCTTCGAAACAGATATTTCCAAGGCTGGCAAAGACATTTGCAGAAAACGGTAACGTAATAAATGCTAAAAAGTTATGCCGGAATCGTAATGTCTTAAATGAAGAAAATAAAACAAACACATTAGGATTCTATGAAGCACATCCAGTTTCCTCTATTACTAGAGTATACTAGAGTATATATGCATTTTAGTTTCGTAAAATTTAAAAACTAAGTGAGGAGGATGCAGTTTTCTTTGATTTTTTTAAATAGACATAATGAGAATAACAATTTTTTGAAAAACATTTTATGGACTGATGAAAGTTCGTTCACTACAAAAAAGGGTTGTAACACACAAAATACGCGATATTGGTCTTTAAATAATCTTAGACAAATACAAGAAATAAAAACCCAGGGATACCAATCAATTAATGTATGGTGTGGTGTCATAGATGGGCATATTTTTGGTCTGATATTTATAGATCAAAAGTTAACTGGGGATCATTATTTGTAACTCTTGGAGCATCATATAGAACAATATATAGAAAACGGTGCAATTCCACATAATGTTGTGCAACTTAAAAATTTTCTTTCCATGGAATATCCCAGGGGTTGGATAGGGAACGGCGGAATTATGGATTAGCCAGCCCTGACTTAAATTTAATAGATTTTTTCTTTCTCTAACGTAGACAGTTAAAAAGAGAACAACCGCAGAACCGGGCGGAACGGTAAACGGATAGCTTAATGGCAATTAGTAAATATGTCGTTTGAATGGTATGAAGTTTATTAATCTGATAATCTATTATTATTTTTAATTTATTAAATTGTGATTTTTGATTTCTGATTATTTTGGACTGGGCTGGAACAAACGTCCCGTCATGTGCAATGGTTCTTTTCACTTCACTGATTTTTCTTGGTTATACTCTGCAACACTTACAGTTTTTTAAAGAAATCGTCCATTGGCACTTTTTTAATAATATATTTTGGAAAAAAATAGCTGGTAAATTTATCTCATATCATATCATCACTGTGATCGTTATATTATAGTCTATTTAATACATATATGATATACAGGGTGCTCCATTAAAAAATATGATGGCGTCAGATGTCAGAAAATTGAGAGTGTTTTGTTTTATACGTCACTAACCCTAAATTTTGTTTTTTCTTTACCTTGATATCTCTAAGAACAAAAAAGCTAGATGTTATCAAGATAAATTGAACGTACGATACCAACCCCATAAACATAAAACCCAACCAACCCAACATAAAAAAAAAATTCTTAAATTTGTTGTATATTGTATTTAATTGTTGCTTTTTGCTTAACCATTATGTACACATGGTTCGAACTGCGAGTGTAACCAATAAAATTTTTGTTCCACTTATTATATCGGCCATCTTACTAACCATCAGTAGCGTATTAGCCGGGCTCGAAGAGTCCTGACCTTCGGGGCAGAGCCCCTGATAGTCGAACATCCGGTGAGCCCTGTAGATGCCTTCGTCCACTAACTGCGTCATTATGTCGGGTCGCACTTTCCCGAAGAAGTAGCCCGTCTCTTGCAGGTTATCGCTTATGATTACGAATCCGCTATCGTCGAGCATGACACAGTGCAATTCCTCAGACTCGCAAGTCTTTTTACACGCCTTCGCCATGTCGCCGCACTGCAAAAAGAATACGACGTTTCGACCTCAGCACACCAACGTCGAATAAGCCGGAAACACCCTAAATTATCCTTTTGAAATCATTATTATTAATCTAACAATATATTTTAGTTTTATGCGCAACAAATTACCCAACCAGGTTTTTCGACGTAGTACGTAGAAAAAACATTTTTAATCACTCCATATTGTAAAACGCAGGGAGAGGCGAGAGGTCCTAACTTAGGAGGCTGAGTTACACTTTAATTTACGTTGGCCGCCGTATTTTAGAATTTGTATTTCGGATGTAAGTAGTTGATCTACCTGTCTTCTGCATCCACCGTTTCTCGGGTGAAATCTGGTAAATAAGGGAAAGATTCCTAGCCAAAGTTGCACCGCTCAACGACAGATGGCAGCACAAATGAAATTACAAAACTAATCCAAGACCTAAGTTTCACCGTTCATCTACAGATGGCAGCACCCTAGCAAAACTATCGTAAAGGAGCGCTTACGTTGTAAGTGATTTTCTTGAACAGATTCATGAGCGCCGAATGGTAGAACTGGTAGCCCACTACGGCCGCCGGGGCTTTTCTGCCGCCCTCTTCTTTGAATATCGCGTGACTCACCGTGACCAGCGTATTATTCGCGTCTCCTAAAAGAATGCCGCATCCAACACTCCATAAAATCCAGCAAAGCGTGCTCACCTATCTCGTATGGCACGGAGTATACGAAATTGCTGGGGTCAATGTAGTGGTGTTCCACTGCTCTTTTGTACCAGACCTCATCGATGGCCTTGTTGTGTATCCGATGAAAGTGTCTATTCGAGAGGAAGTAATCGAAAAGTTCGGTCTCTTAGATTACTATAGAGCACGGATTGCTAATAAGGAGATAACTCACAATGAGCCTGAAATTTGCGTTCCAATGTAAATAACTTTTAAAAATAAACCTATTTTCTATATACAACACATTCATTCAAGCAAATCGTTTGTCAAAATCTTACTAGGTTTTCAGTTAAGATTTATTCAGGTCGTCAAGTTCCTCGAAAACCAACTATTCGATTTATCTCCTTATTTATAGCAGTATATAAAGGGTGTCCCGAAATTAGACTTGAATATTTTAACCACTTATTCTGTGACCCAAAGTAAGGATAAAAGTTCATATAAAATAGGGTAAAAAAACGTCTTAGTTTTTAACATACAGGGTGTTAAATTTGAAGAGGTGATGGCGATTTTTTGTAAATATTTTCGAAACACGTAAATATTTTTAAATAAAATTTGGTACAGTTACTAAACTTTTTAAGCTCCATTTAACGAAGGAGAACTTAGCATTGGATTGCCTTCAGCGGTGGGTGACGCAGGGGAGGCGTGGTAAAAATTTGGAACAAATCTTTTGTTTGCCGAATTTGGACTGCAGAATTTGGAATACTTATGTTTTCTACGAAAATAAGGTACCCGTGTCGCACCTCGCTAGAACACACCGTTTCCGAGAAAAACGTTTTTGAAAATTAATTAATTTAATTAAATATTATTAATTTTAATGTTTACAATCGAAGTGCGGATAATCATTAGTAAGCCTTGGAAGTTAATGAAAGCTTTCATTTGTTTGTGTTGCTGGCAAAATAAAAATTAGATGTCAATTATATGTCAGCTCTCGACGATCCGATACTCGACGATTAAGATTAGGATCTCTTGTATCGCTTCCCCAGCTCTGCCATTGCAAAAGCCATATACAACATGAATATCTGCTAACTTTCTATTTGAAAACAACTTCATCAGAATTAAATAAAGTCGAACTTCGATAACTCGATTTTTTGATAAGTCGAACCAAATTGGTTGGCAATAGCGTCAAAAGTAGGAAATGCGTGTTAGTTAGTTTGTCCTGATTAATCGAACTTCGATTACTCGAATATCTTGATAACTCGAACGAAACATTTGGTGCCAACTTCGATAAATCGAATTTTCTCGGGGAACCCCATAATTACGACCGATCTTAACCTGTCTTTTTAACGTATCTATGCAAGCAGTTCAGTTTCTGTGCTTGCTAAGTTCACTTGTATGACTTACTAGTTAATACTAAGTGAAAAATACTGTCCCTATTCAATTTACACATTATATGAAAGACATACTTTAAAAGCTTTGTCTGTTGATCAAAAATTCAAGGTTATAAAAGAAGTGGAAAGTGGCTCAAAAAATAAAGATGTAGCAGTGCAGTATGGGATTTCGGCAAGTACAGTGTCTACAATTTTGAAAAATAAACATTCGGTCATCACCGCAATGGAACGTTTCGAAGAAAACAAAAACAATAACGTTACACTAATGGATTGTGTTGACGACGTAACTACCGCACGGAATATCGACGTTAAGCCTGAAACAATTTCCAATTGTTTTAAAAAAGCCGGTTTTGGTCAGTATTCTGAATGGGAAGAAAAAGATGAGATTCCCTTGATTTTTCTAAGTGAAAGCCTGAAAGAAAAGAGTGAAGACGAAATCCAAATAGAAATCGAGTTTAAAGCTTGGACAAACATTAGAGGTACAGCAGAAGGTAGCACCATCAACGATTTTATACATGTGGATGAGGATATTGTTACTTCAGAGTTTCCTACTGATGAAGATATTATCGAGTCCTGCAGATCCGAACCGGTACAGTTAAACATCGAAGATGACTGTGAAAGTGACACGAATACACAACCGATTCCCTCTATGATTGTTTAAATAAAATTGAAGCTTTTGTTGAAAACCAAAATAATAAATCCGGTCGTCAGTCGAATTTTTTTTCCAGTGAAAGAGTAAACTTTAATATGTACATTTGTAGTTTTTATTGATAACTCGAAATCTTGATACTTCGAAATTTTCATGTGTCAAATCGCAGTTCGACTTATCGAAGTTCGACTGTAGTTTATTTTTCATCAACAATCAATCTTCTTTAAAATGTAAAGTTTATAATTTTTATTAGAATAATTAGCTTTACAGTTGATAGTTTGATTTGTCTTTCGTTAATAAAAGTATTTATAAGAACAATCCAAGTAAAAACTATTTTTTACCAACAACGAACAAAATTGAAAGCTGTCGAATAATTGACATTTAATTTTTATTTACCCAGCAGCACAAAAAAAATTAAATGATTATCTGCACTTCGACAGTAAATATTAAGATAAAAAAAAATATGCAATTAAATTTTCAAAAGCATTTTTTTCGAAAGCGAGATGCGACAAGGGTGTGTGTTTCGAAAATATTTACTTCGTCAAATTTAACACCCTGTATGTTAAAAACTAAGACGTTTTGGACCCTAGTTTATATGAACTTTTATCGTTATTTTGGGTCACAGAAAAAGTGATTAAAATATTGACGTCTAATTTCGGAACGTCCTGTATAGCGTTCCGTAATTCTGTGACTTACTTTTCGTGGACGTTGTTGTCAATGTTTTGGGGAAAATTCTGCCATCTCGTGAGACCACTGTGCGTCGCCATGAACGCGACAACTATGCCTATGTTCCTTATTAATTCCGCTCTGCGTGCAAATAATATATACAACTCTATTAACTATTTGAATTTAGAAAGGTTACTGTAATTTTTTAGAATTTGTATCGCAGCATTTTTACCACATACAAGAAACAGTAGCATCAAATACAGTATATTCCGCCATATTTTTCTCGATAGCTAAACAAACAATTAAATATTATATCCTGGGCTGCATTAAGACGAAAGGGGCAAAACAGATTTTCACATACATTTTAGAGCACACAGAAAACCAGTGCCGCATTTGAACTACTACATAAACTACACTCTAAGACGTTAAGTACCTTTGGGATCGCCAAAGGGACCTTATTGGTTTAGATTATTTTGATTATTTGAAAGGAAGAAAGGTCAACATGTTTATTTTATTTGTAGCCTAAGGCAGCAAAGAAAAAACCTTAACAAGACTTGTCGATACCCGATACTACGCGCAGTTAAAAAACTAGGATTGGGATTTACGACCCATCGACTATAAGAGTGGATCTTTATATGTGGTTAATGTTCGATCCTTATAATTAATGCGTATTTCATAAAAATTTAAACTGATCGCCGCTTAAATAACGCTAAAGTAGATGTAATTCTAGTTTTTAATATCCAAAAAATATAACATTTTTTTTTCAAATTTAATATTTGTTATAATTAGAGTTAGGATTTTATGTAAAAAACATCTTTTTTATTATTAGGAATATCAACCCAATATCAATATTTTAGATATACCCGTTTTAGAACGAAATAATTAGATTAACGATATAAAAAATACATATTTCGCATAAAATGAAGCTTTAGTACATATTTTTAGTTGTTTTTATTTTTCGACCATATAAAATCGCATATTTTTGACCCATTCATTAGTTAATTACTGGGATTTTCCAGACGGATAAGATTAAAAATGAAATGTATCTGCAATATTGTGGACTTTTTATTTATAGCCTTCAAATCCCGTTACCTAAGGATTAAGCCCTGGTCCCTTTTCAATCTAATGTGATTTTAACAACCTCTTCTGAAAATTATCACTCATGGAGCTTGTGATTGAATGACATGCATCCCACCCTCTTCATATGTACTTTCGAAAATTTCCAAGCATTTTAAACATTTTATTTGTTGTCCGAGAGTGAACTATCATTGAATTCATGATGGCGAAAGTGAATTATCATTTGGTGTCAGTATGGATTAAAAATCGTCCAGAGCTATCTTTGGAAAAAGAAGTATTCTGCAAGGCTTGAGGAAAAGTGGAAAGTTCTCATTAATTAATTTGAAATATGTAATTGAATATATTTAAAACATTGCGATAAAAACTTATATTATATATATATTTTTATATCAAGCTGATTTATTATTAAATAATTAATAGTATACATTATGTTAAAATTAATATTTATCTTTAAGGTTACATGTGAGAAAAAACACAAATAAAAGTGGATGGGATAGAGTAAAGAAGAAGAGAGATTGCAACAGTGCATTTCAGCGGCATCTTCAAGAACTGATCGAGACAATTTGAATTTACGCTTAATAAGGTACAGAACACTAAATTTAAACAGTTTTTAAAAACCTCTTTGCAACAAAAATCTACCTCAGTACTATTTGCAAAAATTTAATTCAAGACATAAGAAATCATATTAAAAATCAGCATGTTTACATTATTGTAGACGAGACAACCGATGCCGCTGGTCGCTATGTTGCGAATGTATTGGTCGGTGTTTTGAATGAAAATGTTTTACCAACATCTTTTTTAATAAGTGCAAAACAGTTGGAAAAAAGTAACAATTTAGAGATTGCTTCTTTTTTTGCTCCAGCTACACACCAACTGATAAAATACTTCTCTTAGTGATTTAGCATATATTTGACATATTTTTCGGAAAAACCAAACATATTTAGGCGCATATTTTACGCATTTTTTGTGCATAAAAATCCGAACTCTAGTTATTATGCACTGAAACTTCTCGCATTACCGCAAATACTTCAAACGGCATTCATTTTACACCAATAAAACCTCAAAAAGTAACACATCATGCATCTTAAAAAGTGTAGCCCGTCAGAGAGAAATAAATCAGGTGTGTATACCATACCTTGGGATCAAAGCCATCAATATAGACATTGGTCTTTTTGACAGAGAAAATTCGTTCATTAGTTCAAAATAAACACATTCGACAAAGTGGTGAAAAAAAGGGAAACCGATCTGGAACCACTCACCCGTTCTCCTCCTTGGTCGACGTGGTGATGTTCTCGCTGAACCAAGAGGTGATTTTGGCGTCGGCAACCACTTTGCAGATCAACTTTCGATCGCCTGCAAGAGAAAAAACATATTCAGGAAGGGTGAAACGAAAAATCGCGGCGGTAGGATCATACATTCTTTGGTCCATTTCCAGCCCGGTCCGTCCATCTTTTTCAGGAAATGTAGAAATTCCTCTTCAGCAGTATCGAAGTAATGCTTGTCGTCGAAATATTTACAGTAATGCCTGCAGGAACACAACGATAAAGTTTACGCAACAACCCGAAAGAACTAAGGGAGTTATGTGCAGCAGTAGTTCAAATGAACTAGAAGACCGAAAAGCGATTGAAAAAGATTCTCGTCAGTTGATAACAATATAATAACGCAAACACAAGACAAAGCAAATTAGGTTGCTCTAAATAAAATTATACTAGTTTCAGATACACAATAAATTCTGTACTAAATTCGAAAATAAGCTAAGTCAATTTATTTGACGTCTCAAAACGTGATTTAATAATTCAACCAACTCGTTTTTGTTTAGTTATTTAGTTGTTTAGGATACGAATGTCTAGCGATTCTTGCGCTTTTGCTCATTTAATGTAAGATCACTTTGTTCTAGCTTTGATCATTTATCCCAATTTATTTTGGATTCTGAACTTGACTTTGTGAGTCATCGAACACAGTCTTCGAAGTGTTTTCGGAGCGCGAGCATTGAAGATACCAAGTGAGATTTTGGCGAAACGTCTGCAGGATTCCACTCGGAGTTCAACAAGCGAACGGATGATATCGCGGAATATAGTGTCATCATATATATATATATATATATATATATATATATATATATATATATATATATATATATATATATATATATATATATATATATATGCAAAAAGTGTTCGGAGTTCTTTACATAAGATGCCTTGGCTTCCACGATAGGTTGCAGTATGTTAGCTAGATATTTCTCCAGCTTCTGTGTTGGGGAATTGAAGGCGCTTACGATTGGTCTCAGTGGTACGTCGTTCTTGTGGATTTTTGGCAACTTTTTACAACTGATAAAGGAAATCAACATCGATCCACAAGATGTCTTGGCTAGCTTCGATGTGAAATCTCTGTACCCGAGTATACCTATTGACGAGGCTTTGGACCTGATTGCAATGAACGAAGACATACCATCACACGTCATACAGCTAGCGGAGCACTGCCTAAAGAACACGTACTTTAGATACGATGGTCAGCTCTATAGACAGACAGATGGCGCCCCAATGGGGTCATCACTTTCGCCAGCGATAGGAAACCTGTTCATGACCTATTTCGAAGCTAAAGCGATCCGAGAAAGTCAACTCAAGCCGAAGCTCTGGATCCGATACGTCGACGACATTTTTATCATATGGTCCCACGGGGAGGCCAAGCTAGATCATTTTCTAACTTACTTGAATTTTTTACACGATAGAATCGAGTTCACCATAGAAAAGGAGAAGGACAAACAACTACCATTTTTGGACGTCCTTTTGACACGATCAGACGGGAGAAAACTGCAAAATCAAGTATATCGCAAACCTACTCACACCGACAGGTACCTTAATGCACAATCGCACCATCACCCTAGTCAAATCCAGGCCGTTGCCAATACTCTGATCTGCAGATCGGTGAGACTCACAGACGAAATCCATAACAAGCAAGAAATGGAAAAAATCACACGAACACTCCGAGACAATAACTATACGGAGTCTACTATACGAAATGTCAAGAGGACGAAGACAAGGACACGGCGAGACTCAACTAAAGAACAGGAAAGGGAAGACATACCTTCAACTACTTTGCCATATGTAAAAGGAGTAACTGATCAAATAGGAAGGATTCTGAAACGACATCACATCAGAACAACATACAAACCACACAAAACAGTGGGTCAACTAATAGGAAATCCAAAGGACCCTTCTCACCTAGAAAATCAAGGAGTCTATCTAATCCCGTGTAGAGACTGTCCAAAATATCACATAGGACAAACTAACAGAAAAATATCAGCCAGAATCGAAGAACGCAAACTGGCTGTAAGCAACAAACAAATGACATCGGCAATCTACCGGCACTACCTGCAGACGGGTCACAGAATGAATTTTGGAGAAAGCAAGATCGCAAACATTACAAAATTCAAACAGAGAACAATAAGGGAAGCGATTGAAATTCAAAAACATGATAACATAAATAACAGAGATGATGCCTCAACCCTCCCTGCAGTTTGGAAAGTGGTACTAAACCACACTAACAGCGTGATTGCACAGCCTATTGTTTCCACCAATAGCGAGGTAGCACCGCTAGTCGCGGCAACCGTGTTCCCCACCCCGCCGCGATACAATTTACGACGGAGGGGACCGCGATTATAAAAAGCGCCGCACCGCACATTTTCACCTCAGTTTAAATGCGGACAAGTACGAGTGACATGGACGCGCGGGCTCTGAAGATGCCAAGTGATATTTTGGCGAAACGTCAGGCGAATGATCCTACTCCAGGGTCAAACAACGAACGGATGAACACCCGGATTACCACCAATATATATATATATATATATATATATATATATATATATATATATATATATATATTCTCACGTATTGATTCACGGATGGAAAAATGTGATGACACTATACTCCGGGATATCATCCGTTCGCTCGTTGAACTCCGACTGGAATCCTGCATCCGACTGGAATTCTGCAAATCCTGCATCCGACTGGAATCCTGCAGACGTTTCGCCAAAATCTCACTTGGCATCTTCAATGCTCGCGCTCCGAAAACACTTCGAACACTATATATATATATATATATATATATATATATATATATATATATATATATATATATATATATATATATATATATATATATATATATATATATATATATATATATATATATATATATATATATATATATATATATATATATATATATATATATATATATATATATATATATATATATATATATATATATATATATATATATATATATATATATATATATATATATATATATATATATATTCTCACGTATTGATTCACGGATGGAAAAATGTGATGACACTATATTCCGGGATATCATCCGTTCGCTCGTTGAACTCCGACTGGAATCCTGCATCCGACTGGAATCCTGCAAATCTTGCATCCGACTGGAATCCTGCAGACGTTTCGCCAAAATCTCACTTGGCATCTTCAATGCTCGCGCTCCGAAAACACTTCGAGTGTTCGAAGTGTTTTCGGAGCGCGAGCATTGAAGATGCCAAGTGAGATTTTGGCGAAACGTCTGCAGGATTCCAGTCGGATGCAAGATTTGCAGGATTCCAGTCGGATGCAGGATTCCAGTCGGAGTTCAACGAGCGAACGGATGATATCCCGGAATATAGTGTCATCATATATATATATATATATACAAAATCTTGTAAAATTTTACCTGTTTAAATTCGCGTTGTTGATATGGCTGGATTTTTTGGGAGATATATCGTGCGCTATTTCTATTAACATTCTGTTTCCTTTTTGCCTACTTCAAAAACGTAAGCGAGCATTTTGGTTGTTTTATTAAACAAAAATGGATACTAATGCTTTACTACGACATAAATACCACAGATATTACAAAAAGTTATTTGAATTGTATACTTATACGTTTTAGAGCACTGGAAATACGCAACAACGAAGACAGTAGCCCAGTAGCAAGTAGCACGACGACCAATACAACCAAACTGCGCATAAGCAAGGCTGTGTTGCCAAATCACATTTAATTTCATAAAAATCATGGGACATTTCAATAAAATAATATTTTCAAGATATAGAGCGCTACAAAAGAAATGACACGTTTTTGCAAAAAGGGCGTCCAAAAATATACAAACAAGCAAAGAGCTTTCAATCATCGAAATCATTGTAGACCTGCGTCATTGATGGTTTGAAAAGGTAACGACTACATCTAGTTAGAAAAATATGGGTAGTAAAAATTTTATATGGGACTAAAATTTGATCCTCGCTACCTTTATAAGAGTTATAAAGATTTTTAAAAAAATAACAAAAACATTTGGCACACAACAAAAAAAAACGTTAGTCGGGTTTCCACAGTCGCTTACCAATCAGGGTGGATCGTCCAGTTGCCGGTGAAAAATTGGGTCAACGCGCCCTTATCTGTCGAGCGGATCCTGTGGATATCGTTCTCGACTGGGTGCTGAACACGATTGAAACCGTACCTGTGCGGTAGGGCGATAACGACCGAGAACGGAGTGCCGTTGATGCCCCGGAAGAAGTAATGGCGCCTGCTAAGCACTATACGATGCTGAAAGTCAAAAAACACTTTTTGAACACTTGGGGGAGGATGGACCAAGGCGGCCCCTCTGGGGCATGGAGGCCCACCCTTTGGGTATTACCAGGGGAAAAATAGACCGCTTAAACATTCTAAAAAAAAAGCAATTTCATATTATTATAACCGAATCATAATTAATTTATTGAAAGAACTTTCGAAAATCTTAAAAATACCAATAACAATTTTTATAATCGATAGAAAAATAGTTACCAATTTTTAATAAATAATTATAATTATTATGTGAACATTATAAATAATTTGGATAAATTTAGTTAAAATTGGTCAAAAATAAATCGACTTGATGGTTAAAAGCCACAAAAAATGATAAAAAATAAAAAACATATTTTTTAGAGACAAGGCTGGGTAGAAAATTGGTTGGTTTTCGACTCATAGTTTTGATGGGGCAACTAACCATGTCGTCTATGTGGCTTTTGACCCGGAAGGTCGCGTTGCCCCTCTCTTGAAATATTATTTTACGCCTAAGCTCGAGCACGTCGTCGTTGAACCTTCTCGGCTCGTTATCGTCGTCTATGACTTCGACTTCCATGACGTCCACCCTGTTATAAGCGGGTTTCAATATCCCTTGGTACTGGAAAAGAACCGACGGGGTTAACCAAAACCACGTGGGCATGATGGTCAGGGTAACTTACCACCGGTCTCAAGTCGGGATGGGTCAATATGTAACCGTTGTTCGTTACTATAAAGCCGTACCCGTTCACGCCCAACTGAAAATTCAAACGGTAAGTACCGACAGACGAACCAAAATGATTCGTGACCTTACCCGATACGGTACCATCAACTTCTGGATGTACTCGATCGGGATATCGGTACCCGCCACGCCCAGCAAGTTAGCAACCCTTTCCTAGAACAGAAACCGAACCCGCTAGATGGTTGAAAAACGCGAATGTCGTCGATTAGGCTGGAGGCTACGGCTATTAACATTGACGCTTCTAGCCCTAAAGTCGATTTGGTCGGATAACGACAAAAACTAACGCCCAAACCGACCCAAGCTGACCACTAAGTTATTTTTAACGTTGTATAGAATACCTCAAATTACACATCGTTAGAAATTCAAAAATTTGAAAAACGACTGCGCTACATTTGAAATATACTATACGCTCTCACTATCATCTATGGCAGCTACACTCTATATCCTAAACACACAAAAAGTGGGCATCATATATTTTTTAATATAATAATAAATAATGATAAGGCATTTGGTGACATTTTACCAATCATCATGTTTGGTTATTTTGGTTTAATCTATGTTAAGAAAAATTGAAACAAATCATTGTTGTTTCTGTTTTGATTATGAGTCTTTCAGAATATATGCGTCAAAATTGACATTCATTTGTTGTGACAATAAAATTTTGCAAAATGCCGCGAAGATATAATAATATATAATCGTTTTGAGTATCCAATTGGAAAAAGATGAAGTTAAAAATGGAATCCTCATGCAAACCGATAATGTAATTAAACAATCATAGAAAATATGTAAAAACAAATATATATTATTAAAATAATTAATTTTTCCATCGCGTCCTTAAGAAAATGCGTAAGTCGAAGAAATTAAATTTAGTTTTAAAGTTATAAAATGCTTTTGCAAATTTTTTAATGGACCTTACCCGAGATTTTCGACAAGTTACTGTAAGGAAAATGCTCATTTTAGATTAGCTTTCGCCAGCGCTCAAGGCACCTATCTCTTATATCTCTTATACTGTTATTTGAAACCAGTGTGACGTCATTCCAGACAGGTGATACGCCAACTATACTGTTTGAGGGAGGCGGAGCTAAAGCAGGGACATGTATGTCGGATGGTAGAAGAATTTATTACATGCACGAATTTTAGTTTTGTTGAATACGATTTGAAGAACAAAAACGTGTTTTAATTCTGGGTCCAGTGACTCGGGTTGAGATACTTTTACGCATCTGTAAACAAGAGAGTTGATAATTGAAGGCTTCTGAGTAGGACAGCGACGTAATAATACATGAAAGTATCGCTGTGTGCGTAGGTTTTCTGTAAACTGAATGACCCAACCTTACGACTGACTTTTTATTAATAAGAATTTATAAGACGTGATTTTTATTAGTTTCTTATTCATCCGAGGCAATGCACATGTTTCTCCTTTAGCTCCGCTTCCCATAAACAATATATAATCAGTTACAGAGTAAAATTCGAGACAGTTTCAGTTAAACTGAGCACGAAATCTCCAACTATTATTCGCCAGTCTATTTGTATATAAGTACACAAATACCATAATTTTCAATTTTAAAGCAAAATTTAATATAAGTACATGATGCAGACTTTACGTGCGGCACTGTATATTCAAATTTTCGCTAGTCAAGTATCCAATCAACTACGTCTCGAATTAACTAACAGGACGTTAGTAAACTCCCACTACCGAAGAGTATTTTTACGACCACAATATCACCAAACGAATTCGCACGAAACGACCCGCGAAGTGAACCCTGTGGAACGACCCCAAAACTAAACTTTCGCTACGACTCCTCTAATTGCTAGCGACCAAAGTTATATGTACGAACGCCTAAAAAATCTAAACGATGTTAGTCACACTGGCATTAAGGAGCGAAACTGACACAAGTTGTTACTTTTGTTTTACCTCTCTCGTCACCGTTATCCATAACGCTTCGTTTATCTGCTTTTGCTCTGTTATATTCTGCGAATATATTTATACGATAGTACCAAAACGGAATGCGAAATTATCGAAAATAAATCGGAAGAAGGAAACACCTCGAAACGAGTGGTTTCGCACTTACCTGACGGGGCTTTAGATCGTACACCGGCAAAGACACCGACGTCATCATGTGATAGGTTTGAGTCTCACCATAGTTGTCTTGCTTCTACAAGGGTGACATTAATTTTATTAGTTTTAAACTCGAAGAACTTTCTTTTTGTGGTTAATACCATACATTTTTTTTAAACATATTCATTTTGATTGTGTTTTTTTATTATATGAGCAAAATTTAACTTAAATTACTGATTACTAATTTGTTGGTATTCTTTTATAAAATCTTTTTTTTATAATTAAGACCCAATAAAATTTGTTTATTAAAGATTTATGAAATATTAATTTTAATTTTGTATTTTTTAAGTTGTGTGATTAAAAATAATTGGTATTGGTTTTATAATGGCCCTAAATTGGGTCTGTACTTTATTCCTTAATATCAGAGACGAATAAAATGTAAATTTACAATTACAGTGATAATTAAACATGCTGGACCAGCAGGTCGTAAAGTTCAGATAAATAATTCCAAGATTTTAGTGGATGAAGGTAATGTGACAGCGGCGTTACTACAGACAGTATATTAGAATAATAAATATACAATATATAGAATATATACTTATATAGAAGTAAGAATAATATGGAAACAGATAAATTGTAATAAGAAAAAACCTAATAATTACAATGCAATTTAATTTGTGAATCATCCGATTAGTCGGATGAACTATAGTCGTCGGAATCCAAAGAAATATTCATGGGCTCTTCACAATCACATGTTTCACAATCCACTGTTTTCATTCCCTCTTGCAAGGGAGTTTCAGAAGATCTCATTTTAAAAGCGGTATCTATATTCTTTCTCTATTAACAGTGATGTTCTGTTTTGACTTTTTTCGTAATGAAAATTGATTTCCTTCAAAGTTTTCCACAATTTCTGCTTACCCATGCTGAGTGCGATGGTAGGTAGTGTTTTCATTCTCATTTATTACAGTACTTCTCTTCGGTTCTCTTTGGGACCGCGTAAATCTTCTTGCATATTGTTGACTTTCCAACTTAAGTCGTTTCGAACACTATTTTTTCAACTACGAATGTTGAGTTTCTGTTGCCAGAAGAGTTCAACATATTGAAAATAATATTTTGTTTAGAAGAGAAAGCGTTTTACTAACCCGTTTCTCAGCAACAAATTCAGAAACACCAGCCATTTTGAAGACAGAATTTTCGCGATAACCGACGGAAAGTAACTATAATTCTAATAATAACACTAAGCCGTCCACCTACCACTCTCGGGACCCTTGACAATCATCACACCATAAACAACTCTTGGACTATCGCATACAACATAATTAAAAAATAAATTGTTTTTCATTTGGGAAGTTTGTTTGTGTATAATTAGTTTTAGTTTTTGGAGTGTTAGGATTCAGTGATTGAGGTGGTCTTAAATTTCATTTGATCCATGAATCATTCTTACAATTTCTTGAAGCAATGAAGAATTATGAAGCACATATACATTGCGCAACTTACCAGTTTCTGTTGGTGGACAAACTTCTTGTCGATCTCGTCTGGACTGAGCATATCTTTGTACTTGCTGTAAATGAGGTACCGTTCTCGCTGCGTGTTTCTCTCCCGATTCACCCAAAGCCAATTGGTAAGCTTCGGGTCAGTGACGTCCGCGTAAACGGGACTCCAGGTCGGGTTCGGCTTCTTCGTGGTGTTCAACACCATCGGCCTCGCCATAACCGGTATGTAATGGAGGACTTCTTCGCGAACTTCCGCGTAAGTGCTGAGGTGGACGTAGTAACCCTGATTGGCGCAGGCCATCCATTTCACTTCGCGCGTGTCGGACACCTCGCGACCGATCAGATAAGTGAACACCCTTACGTCCACCACTGGCAGGTTCTTCCAATTGTACTTTTCGAATATCTCCTTGTAATTGTACTGCGACCCGTCAGTTATCAGCATTATCGCTTGGTTGCAGTTGGCGCCTGACGATTTTTAAACAAATGGTCCCGGTACGGAAAACTAATAACATTATACAGTGTGTCCCACATAAGAACTGTACACCCTTGTAAAATCTTCGATTTTGAAAAACTTTTTTTTTGTTGGACACGTCACTGAACAACCTTGTTTTGCTTATCGCTTCAACTTAAACTCGTATCTAATTGAGACTACTTAACAGAAGAGAGAGAATTCTTATTCAGGACTACTTAGAACCAAACTATCAATTTTTATAATGTTTCAATACAGGATTTTGATTACGTTTCTGATTATATCAACCTGGAATCATGGCTATCTGGGACTAATGTTCGATGTCAAATATCGAGAAAGGTTATTAGGTGTCAACAAATTCTTATTCGGGACTACATAAAACCTAACTATACTAATTTCTATGAAGTTCGAATGCAGGGTGCTCGAAATATCGCGGGCGCCTTGATGAATGTTTGTTTGTCAGAGAGGATTGGATAGGAACTAAACAGACTTTACAACGCTGTATTCTTTTAATTAAAAAGGATTTTTAATTTTCATCTAATAATGAAATAAACAGAAATATTAAAATTGGTTGACGTCGGCATACTGCTTTGTAAAACCAAGTTTGCCATGGAGAAGCGAATATTCGACAGTCAAATTCGCCCGCTAATTTATATTTTAATTTTTTTACATTATATCTGTTACGTTGGATGGCAGATTATTGCCATTCTCGGAATTTGCAGTATGTTTTTCAAGAAAAGACAGCACGGGCAAAAAAATCAAAAAAGAAACAAGATATTGGTGCAGTGAGTGTGACGTGGAACTCTGCGTAGTATCTTGTTTTCAAATTTACCATACACAATTAAAATATTAATATAAAGAAGTTTTTTTGCGTAAATTAGTTAAAACAAGCTTAAATAACAATTATTTGCAAAAAAAAAATTTTGATTAAAAACATGTGAACAATATTTATTGTTATAAAACATTAAAAACTTTAGTCATTGGTATAGTTAGTTTTAGGTAGTCTCATATAGGTACTAGACATATAGAGGCCCTCCCTACGCTCACAGTGCAGGAACCCATGAAGCAACTATATAGTTTTTTTTCTGAATTTGGCGTTTTTGTTCTTTAAACCCGGTAGATGTGTACACTTCTTAAAATACAGTGAAAACTCCCTATAGCGAAACTCTGTATAAAGTAAAACTCTGTATTACGAACAAAATTTGTTGTACTATTATGTTTCCGAAAGAAAAAAGGGCACATCAGTTAACAAAATTTAGTAGGCCGACTTGTAAATAATGGAGTCTCTTACCTTTCTTTCAAAAGAACGTATAACAGTGATAGTAGCTGCCAATATGAGTGCTAGAGAAAAAAGAAAGCTAGTCGCATGGATAACATCGCAAATTTTTAAAGAGGAGATACGGAACTGGGATGCAGAATTAAAGGGGAGGAAAATATTACTTCTCTTAGATAACTGCCCTGCACATCCCCATAGTCCCATTCCACGGAATATTGAATTGGCATTTCTTCTAGCCAAAACAAGTGTATTACAGCCAAATTTTCTAATATTAGTAAAGCTTGGAAAGAAGTGACAGCAGAAACAATTCGTCATGCAGGACTTATTACCGAGACAGAATGCGAACAGGACTTGGAAGATGATCAGCCACTAAGCGAGTGGATAAAGCAGTTTCAAACAACAATTACGTTTACAAGTGAGGAGTTGCAAGATTTTATGGTGATAGATCAGGATTTGCCTACAACAGCAGACTTGACAGATATAGCCTTATTACAACAAGCAAGAAAGGGTGAGGAAGAGCACCAAGAGGAAGAAGGAGATGATCTGGGACCAACACCAACCATTCAACAAGCCCTATATTCAGTTTAGCTGCTAGAGAAATCGAAGAAATGGTGAAAATACAAGCCAAAGTACGAGATGCGTATTGACATACCAAAAAAATTCAAAAGAAAATGATCGACTACTTGAAACATTAAATGTGGTTCTTAAATATTTATATAAAATGTTCCTAAGTAGCTGTTAAAATATGTATTTAAAATAATTAAGAACACATGCGTATTATAATTTTTCAAGTGTTTATAACTAAAAAAAAAGCAGTCCTTTTAATTTCGCTATATAGAGTTTCGACTGTATAAGTGCTTATACTCAATTTATTTGTTGATTTCTTTATGTAAATGGTTCTCAAGAACGCATTTTGACCATATCAAAATTACATTGTCATAACCCCGGGAAGGCCTTGTTAATGGCCCTTCAAGTAAAAAATTAGAATATTTTTTGAGTATCTATGTATTTTTGAAAAATGTACGAATTGGTTTAAATGTTTTTATCACTCTCTCTTCGAAACACAGTGAGCATAAGCAAAGTACGTGCGGGCAATTTTTATACTAACCAAATCGGCTTTCCCTATAGTCCTTGAGTAGTTCGAATGCCGTTATCAATGCCAAAGTGAAATTCGCAATTTGTTCAGTCTTGAAATCCGACATGCTTTCTTTCAGTACTCTGATGTTGGCCAGGTTTGCCTTAAACAAAGAACAGATGCTCTTGGGTTTGACCTATTATAAGAACTATATAACGAAATCTTTGTTTAACTAACTAAAATCAATGATAAGACACACAAAAGGGATCTTTTCGCTAGCTTTCTAACGATACTGGCCCACTATATTTTTTTGGTTGATTTTTAGTAATTCTTTATACCATAACACTCAAAGTTATTAGCTGTGTAGGAATTTTAAAATTTTCTTGATTATTTATAAGCAAATCAGTTCTCGTTTTATAGCTTATGTTTCGCGAAGAAATCCGCAATGTATTGAATCAAAACAAATAACAATCAAAACAAACGTCATTTTTTAAGAGTAAAGTTCCATAAAATGTAGAAATCGGTTGAAATGTGTCGTTTGATTTAAAATAGTTTTTTGTATATGTGTGATCTGAAGTGATAGAGGCACAGTGCCTATAAATTTGGGAAATAATGTTCTTCTTAAGCGGATGTATATGGATTTGTGATTTGTTATTCCATTATGTAGGTAATACGGTTTCCGGATGTCTTTTATTCACGCTGGTAACCAGGCCTGATGGGATCGGCTATCCCGTATGAGATAATTGCAAGAGCCGTTACAAGAATCGATCGTCATTTTATGACTATTCAATTTTTGTGTATAAATTAATTAACCTTCGTAGTACCGCGGTCAAAAAGTTACGCAGAACACCATGTACAATTGGACTCAACATGGTGTTCTGCGTACCAATTCTCGTAGATATACAATATAACAACAAACTTTAATAGTTAATGCAAATTAAATATGTAATACATATTACATTTACTGAAAAAGTTGAACAAAATACAACAAAATACAAAATGCAAGTTATCTGCTTTACACTATTTTTTGCAGTCGCAACATTGTTGCCTGGACTTGCGATCTTTCTTTCTATTGCACAAATAACATCGTCCAGAAACAGGTCGTTCAGGTTCTTCGGAATAGACTTCATGGTCCTTTTCCAATTCTGGAGACATTATGATTTGACGCTGTTGGGAATTCTTGGTTAGTTTTTATTTCTTGGTTCTGTTTTAAATCTTCTTATGACATTTTCCGTAATCAATGACTTTACTAAGTCCAATAGAAATTTTCTTCTGCAGTCTTTGCTTTTTGATTTTTCGTCTGGAAATTCCTTCTCTTATATCATCTTCAGAATCTATCATTTCCGGAACATCATCACTATCTTCTTCACCATCACAGAGTTTTATGTCAGGATCATCGAGATCGTCATTCAGTAATTAGCATGTTAGTGAATGTATTCGTGTTGTTTTGCGAAAATGTACCCAAAAACTAACGGTCGTAGAAAAAGTATAGTGTGCAACACGTTCGGTAAACTTTTTAACTCACTCGTTTATTAAGAACTCGCTCCGCTCGTGTCAAATAAACTCCTGAGTCAAATGCCGTTTACCGCACTTGTTGCATAATATACTGTTTTTGTTGACTTTTTTGATGCACGTCTTAACTAAAATATACAGAAAATGAATCTGTAAATACTAAATGACAATAAATAAAATGGCGGAACCCTTGTGTAAAGTTTTTAAAAAGATATAAGATAAATTGAGCTGTTGGGGTTGTTGTACCCCACACGGTACGACGAAGGTTAACTTAAATTCACTAAATCACTAACCTGCACCAATTTGTTATCGAAACACTCCACCAGGACATCGGTCGTGTTACTAAACGTATAAATATTGACGTAATCATTATTCCCGAGCGTATCCAGTATGTTGTGAACGACGTGGCGCGCCACCTCGCGGCGCATGCCCGTCATCGAGCCGGATTTGTCGACTAAAATAATAACGTCTTTTGGAGAAGACGCGGCTTCAATATACCAGGACCGCGTCCGGCAATCAAACAAATCTATGGGCTCCTGGGACCATATCATGGCTGAAAAAAAGAACGCTGCACAATCCACACTGGCCTTGTACGGGGAGATTTTACCAGGAAACTGCCGCATAAAACCGGTGGAGCTTCCGAAATATTGCCACGACAACGTCGGGTCTTCCTTGTAGTTGTTTTTAAACGTTTGGTCCAACTCCTCCGACCATTTAATTCCGGCTATCACGTCTTTGGCTGCAACAGTTACACAAAGCAAACGGTGAAGATGAAGTAAAAGATGTAGGCTAGCTTACATCGTTCGTAAACGTTGCTAGGCACGTGAACGGCACTGCAATTAGTGTTTACCGGAATGTTGTAGAAGTGCCTGTTTCTGTATAGCGGCAGGCTGTATTTATCCGGCGACTTTTGGCTCGCCATCGGATCTTTCGCACTTTCGTTCGACAACTACAAGAAATATCCAAAACTAAATTCTTTTCAAATTACATCATTAGCAGTGCAATTTGTAGGTTATAAGCGTAAAACCCCGATTGCGCCCAGCGCGGATGCGCTGAAGGGGCCATCTTTGTGTACAGAGAAGAACCTTCCGTTTGTGCCGCGTCAGCATCACCATCTTTTACTTAAATTTGACGAACGCTGATGACTCATGTTTTTCTTATGCCAAAGGACTCTCTCGATGTTAATTATTTAAAATATTGTTTAGTACACCACAAATTAGTAAATTTGATCGTTGTGTGTCGGTGGATTTGTTTTCGTAATAGACAGTTTGTGGTTGTAGGGAAAATTAAATAACCAAACTTGATTTATGCGGGGTGAGTAAAGATGGGGTTCAATATCTATCTACCTAGTACGTAGAGGGCAAGCGTCTGGCCCGCCGGTGAATTTGATTTCCGATTTATTTATGTTTTTAGTATTACATATCCATAAATGTTTAAATAATCCACTAAGGCTTAGGCAAATCTCGGACCTCCTAAAGATGTTGGTAATTAGAGTTCTCCAAACCATATACCGTTTTTACGACATAATCGGGTATTTAACTTTGGTAAATTTTTATGAAGATCTAACCGCAGGCCTACCTCGCTTGGGTTTCTCTTCGTAACCCTCACAATGACGTTTCAGAATCGCACTTCGGTACTTCGTGCAAACAAATGCTGAAAGGTGACGGATTTGTGTAAAGTTACATCGGCGACATTCCTCGATTATTAATAGTCCATACAGTGAAAAATTTAGCTATAAAACAATGTTGCAATATTTATAAACAACTGGGAAAACATCCGTTATAAATAAATTATCTACATAAGGTTTTGAAGCGCACTAATTTGTCAGAGTTTAGATGAGAAACTGGCGACCATACAAATTCTACTCCACTTTTTTTGAGCTTTTGATTGTGTGGATCACTCATTTTTATGCGGTAAATTGCAATACTTTGGACTATCTGACAGTGTTAGGACAGCTGGTGTGTTGAAAGTTGGTGAAGTAGTATCAGGGGTGCCTCAAGGATCAATCTCAGGGCCGCTATTATTTTTACTGTATATATTTGATTTGGATGCCGTGCCGCAGTGTTGCCAATCTCAGTCATATGCTGACGATACCCAGCTTGCATACATATTCTTGACCAATTCTATTATGATGAGGTCGAAGACAGATATTAATTCCTTTAACACTCCTTGATCGTCAACGCCTTCAAAAAATACAAAACAACTATTGTAGGCCTCTGTATGGCTTAAGGAAGTATGACCACGTGTCCCCTAAAATTAAATTGTTGCAGTGGTTGAGAATAGACAATTTATTTAAGTACCTATTCGAGGTGTTAATATACAAGATCTGAAAGTCCTCTAGCTCTCCCTATTTAAAAGTTAAGCTAGTTTTTTGCTGTGAAACCCATAGTGCCACTATTGGGGAGAATACGCTAAACAACTAACTAACCAAAATTTTTAATAGGCATAGACTCTTCTTTGCCTTATCATCTTTAAAACTAGTTCGGAAGAACATTAAAGGCGTGTTATTAGATAAATAAAGTGCTGATTGGGTTTTTCGTCTTTTAATTAATAACAGAATTATATCTATAAATACTTACTTTCTTTTTCTTTTGTTTATATTTTATTTTTCTTTATTACTGGTGTTTAAAATATAGAAAAAATGGTCCCTCCCGCTTTACAACAAAAACGGTATATCGTTTGGAGAACTCAACTACAGACGATTTCACATAGGGTGCTAAGGTCACCTGCTCGTTAGACATTAGTGTTCAAGCATTGGACACCAAATTTTCTAATGAAATTTTGCGGGTAGAGATTATTTCAAGAACATTCATGCAAAAGTTAGTTTAGAACAAATCGATTACCTCTAATCCTGTTTCGGCAACCTTTTCGTATTTCGAAATATCGTTTTCGGGCGTGTCTTGGTCCTGCTGATACCCGTCCATCTCTTCGGGCTGTACCATCGCGTAGTATTTGCCACCGTAATCGTCGTATCTCAATTCTTGCACGGAAAATCGATCGTTTGGCTTCAAAAATACGCGTGTAAGCTACCACGAGGCGTTAATCGGTCGCGAAATACTCACTCCGTCGTTTAGGTCCAACCCTGACGCGTTCGGCGCGGAATTGGTGAGATTCTTAGCGTTGTAGAACTGAAAATCCAAATCGATGTCCTCCTCCTTTTGGGCGAGAGCTTTTTGTTCTGCCGTTTCCATTATACGCTGAAATAGTGGCAGCAATTATTTTATACGCAGACGTTTTGCTAAAAACCAAAAATCTAGTGCATAATGCTGAGGGGGAAAAGTAGTAACGCTGAGTGACCGATGGTGAAAGATCCAGTGGGTGACAAGCGTTTTATACCAAATCTTCAACCTTATAATAAGTATTTTTCCACCGAGGCCCCAGAGTCTGAGGGTCACCCGTTAAATTAGAAGGCGTCAATTTCGTAACACCCTGTATGACACTAAATTATTCGAATAAATGACGTACCTCGACGGCTTCCACTTTTTGCTTCATCATGGTCGAAATCTTCTCGTGGATATCGGCCAATAAGGCTTCGCCGACCTCGACGACGACCGTCGTATCCTTGAAGCTCTGGAATATTTTTGGGACGTGTCATTCCGCGGCCTTAAGCGTTTGTGTTCGGTAATTGGCAGTGTTTATAAGAGATGCCGCATATAAAAATAATATGCGTAAAGCAATGAATAATGGCTTGGCGAAATGAGAACTATTTCGAAACGGCGACGCTGATCAGAAACAGACACCCCGTCGATTTGTTTTGCCTGCCAGAGAGAGAATTTTTTTTTATTCGCGATAATATGTTATTTGCTGGGTATGGTCTGTTCATAGATATTGCTTTTGAATGTGATTATCCAAGGGTGGTCATTAACATACAATGCAACAACATTATTATTACCTAAAGTTTCGGAATTTAAATTCAGGTAATAACAGGTCCGTAATAGAAAATAATTTTATACTCACCTGTGTTTAATATATGCTACTTACTTTAAGTTTATTAGTAATCATTCTTGTGTTGAATCGTGTGCGAATTATGCAAAATATGTGCGAGTCTAGTGTATCTCAGGAGAGCCTCCCGCCCGTATGTAAAAAACACTATTGAGACTAAGGAAGTTATAAGCAATGTTTATTTGACCCTCATTGAACATGGTGCCAGCAAGCAAGCATCTTTAGAAGAAACGGCCACATCAATTCTATGGAAAATTGTGGATAATCCCATTTCAGCGAGGACATTTTCTCGAGTGTAGATGAAAGTGATCAAGATATAATACGGCGTAAAATTTACCAGTTATACGAGGAACAAAGTGCGCCTACATTAGATATCTTAATTAAGAGGCTTGAAAAAGATGAAACCGGTGTTAAATGTGGCAGAACTACCTTATGGAAGTGTATTCAACACATGGGTTTTAGATTTTAAAAAATTAACAAAAGGCAAGTTTTAATGGCATCTTTTACAATTCGGAAATGGCGACTGGAATATCTAGAAAAAATTAGGATTTACAGAGAACAACAAAGGCCAATTATTTACTTGGATGAAACCTGGTGCGACTCTTATGATACCCGGGGAAAGGGTTGGGTTGACTCAACTGATAAGTGTAAAACAAACGCGCTATCAAAAAGAGGTGAAAGAATAACTATTTTGCATGCTAGCTTTAAAGATGGCTGGATTCCAAATATATTTTCTCTGCCTGCGAAAAATGTTAAAGATTACCATGAAGACGCCACAGCTGATTTATTTGAAAGTTGGTTTAAAAACAAACTAGTTCCGAACATTCCTCCTAATAGCGTCATTGTAATGGACAATGCAAGTTATCACAGTAGACAGTTGACTAAAACCCCTTCCTCATGTGACACAAAAGCAACAATCCAAAACCACATGTACAATAACGACATTTATTGTCACGAAGATTATACCAAAAAGCAATTGATGGAGGTTCTACAAACCTTGAACCTACAAAAGGAATACGTCTGTGATAATTACGCCAAAAATCTAGTTTTAAGGCTTCCACCTTACCACTGTATATTTAATCCTATTGAACATGTTTGGCACCAACTGAAATTTGCCATTCGTCGTAACAATGTTTTTCCCCGTGTTAACTCCAATGTCCTCAACCTTATAGAAACCGAATACATACATAAATAAATATTTTTTAGTATGTTTCCTAACAAAACCCCGAATAATTAAATTCTAAGCAAAGTACGGACCTGTTCGGCCATACAGCTTACAGCTTGCCTGGGTCTTTCCTTAATTCGTATCAGTTAGTCACTTTCTTATATCTATGAACAGACTTTACTGGGTGATCCGGTAGTGGGGAATTAATAAGGTAAATGCGGCAAATAAAACCCAGTTAATAAGAAATTGCTTTATTTGGAAAACACAGACAAAAACAAATAACGAAATACAAATATTATACTAATTCAGACTCTCATAAATGAATCTATAGGTACACGTTCTGTCTTAAAGGCGTGTGAAACATTTAACACATTTTTAAAAAATTCAATCTAATCACAACGTACGCAGATACCGCTGTGCCTTGTAATTAAGGGATTTTCTGTTTAAACTCTTATTTTTTTTTCAATTTGTACAGTTCCGGTGTAGGAAGAAGTTCCTTAAAAGACTTATTAAGATATTCACTTTCTTCTTGTGTCTATCTCTTAGCAGTCTTGACTGGTGTTTTATACCTTTATAGTTACAATCAACAATTACAAACAACTCAGTATCGTTGTGTTATTAGCATTAACGTTGTTTCCGTCATATTCCTCAGCGTAAGGACGTTCAGTTGCTAGTGATGAGACAAAAGCTGATTCAGGAATTACAGTAGGATCAACTGAATACAAGCCTGTCGCTCGAAAACCGGTTAAGATGTTCTCTGGGGTCATGCATGTGGGTCAAACTTTAGACATAATTTTGCCAAAACGAGATTTGTTCAAACGACGATCTGGATGTGTCTCCCAAAACTTGAGAACTTCTTGGTCCCACTGATGTTCTTTTATCTAAACAGTTCATTCGTGGTGTTAGATGACAAGCAGAACACCCTTATATTCAACTCGTCTGCAGCCTCGGTTATGGAAATGTCCAGGTGACTAGCAGCTCCATCAAAAACTAGCAAGATGGTGTCTGGACCCTTGTAACGATTGAACTGAGATGGCTTTTACTTGATGAAAATTCATTTATCAAAATAAATAAGAACTAAAAGTTCAGATTTTCACGAAATTATATATCTTGACATGACAATTGTTCCGGCAACACCGTGTCTTTATCAACGGCTACAATCCGTCCATTATAGATAAAATTATAAATAAAAAAAAAATAAAGACGACAGTAAACTCTATTTATCCAAAACCAAATACAGAACACGCACAATTTAAAACAATTAGATACATAGGAGAACCTAGTGAAAAAATTTCAAAACATTTGTCAAAATGTGGTTTAAAAATAGCTTTCAGAACTAACAACGCAATAGGAAAATATTTAAAAAACAATAAATCGAAATGTCCAAAATCCCAAAAATCAGGTGTCTACAGGTTGAAATGTGGATCCTTCAAGAAACGCATTAACGAACATATAAGAGCGTTTAAAAACAATAGTCTAGATTCTAATTATGCTACGCACTTAAACACAGAAAAACACATTTTTGACGACAATTTTGATATTTTACATAGAGCCACAAAAAGTAGAAAATTAAATTTATTGGAAGCCATGGAGATTAACAAAATGAGACATTCAAATGTATTGCTTAACGATCAATTAGATTTAAATACCTCTCGTTTATTGAACTTAAATTCTCGCAAAAACATTAATTAACGTTTTATGGTCATTTTTCGGTATATATAGTAGTAGGTAGTTTGTAAATATTACATATTACATAGAGACACGGTGTTGTCGAAACAATTGTCATGTCATAATATATAATTTCGTGAAAATCTGAACGTTAAGTTCTTATTTACCTTGTAACGATATATGTGCCTTAATAAATCAATAAAAAGGTCATTGGTCATGCTACCCTTTTTAACTAGGCCTCCTGGTGGTAGGTTTTCTTCCCATTTAGACTTTTTCCTGTAACTATTACCATAGCATCCAGCAATGGTCACATTTATGGCGTGCTCAGGTGCACCTAAGTGAACACGTCTGGCATCTTTTTGTCCAATAACAAGCTGTTGATAATGAATAGTTATTCTGCATTCCTTTTCGTCCATATTGAAAACGTTCTGTAGATTTTGGTGCAAAAAAAATGTTAGCTAATTTATTAAAATGATCACCCACTATAAATTTATTTAATTTTTGGGTACGGGCTAGGTTCATTTGTTGCGCTTTGCACCTAGACAAATGAGGATTACGTTTCAAAAACCCATAGAGCCAATCCAATCCAATTTGTATGCAGAGCGACGTACTAACAATGATGTTAGCGGCATTCCGATTTCACAGAGACGAATTAATCTTTCAGAAAATTGTTTTTCTTAATTGGCACTGGATCATCCTATTTTTTTTATTTAGAACGCCAGATCTTAGATGGTTTCTAAGAGGTCTCCTGGGTATTCCATATATTCATTAACTTTTACCGCGCTAATGGCAACTTGAGGTTGTTCTTTAGTCCAATTTGCTCGCTTTTTCAATTTCGGTGGCATGGTTGATAGAAAACTAAATAAAAGAAAGAATATTTTACAGTGTCGTCTAATAAGACCCACTATTTAATGGGTCTTATTAACCGAAAAATCAGTGGGGCTTATTAGCCGAAACTCTTCTTAACCATAAAAAAAGAAAAACATGAGTGTCTCTTACCTTTTAATATCGTTTATACTGAAAAATATAGCCCGAACAATGTAGAACTCAAGGCACTATTTAGGGAAACATATTATTTTTCTAAAAAAGAAAATATTCAAGTTCAATTCGACTACAACTGAATTTTTTACATACGTGCAAATTTCGCGGTATAAGTTAGTAGAAATAACCAGTGTTGCCGGATTTAAAAAAAGAACCGTAGGTTTCGATATTTGCTAAAGGAATCGACCGAAGGAAATATGTGAAAATATGATTCTGTGGTGGAGCATTGCACGCGGCGGTTTAACCTCCGTTCGCTCCCGACAGAATCCCTTGTATTCGTCCCAAAAAGTTTGAATCGGTTTCCACGGTGTGGATTTAGTGTTTTGAGTGTTCAGTGTACGTCTTAAAGTGATAATCGTCATTGGCCCCGTCGTTTTTCAACGTTCACGCCGGTATGGAGGTGGAAGCGAGGGGATGTCGGTTTTTTTTTTGGTATCGGTAAAAATTGTTTTTTACTAGTTGAGCAAATATTGATTATATTTCTTCTTTATACGTGTTAATCCATGACCAAAAGCAAAGATCCTCGACGGAAGTCGGCAATGGGCGAATGATCGTAGCAGTTTAGCCCAACATTTTTTATGAATCGCATCATTGAATTGAATTGAAACTACCAGCACAGACTAATACTACCCAAACCTGGGCCACTATTATTAGAGTTTTTGAACCACAGAAGCCACAAGTAGGGGAAGCATTGCACTTGGCGGACGATGCTCCTGCCTGGTTCTAATACTCGCTATTTAGAAAGAAAATGTACTTGTAGTGTGTTAAATTTTAGGGCATGTGCGGAAGGAAATATCCTTCTGCAGGCCAAAGGGCTGCCGGAGGTGGAAGCGGGGGGAAGCCGATTTTTTTGGTATCGGTCAGAATCGTTTTTTGCTAGCTGAGCAAATTATTGGTTATTCTTCTTCTTTGAACGTGGTGGTCATTGACCAGAAGCGAAAATCCTCGACGGAAGTCGGCAATGGGCGAATGATCCTAGCAGTTAGCCCAACATTTTTTGTGAAACGCATAATTGAATTGAATTAATGTGAAAATATGTTTTAAGTTCCCGTCTCCACCTCTAGGAGGCGTAATGATGCTTTTTTTTACAAAGTTTGGTTCGGTGGGAAGTATAACATTTTTTTATTAAATAAGCGTCTATAGCTTTGGTTTGATCTGATAGAATTGGGCAAACTGGGTGTCATTTATGAAGAATAAAATAAAAAAAAGAACCAATCAAATAGGCACCAGTACAACTTAATAAATATCTAATTATACACCGATATACCCTTCGGACATATCCGAGATTTTACCGCACGGGTTTGGGAGCAATCGGATGTTTTCGGAGATATTTCCCACGCTTTGAATTTTGACGTATGTCAATTCTGACGGTCGTAGAAAAAGTATAGTATGCAACACGTTCCGTAAACTTTTTAACTCGCTCGTTTATTAAACATTCGCTCCGCTCGTATCAAATAAACTCGTGAGTCAAATGCCGTTTACCGCACTTGTTGCATAATATACTATTTTTCTACTCCCTTCTGTAAAATACCAATTACACACCGATCTAGCGTGCCTAAAATGACACTTTACCGCGTCAGTTTCGTTTCCTACGTATCATGTCCTATATTTCCGGGATATTAACGCACAGGTTTGGGAGTAATCGGATGTTTCCGAAGATATTACTGCACGGTTGAATTTTGACGTTTGTCACTTCTGCGACATGTTTGGTAAACTTTTTAAATCACTCGTGACTCAAATGCCGTTAACCATATTTGTCGCATAGCATACCATTCCCCACACAGAGACCAAAAAATCAAAAGAAATTACTATTTTTCTTAAAAATTGCCTATTATTTTTATACTAAAAATAAATTTATTAAACCAAGCATTTTGAAGATTGCTGCTCTAAGAGCTTGAGTAAACTTATATTTGTGTCCTTAGTTTGAATTTGATGTGTTTTAAAGTTCGAAAAACCTAAATAAATATAATGATTAGTATATAATAATAATAATAATAATAATAATAATAATAATAATAATAATAATTATAATAATAATGTTTATTTCCATCGATTTTTAACAAAACTATGGGATAATGTCAACAAGTAAAAAAAAATATATATTAGAACATTAAAATACAAAATTTAAAAACAGATACGTACAAACACACAAAGCATATCACACTGAGAGATCAGCATTACTACAATCAAAGTATTCATCGATAGAATAAAACATTCTTATTCAAAATGAGCTTTAATTTTTGCTTAAATAAATGGACAGGCAATATCTGTCTGACGGACAAAGACAACTTATTATATAGTTTTATTGGTAAAATCATAGGGCCATTAGCTACTTTGGCTAAAAAAGACAGATTAATCAAAAAAGTAACAGGTTCAACTATAAATAATGTATCGAAAGTCAACACCCGTGAAAGGTGTTAAGAGTAGACTTCGACTTGAATATTTTTTATTAGTTGTTTGTGTTGATTTTGTATTATTTATATATTATGCAACAAGTGTGGTAAGGCAGGAGCAGATATCTAAGACCGTTAGTTTCTGGATACATTTGGCAAAAAAAACACGAACACTTCACTGACATGACCGTCAGAATTGTCAAAATTCTAGTCGTGCGGTAATATCTCCGAAAATATCCGATTGCTCCCAAACCCGTGCGGTAATATCCCGAAAATGTCCGAAGTGGCTCGGATCCGCGGGAAACGAAACTGACGCGGTAAAACGACACTTTCTGCACGCTGGATCGGTGTATAATTAGGTATTTCCCAGAAGGGAATAGAAAAAAAGTATTAAAACTTCAGCGGCCTGTACCTCGAGAGGAACATTGATTTACATTGACATTAATTCCGTTGTAATTTATTTTCTTTTATAATAAAAACGTAAATGTCGTCTTGTACGCTAGAGCAGTCAATTTCTACAGATAAAGAGTCGCTGTACTTTAATGCGGTACCAACTACAGCGAGAAGTTAATCATATTTAATTCAAGGTTGCCAAGTCAGATAGAAGTGTTTAAACTCACGTCTTTCACTTTAGTTTTTCGCGTGACCAGCTCCCCGAAATGCCACAGCTCTCCTCCCAATTTCTGAGCCCAGTTTCGCACCCTAAAAATTCGACGTACAGCTTCGAAAACAATCGACCATCTAGGCGACGCCGACCGCGATTTGCCACTTACAGTTTCGTCAGCTCGGGGTGTTGCTTGGTGTCGCGATTTTCCTCCTGACCGCCGCCTACGCACAAGAACACGGTTATGAACGCGTACTTTCTGTACTTCATTACTGCTGGTGGTCGGCGAATAGACATTTAAAATATCATTGCGTCGCGTCGCGTATAGACCGCTCGGCCTCTTAATTTACATTTATTCGACGTGAAGAGTAATCGTTATCGACTTTTATAATTTGTTATTGTAGCCAGGTTAGGCGAGAGCGCGCGCGGTACGCGGTTTTTTTGCCGCAATCAGAATTATCTGCGTGTGTGCCCGATTGCAGATATATAGGGCAAATCGATTGCCGAACGCGGGATGCGCATGCGACGTACGTTTTTTGTCATCGATCGAAGCATCTACAAAATAACCAACAACAAAGTGCCTTGAACTCCAAATTTTGTGGTTTTTTTACTTTGCAGGATATTCCGTCTGTATCCTCTACTAAAATCAGGATATTGTCACTATAATACAAATATGCATAATATAAAATTATGTTAGTATAATTAAATTAATTAATAATAATAATAATAATAATTAATCATGTTAGATAAATAACAAATATATAGACAATAATAAACAACGAATACGTATTAAAAGGTATCACAAAAAAGAAAATCCTTAATATTGTACGGCGTGGCCAAAATAACGTAACCTCTCAGAATATACAGTGTGTACGAAAAAATCTTAAATACAAAAGTGATCTGGTTTGGAATGAAGTCTTTTATATGCTTGGGTAAACACAACTTATTTTTTTTAAATGGAACATCCTGTATATTATTACATTTTTAGATTCTACTCAAATTTCTATATCTAATGGTTTTTGATATATTTAAGTTTTTATCACAAATTTTTCCTAAAAGAAAATCTTTATTTTTTCATTTGGGTTTAATACCTTGTCCACAAGAACCTTTTTAATAGAATAGAGGTACGATTAAATACTAAATTAACTTATTTAACATTAAAAATAAAGGTAAGTTTGCATAATGTTGTCTATGCTGAAAATATCTACCTTTCGAAAGATTGACAAATTACTATTCTTATATGACGGTTTTGTTGCGGGTTTCAAGCTTTGTTATACTTGACATAGGATAAAAAGTCAAGAAAGCCATGATAAACAAAAAAAGCCGGGCTCTCGGTAAAATGTAATTTCATAGTTTTTAGTTTATTACTGTCAAAAATATGCCTCCATACATTGTTGAAGAGAGACATTAAAACTGCACCTGACTACTTAAAAACCCACTTTCTTGAACCGATAGTAAGTTTTTCTTACTCATTTCAAACAGATTCCAATCAAAATCGGCTCTTCCGAAACATATCTTATTTCAATCCGCATCAAAACAGCAGATATCAGCTTAAACCATCATTTTTTGATCCAAACAGTTACATATTCATGTCAATATCCTTCAAATACTAGTCAAAATCGGTGTCTTCGGGCATTAGAGTAATAGAAGTCCAGCTTTGGCTCTTCGGGAGTACCGGCAGTTAAGTCCAGCAAGCAGATTACCCACTAAACAGATTTTTAGTAGAATAATGCGTGACATAAAAAACATCAGGGTCCACTATTTTATGAAGGCAGTTTTCATGGTGATCGATATTTAAACCTACTATCTACACACATTTATCCGCTTAGTGACGCTCTACCAGAACAAATTAAACAAGATAGGGCTCCGTATCATACGTCAAGACCTGTTATTAATTGGCTGAACAACCGATTTCCAAATTGGATATGTCGATGGACCTTGGACAGCTAGTGGCCCTGATTTGACGCTTTTGATTTATTTCGATGGGGAAACCTCAAAAATAAAGTTTATCAAAATCGGACTGAAAATAGGGAGGATTTAAAAGAGAAAATAAGCCAGTAAATACTTGATATCAACGGATCTAACATGGTTAACTATACTTAGTTTATTATAATGTATTATAATACCTATTGTTCCAATTTTTAGTTGTTAATAAAAAAAATTGCAGAAACTTGACTTGATTTTTGGAAGTTTTCTTAATTTAGTATTCAATCTTACTTTTTGAATACTCTGTATTATTTGTTATCAAAATATTAGAAAAATTTTATTAAAGTAGGTTCTTGTCAACAGGTATTAAACCCAAATTAAAAATAAAGATTTCCTTTTAGGAAAAATTGGTATTTTTCTTAGGTACTGCACATGATATTTTTGAGATAAAAACTTCAGACATAGGTATAGAACATTATATATGAAATTTTTCTAGAAACTTGAGTAGAATCCAAAAATGTAATAATATACAGGATGTTCCATTTTAAAAAATGAAGTTGTGTTTACCCAGGCAACAGTGAGTGCCCTGTATATACAAAAATATAATAAAATAAAACTTCATTTCAAATCATGTTACTTTTGTATTTAAGATTTTTGGGAACACCCTGTATATTCTGAGATAAGATATAGGGTTACTTTATATTGGTCACCCCGTACCGGGTGCGGCGTAACTGTTTTTAAGAGCAATTGAATTTTGTTTGACTAGCTATCTCTTCCAATTCGATAGGCAATTTATTATAAATTTTTTCGGTCAAAACAAACGGATTATTTCATGTAAAAAATAGGCGCTATTTGTATGTTAAGATTCGGTCTTAAATTGTACTGAATATTTGAATTTTTTGAAAGCATATAAATATTGGAGTGGAAGTAGATTTCGGCATAAAAAATTTCACGGTTTAACCAGTATAGTCGGTTTAACCAGTATAGTCCGTAAAATGCGTTCCCGCATCCTAAAAACTTGTTTCGCAACTTCTCGACACATCAAGGAGTAATTAAGCCTGGAATAGACATAGGAAAAATAACATGTTTTTAAAAGCGGAAAAGTAACCTGATGGTGGAGCCTCCATATGACAGCAATAAACAGAAAGTTTTTTGAGGATGTGATTCACCTACTCGAACCAGAAGAGTCTACATAAACTCCGAGTAATTTTAGAACACTTTTTTTATTGGATTGTACTTTCATTGAAGCGTACATAAACTCTTATTTAAATCCCGTGTTGAAAAGGCCTTAGTTTTACTTTCATTTGTAATCGATTTATTAATTTCTCGATACTGTTTCATTTGCTCAACAGTTGCCTTGTGTGCAATAGTATGTTGCTCACACGATGCTGCAGAAAAGGTAGAAACTGCATCATCCGCAAAACGGGAAAAGTATGGGTTTGTTTTGGTTTAAAAATTAAAATAAAGAAACACTAAGTACTTTCGCAATTAAGAAAAAACCATATATAATATATATATATATATATATATATATATATATATATATATATATATATATATATATATATATATATATATATATATATATATATATATATATATATATATATATATATATATATATATATATATATATATATATATATATATATATATATATATATATATATATATATATATATATATATATATATATATATATATATATATATATATATATATATATATATATATATATATATATATATATATATATATATATATATATATATATATATATATATATAAATATAATAAAAGTGTTACAAGAAAGTCATACTTACCGCTAAAAATCAATTTTAATTTATTACAACAAAAAGAAAGGTAAAACCAACATAAATGAACAAAATCATTCTAAATTCCTACATTACCCTGGAGAATTTCCATGAAAACAAACTGGGCATGTACGAATGAATAATTGAAAAACAGTTGTGGGTGTTCTGTGGATCGAACTCGAAAATTAATATTTACGAATTCAAATTCTTATTGTGGCTTCTTGTAATTATTCTCTGTTTCTATTATTTATGTATACTCATATAAAATCAAAATTATTAGCAGCTAAGAAACAAATTAGGAAACAATATTTTAAAGAAAATTTGAAAAATATTATTCTATATTTGACATTGACATTGCGAATACCCTTTTTCTACTCCCTTCTGTAATAGTATATTATGCAAAAAGTGCGGTAAACGGCATTTGAGCCACAAGTTTATTTGGTTTTTCTACGACCATTAATTTTTGGGTACATTTTTGTAAAACAACACGAATACATTCACTGACATAACCGTCAGAATTGACAAACGTCAAAATTCAAGCCGCGCGAAAAACCTTCGAAAACATCCGATCGCTCCCAAATCCGTGTGGTAATATCACGTGGTAAAATGACACTTTCCGCCCGCTAGATCAGTGTATAATTAGATATTTTTTCTAAGAAGAAACACCTAATTACGCACCGATCTAGCGTGCGGGGAGCGTCGCTTTACCACGTCAGTTGTGTTTCCCACGAATCCGAGGCACTTCGGACATTTCCGGGATTTTACCGCGCGAGTTTGGTTAGGATGTTATCGGAGATATTTCCCACGCTTTGAATTTTGTCGTTTGTCAATTATGACAGTGAATGTATTCGTGTTGTTTTTCGAAAATGTATCCAAAAACTAACGGTCGTAGAAAAAGTATAGTATGCAACACGTTCGGTAAACTTTTTAACTCACTCATTTATTCAAAACTCGCTCCGCTCGTGTCAAATAAACTCGTGACTCAAATGACGTTTACCACATTTGTTGCATAATATATTATTACAGGAGGGAGTAGAAAAAACACATAATTAAAGACCGATCTAGCGTGCGGGAAGCGTCACTGACAGCTACGTAACGGAGGTTATAGCCAAATCTTGCTAATTTTGCCATCTATGTTTTATGATCGGAACCTTCACAAATCATGTATATATTGAATATCAAATCGGAAAGGACCAGTGAGATTTACAATCTGAAGAGCTGTGGCGATCTAGGCATCTAAAATCTATAAAATTTAATCGATTTATCGGCGCAATCGGATGCCACATCTATCAACATCTTTGCAACGAACATAAAAAATTGGGGCTTCAGTGAGTCTTGGATAGATGGCGCTCCAAGGTCTAAAATTAAACAATAAAAATTTACATTCATTTATTGATATTCGCAGAGAAAAATTAACTCGCATTTGTAATAAAAATATTATAGATAAACATAAATACATTAAATTATTTTATAATAGGTTCAGTATAATACCATAAAAGTAAATACAAAACAATCAACACATCTTCAAATAAAATATAAAGTATGCAATAGGCGCAAACTCATTTACATTTTCTAATTATTAATAATTTCACCTCAAATCCCGATTTTGAGTCAGTACAAGTTCTATTTCAACATCCTTGAATCTACTCTTAACCTGTTTTATAAATGAGTCCATTTGTCGTTCCTCACTTTGACTTGAGTCATCCATAGTTAAATCAACTACTGGAAGGCTATCGTGGAGACCATTATCTGTTGGCAAGGTTGCCCTTCTTTTTTCCAACCATTTAGGCATAGAATGTGGATCATTCTTTGGCTTTTTTGATATCGCGTGAGGTGCGCTGGCTTTTGTGGAAGAATGCACTTTCGCAAAAGGATTCAACACTAACTTTGTGTCATTTTTCCTTTCCGTTCTGTCAGAATGATGTTCTATCGCTTTTAATTTTTTGGGAGAAGAACCTGCCAATAATTCAAAAGTTTCGCTTGGTGCTATAGAACTATGACTAGCAGCTCTTCCACCATCCGTGGTAGGCAATTCATCCAAAAAATCAGGTGTTGTTGAATCTGCCTCAGATATATTGGTGCCACATTTTGTGTTATCCGTTGTTGAATCACCAATATATTGCATTTCAGAACGTATTTGTGTGGAACATTGACAGATGGCTAAGCATATATCCCTTTTTGAAAATAAGTTTTTGCATGTTGATGTGTCTATATATTTTGCAACATTGCCGTTGTTTACAAACACATAGTTTGAATTATTCAAAATTTTCAACTTTGTTTCTTTACTTAATTTTGTCCAGAATAATACAGTTCCACCTAAAATTTACCATTTGTTTTAATGAAACTATTTAAATTAATTAATAGAGTATCATCAAAGCTACTGGTTAAACAAAATCAAGTTTTATGTATTGTTTAAATTTGTTTTTAAATGCCAACATTACCAACTGTTTAAAAGCAAAATCTAGAAGTTTTTAAAAACTAAGGCAAAATAACTATTTTCCCAATATTTCAACACATACAATATAATTTGATCTGCCGAATATGCTGTTAACGTTTCTCCATTATAACTCAGATCCTGTATACCCAACACCCACTTACCGCATTTTTCTATAAGCCCTGCAAAGACATATTCATTCTCTTCATCAAAAACAACAAATTGTTTTTCTTCAAATAAAAATCGTCTTCTCAAGTCGGGATTGAAGTCCAAACCATACTTTCTCAAGCTTTCATCTAAAGGTGGAAAAAACTGCCATGTATCAGGAAGAGAATCATTATCATGCAAGCACTTTTCCAGCTTAAGCCAAAATTGAGTTGTAACAAAAGGCTTACGATCAATCAAAGCACTCAATATTTCTTCCTTCAGTGTTATCCTGTGGGTAGTGTAATGTGTACATTTGTTTGACCAAGTGTCAGCTATTTTAACATGGCAGTTATTGAGTGCCTTGCGAAGTATTTTTTCATCAGCTTCAATCATATCGGATACTACCGTTCTCCAATTAAGTTCCAAAAACCTAAAAGTAATCAACGACTTGCTAACAGCAATCTGCATTAGGCTTCGGCACTTACTGGATCTCGGCATCTTTCAGACCAAATTTTATTTTATCTGAACTTTTTAATATGTGGCTTGATTTTATTTCTTTTCCGTTGACCAAAGTACCCCGTTTAGAATTTAAGTCTTTTAAGATAACTTTTTCAGCCTGGAAGAAACAAACAGTACTCGACGTAAAAAAAAACAGCACCGGACTACCTTTGTGATTAATAACGCATGTTTTTTACTAACAGTAGGATCTTTCACTATAATGTCATTAAAAGATCGTCTCCCTATTGTATGCTTCTTTTCATAACTCAGACAAACTTCATTTCCTGCAAACGGAAAAATGAAAGGCATTTACTTCAATTTTATTTGTTCACATACCGTTCTTGATATTCTTTAAAATAAATACCATTATTTACATTGTTTATTGTTTGTAGGTTAGCTTCGCAATGCCTAAGATCATTGGGAACATAGCCCTCCCTCTCCTTTACTTCTATTGGCCAAATTGCTAAGATCACTCGGCCACTAACAACTATAATTCAATATTTTCTTTATTACCTGAAGGGTGCATTAATTAAAAGGAACAAACAAGGGAAACAAACTAATGGAGAATTCTGCTTTCTTGAAAACTTTTAACCGATTGCCGAAAACGACCTTTCGGTTCCGCCACGGACCATTCGGGCCCATCCAGCCTCCAACCGGCGTAGAAGTCAAAAAACAAGGGTGTAGACAACGATTACGCACTTTATAACATTACTAAACACTGAGAACACTAAATCCACACAATGGAACCCATTTGGATTATTTTGGGGACGATTACAGAGGATTTTGTCGGGAGCGGAGGTGAACCCGCCATGTGCAATGCTCACTACAGAAATCCTAGTAACGGAGCTATAATTTTCCTTCTTATATTATTCTTTGGATATTCTGGAGTCGAGAATTCCACAGCATTCCGTTTTGTGCGTTCCAAAAACCGTTTTTTTGTGTGTGATTTTTGTTTCGGAAGTTTCTGGTGTACGTTTTAAAGTGTTTAAGTGTGCCGGCTCCACTGTTTTTGCTGTTCGCGCCGGTTGAAGGCCGGATGGGGCGGTTGGTCCGGGGTGGAGGCGGGGGAAAGCCAAATTTTTTTTTGGTATCCCAAGTTTTGCGCAAGAATCTAATTACAAAAACTTTGGATTGTTCAAAGCTCAGGTGCAGCAAAATAAATTTGTTCTTAATTTGGGTTATGTTGCTACATATTCAACGATGTCGGTTATGAAGTCGGGGGATGCTTCACGTCTTGGGATAATTTCCAAAAACACGTGTACTCGAAAAAATTGCACTACAAGGGATATTATACAGGAAAATACCGCCCGTGCGTTTAAAAAATGTAAGATTGAAGAAAACAAAACTCTTTTACGTTGTACATTTATCTACTTTAAATCAGGATCAGATTTTTGTTTTCTCGTCCAACGATTTTTCTCATTATGAATCACAATCACTCAGCTTTGATTTCTCGCCCAACTTTCACTTCTACACAATCACAACTTTGTTTTTTCATTGGTCTCTTCCAAATACGCCCGATTCACCAGCCCTTTCACTTCCGCCCCGGGCTCGTAGCCCTCCACCAATGGCCAATCGGTTTGCTGTAAATCTTCCAGTACTTGCTCGTACCTCTTGGCCGACTTCACTATCTTCGGTTCGACGTACCGTCCGAGAATCACCTCGACGAACAACTCCTCCAACGCGTAGCACGCTAGGAAGTTGAACGATGCGATCCCCAAGATCGCAATTCTTCCGTCCCAATGGGGAGGCACTTTTAGTTCGAGAACTTTCCAGAGGAACTCGGGCGGACGCAGAACTACCCACGCGCACAGTATCGTCATAACGATCAAACTCAGCAGGAATACGGAATTGGTGTACAAGGGTCGCCTGTAGGGTTTACCCTTGGAGAACACCACGGCTAGGATGATGTATTGGAACATCGAGACACCAAATACTGCGTAGTCCTCGTACGAGTAGAAATTGTAGGGATTAAGCCGGTCGTAGCGAAACGCAACGAACCAATCGTAGGTCTGCACGTGTCGGAACGCGAACACTTGAAACGCTACGGTCAGTGCCATAAACAGGGCGATCGAGCATACTGGTACGAAGCTGAGGATGCTCATCCTCGGTGGTTTTTTGGCAAGCGTCGCGGCGGCTTTGGTCCTGCCGAAAGAGGAAGCGAACGTCATGATGAGGACGACGTCGATGAACAAGAATTGGAACGAGCTAAGGTTGGAGTCGATGTTGTAGAGGATGATCACCGAACAGAATTCTGTCAGGCTGTAGCAGATCATCATTTTGAAGACGCCGAAAGAGGTGACGAGGGCGGCTCTGCCCTCTTTGACCACTTCGGGCACGCACGACACGTCCTGTTCCTTCGATGTGAACGGAGATGCTACGCTAGACTCTGCGTCCGACAAGGACACGCCCACGTGCGCCGCTTTGAGAGCACCGCAGTCGTTTGCGCCGTCGCCACACATGGCTGCAATGAAAAGTAGAGCAGTTTGTTCTTGGTTAGACCACATTGCACATAGAGGTTTAAAATCCATGTAGATTGAGTGAATTGTGTTTTCTAAGTGTGTCGCTAAGCGGTTTAAAGTGTTTGAGTGTTGCCGGTTCAGCTAATTTTGTCATACACGCCAGTTAAAGGCCGGATGGACCCGGAGTACAAGCGCTGGTTATATTGGGCGAATGTCCTGAATTGACTTGCCCAATTAAAAGCAAAGCAGTAGTAATAGTGGTAGTGTTCGGAGGGTAGACTCTGCACATCGAACTATGGTGTGCGCTGTCATAATGAGAACTTTGTTCATCTTTGACTTGCCCGAAACCGACAGATGACGCTCCATTTGACAAAAGCTTATCACATAAAAATTGGCTTGATTTTGTGACAGCATCAACATTGCAGGTTTTCATTATATCCCCATTCTAGTTTATTTTATCGAACAATTTTTATTACAAAAGTTGTTTGTTTGTATGCTGCATGCGATGAATATAGTTTTCATTATTTTATTTCGGATTTCTCAGAAAATTTCATGGCAGATTCGCCCAGGCTTCCCTATACTTAATCGTGGTAATTGTGATTGTAATCGTAAACGTCAACGAAAACACAAGAATTATGCTTTCGAAATTGATATTGGGAGTTGATTTATCGCTGACAGAGTGTCCAAAATTTACCAATTAGTATGTAAAAGTCATTCAATTTTGGTTTTATTTACGTCAAAGGAAGGAGGAGTTTTTAGAGCTGACCACTTTGATATCCAATTACTTCAAAAAAACGTAATTTTATTCGGATTTAAAGGCATTAAAAGGCATCGTCAACAGAATTCAATAACTCATTTAATATTTTGTAAAAGCCTAGAAAGATTACATTAGATCTTTTTTTACAGCCGCGGAGTGGAATATTCCACCTTTCTTATCTCTTTCGAAATAAATGAAACCAAGAGCATTTTAGACTGGGTCAAAGTCAATACTAACTCCAAAGAATTTGGATGGTTTGACTCACTTTTGATAACAAATAAGAAATAGCGAAAACCGTTGAAAACAGGTATAGAATTAGATTGAAATTAAGTAAAACCTGAAGGAACCTACCATACAATTTTCTCGATAATCCAAAGGCGAAACAATATGTGTTCTATATTTAATTTTTTTATAATGGTCCACGTGATGGCGTCTATGCGATTTGCGGCCATTCAGCTTTTTAATAATTACTGATTTGTGCGTAATTTTTCTGTTTATCGAAATCCTTCGGTTCAGGTTCACGCCCTAGTGTGCTAGTGTTATGATTGGATTTGTTTATGCTATCACATATTGTCACTTGACGTACCCAATAAAGACCTTTACAAAAATTACAGAGTATGCTGCCTTTATGTTGAGGCAAATTGCAGGTTTGTTCACAATGCATAATAAAACTTAAGAACAGGAACTCTTTAAATAGCCCAAGAACTTTGAAAGCTCGTAAATTTAGTACTTTTGTGCTTTCATTATAGGCTAAATTAATTAATTCGGTTTTCCTCCTAAATTGATGATTCGATAAAATAGTACTAAACCCACAACTCCTTTAAACTTAGAGAAGAATCATTTTTGTTCACCACCGTCTCACCACGGGAGTTTCTATTCGTTACCAATATAACCAAACCAAACAATAACTAAAGAGCAAAGGAGCCTTTGTTCGCAAGCGTAACATTGGTGATCTCTTTTCTACTCTCCCAACTCCTTCAATCTACCTACCGACGTAGTATCCCAGCGTTTTCAGTTCTTCGACGAGTTGCTGCTTTTGTATGCCGGACATTCTCGCGAACACAACACCTTTCGCGACAATTTTCGGTACCATATCCGGAAAATAGCGAACCAAGTTGCCCCAGCACTGACCGCTCATCACTAGACAATAGTTTCTTTCCCTTGCGATTTCGATATCCACCTTGGAGTAGTCGTGACCATTGAGGGAGTACTGTATTTAAGAAAGAAAATAAAAATATACACGTAATTTTTAGAAAATTCAAAACGAGACGTACCGACAAAACTATCATAGAAGAAGAAGAGCGGAAAAAAACATTAAAAGGGATAATAAAAAGAAACAAATTAATCATAAGAAAAAATACAGCAACCTCCATCCACCTGTACAAAAACTTTGTATCCAAGGAAGTTGCAAATGGTATGTAGGGTGGGTAGAAGAGCGGGTTTTCATTGTTTTCTTTTTTACGTTGATATCAGGTTTTTTGTAATTTTCTCAAATCAGGAAACTCACCATTTTCCCACCAGCTCGTTTCACCACGTTATACTTAATACTAGCGAATTCGAACTTGCTCGGTTTGGTAACCACCACCTCGATGATCGTCACTTCTACGCCCACAATTCCGCATTCTTTGGCCACCGTAACGGCCGTCTGAATATTGTCGCCTGAAAAAACCTTTCCTCTAAAAAAAAAACCGCCAAGATTACCCACCGAGGTTACCAGTAATCATGACGACTTTCATATCTGCGTCTTTCAAAGTCCTCACGACGTTCGCAGTCTTCGGTTTGAGCTTGTTCTCGAACACGATAAGGCCGAGGAAAGTCAGACCCGTCTCCGCCTCTTTTCTGCTCAGCGCAAAGACGTGCTCGGTTGACTCGAGGGTCCTGAACGCGAGAGCTATGACTCTGTAACCTTGTTCGGTGTACTGCTTCAGTTTTACGCGAATATCGCCGGGAACGCTTGTCGCGTTACAAAGCGTCACTATCACTTCCGGCGACCCCTTGCAGAACACTTCGAGGTGGGGATTTGTCGGCGACTTGGCAACCACGCTCATCCTTTGTAGCGCAGACGAGAACTGGAACTGTTTCACCACCGCTACTTCTTGATGTTCCTGAAACGTATCTTGATAAGTGACATTCTCACCTAACCATAGTTTTTCAAAAATAATTAAAGACAAAAGTTGTTTAGATTCATTTATATCTTTGAAATATTGTTTTATTATGTATGTTTGGATGTTAGTGGACAAACAAGGTTTTTCTTATTTTAAATACAACACCCTGTATACCAAGGCATTTTTGAATTCCTCGAAATGTTCTAAACATATTTCATATACAACCCTATACATAAGTTGTACTGCTTCTGACACATTATGTCAAAAGATGTGTTTGCCAGTCTATAGAGAGAGGTTACTGATACTATCGATTTCTCCTATTGAACGGCTTTCTTACCCAGGGTGTCCGAAAAAAAAAACGTTTAAATAAATTAAGAGGTTCTACATTCAAAAATAAAAAAAATTGTTCTTATAAACTTGACATCGAAATTGAACAGTTTTCATGATACAGGGTGTCAAACTTGAGATTTTATTAAATATGTTGAATATCCCTTCACCAGCTAAAATTGATTTTTTTATTAAAACTTTTAATAAAGGTTTCCCAGGTACCTTGAAATGTGGCAGTGTTTTTTCCCGAAAACGAGTTAAATTCTGCAAAAAATTTCTTATTTTTAAAAACTGTAGTAATTTCCTTGTAGAAGAAGGTATATTTTAGTGGTTTGTGTCGATATTTTAAAAATAAATAAATACAGTGCGGTTAAAAAATTAAAATTTTTTCCAAATAAAAGTGTGGAACTGGTGGACGGGTTAAATTCCTACCAACAAGTGTCTCAGGTTTTTGGTTTTTGGAAAAATTCTAAGCAGTTATCAATTTACTATCTGTTGGACAATTTTAAGTAAACTTTATAAACCTTGCCCGTTAAATAAGTGATTAACAGAAAACTTATTTAAATACGTTTAATTTTTAAGAATTTTGTGAAAAATATTATGACACTTGTTCAAAAATATCCAGAAATACAAAAAAGACAAGAAACTGTTAAATGAATTATAGAAAAAAAATCTGGATGGCGAACGTCGAAAAGGAAATTTGATACCGTAATTTCCTAGAGCCAATTGGTCTTTTATGTTTGATAAATAATATGATATATATAAAATAACAATATCAATAGAATAACAATGAAAATAAAAAATAAGTGAGTTAGGTTGGACGAAATTGTTACGCAATAATTTCCAAACAGTTAGTGACGTTCCTCGATGCTCGATTGTTTTTTTTTGCCAACTCATGGCAAAACACAGAAGCAAAACAGAAAGTCACCATTTTTTAAATGTTAAATACAAAAAAAATATATGGTTTCATCTTCAAAAAAAACTTTTAACTTTTATTTAACTTAATTTTTTAAAGTTTTGATTAGTTTTGATTAAAGGTTATGACCACCCTGTATTTATTTATTTCTTAAATATGTCGAGGTATTCAAAACAAGAAAGTTGCAAATTGTCACTTGCCCTATACACCTTTTGAAAAAAAAAATGCGCCTTCTACCAGGAAAATTCAGAAACAATTTTCTGTCTAGTCACATGCTTGAGTGTTTGTACGACCCCCGACAACGACAGTTTCCAGATTTTCTTACCCCCAAATTAGGATTCTGCGACATCATCACGACTAGTGGTGTGAATGAATCGTATTTAATTTCACCTGTGTGGTTATCAATGAAGGTCCAGCCAGTTGATTCGAACATCTGGAATGAAAGCCAGTTCATTTAAATTAATTTTAATAAGCAGGTGTTATTCTATTATTTAAAATAATTAAAATATACAAGAATATTGTTTACGTTGAATTAAAATAATCTAGTAGGAAGGACAAATTTTGATTTTTATGCTACGCTTCGTAGGAGATTTTCAAAATTTTACTATTTTCCTAATACAGTATATAATAAATATTCATGCGTAACTCATAAATATGGCAACAGCTTCCTCCATCTTTCTCACCTTCACATCCAGTGGATCTCCGCAGGTTTGGCCGTTGATTCTGGAAAGTGAATGACAAGCCGCCATTCCGCGCAGAAAGTTCAACGAAGTCGTTACTGTGCGCATATCTTTAATGGGGGCGTCGAATTCGCCTTCTCTTACGGGCACCACTGACCACATGTCTAAATTGTCTTCGGTTAAAGTGCCTGTCTAAAACAACAACTCTCTTTATTCATTTTAATTTATTAGCGTTCCAGGGGCTTTTGAGTATACCAAATTAAATAAATATCTAGCTTTTTCTCGTCATTCTATATGGACCACGGGATGAACCATTTTATTTATTTACAGACTCTCCAACATTCAGACACACAGATCACAGGATAGCGCATAAATATTAATAAATGGAAGAACTGGAGGAATTAAGAATCTTTTCTATAGAAAAAGTTAGAAAAAAAGTCTGGTATGCGCTTTATAGCGAAAGACAAGAAATTTCAATTTGTTATTTTCACACGAATATTAGTGATTTTATTTTATCTAAAATTGAAGTTTCTCAAAAAGCTTTTTTTGATTATTTCGATTACTATCTATCGATCGAATTCCATTCATTTGAGTGGTATTGATCTGATGACGTTTTAGTGGAACGAAATACAAAACCCAGATTTTTCATTTTACAGTATTCTGCACATGTACTTCAAATGTTGACTTGAAGTTCAGAGTGATATTAAATTTTTTTTCTACTCCCGAGAATCCGAGCCACTTCGGATATTTCCGGGATTTTACCGCTCGGATTTGGTAGCAATCGAATGAAAGATATTTCCTAAGCATTGAATTTTGACGTTTGTCGTTTCTGACGGTCATGTCAGTGAATGTATTGGTGTTGTTTTGTGAAAATGTACCCAAAGACTGACAGTCGTAGAAAAAGTATAGTATGCAACACGTTCGGTAACGTTTTTAACTCACTCATTTATTAAAAACTCGCTCTGCTGCGCTCCGCTCGTGTCAAATAAACTCGTGACTCAAATGACGTTTACCACACTTGTTGCATAATATACTAAAGTCACTTGTTTATTAAACACTCGCTCCGCTCGTGTCAAATAAACTCGTCAGTTGAATGCCGTTTATCGCACTTGTTGCATAATATACTTTTTTTCTACTCCCGTCTGTAAAATACCTAATTACACACCGATCTAGCGTGCGGGAAGCATCACTTTGCCACGTCAGTTTCGTTTCCCACGGATCCGAGCCACTTCGGACATTTCCGGGATTTTACCGCACGGGTTCGGGAGCAATCGGATGTTTTCGGAGATATTTCCCACGCTTTGAATTTTGAAGTTTGTCATTTCTGACGGTCATGTCAGTGAATATATTCGTATTGTTTTGCGAAAGTGTACCCAAAAAGTAACGGCCGTAGAAAAAGTATAGTATGCAACACATTCGGTAAACTTTTTAAGTCGCTCTTTGATTAAACACTCGCTCCGCTCGTGTCAAATAAACTCGTGAGACAAATGCCGTTTACCGCACTTGTTGCATAATATACTATAAGCGGAACACATTTTTTGAAGTTCTTTCTTATTTTCATTTATCAAGATTAAAAAAAAAGTCGGTGATTTGAATTTATGAACCTATCGAGATCGTTCTGATGCTCCAAAATATCCGATTCAGAAGTGCCAATATAAAATATAAAAATATTAAAAAGTAACGACCCTAAGTGTGGCCGTTGATGGACTATAGACTGAGTAGGTTGCCGTACACATTGAAACTTTCTAAAAGTTTTAGAACGTCGTTAGAAAATATGCACTATCGTTGAGCAATTTTACTTTGGAAAAAAAAAAATGCTGCCAACCTTATCGAAACAAATGCAATCCACCGAGCCGGAAACATTGATGACCCGCGAGTTGATGCAAAAAATCTTGTTGTTCTTCAAACGGTTCAAAGCGTAGAGCTTTCCCACTGTCATAGCCGCTGGTAAAGCCGGTGGTATCACTATGGTAATGATGTCTAGGGCCTTGATCGCGATCTCCAACGGTGCTATATTTCTCGATATCTGAAACGGTAGACGTGGATTACCAAATCTACCAAATCGGACATCGGTTCCACCTTGGACACGACCGTGTATAGGAAACCTAAAGCCGCGATGCAGGATAAGATCCCTATGTATTTGTAGCTGTCCTGGTCGAATTTGAAATCGGCCGGTGGCGGGTACAAAATACTTCGCACCAGCTCGCCTTTGGTGGTCAGGTATCCCGTTCGGATCACCACCGCGGTCACCGCCTCGTTATCTGCAAAAGATTGCTTGAGAAATGTTTGGTATTTATGGAAACGGCTGGTGTGATGTGATACCCTGACATCTCGTCTGGATAACTTTGGTCCCGCAAAACAAAGTGTGATTCACGTCTTCTTTGACGTTGTAAAGGGTGTCGTCGTTGTGAACTGGCGACTTGGCTACGGGCACCGACTCACCTGTAAGCGCAATAAAGGCAGTAAGAGTAAGTCCCGCATATCCTAGATAGAATATTAATCTCAATTTATTTTTGATTAAAGTCAACATTTAACAAGAGGAAACAATTGGCAACTTGTAGCACGCAAACTCTTGCAATGCAAGAATCCATTTATATAAACCAAAACTTTTTTTTACTGCAATTGTTTGGGCCACAAGTCTCAAGAAACTTTTGGAGTCAGTTGAGCGCTTTATAAGAATTTTCCAAGAACGAGTTTAACTTTAAATTCGCTCCTCATATATCAACATAAGGTAGAGTTCTCCAAATCATATACCTTTGTTTACAACGTTTTATGGCTTTGACTTCGGAATTAGTTTGTAAAATGGAACGGATCACTGAATTTTTAATCCAATAGATTTAATGATATGGGAACTGAAACCCAGTTTGAGAAGAAACAACACCGGCAGAAAAGTGAAATAGAAAAAACATCTGCTTCTAGTTAGAAAAAATGTGTAGTGCACCTCATCGAAGAAGAACATGTTTACAGAAGTCGACTAGTGTCAGGATCAATTATTAATGTCCAGTGACGATAGTGATTATTTTGATATAGAATAACTTTTTTTATAAATATTCTAACATTTACTCCTTCATTTATATTTATAATAAACATTTTAAAGTATGAATGGATTTTTTCACTGCATGGAGTAATAATAATCGAGGAATTTCACTTATGAGACTATCCAGAAATCCGTCAGCTTTCAGCGTTTGTATGCACGAAATACCGAAGTACGGTTCTGGAATCTATTTATTGAGGTTTACGAAGAGGAATCAAAGCGGGGTAGGCCTGCGGTTAGACATTCATAAAAATTTACCAAAGTGAAAACCGTATATTGTTTGGAGAACTCCACGAACCATCGCAATAGTAACTCTACATCAGTGAAATTATTGATAACTTTACAGATATACAGCCTGGTTTTCTCTCTATGCACCCTACTGACACAAATCTTCTTACCAAGAGACACTGTTCGGTGCATTTGAGAATAATATTCAGGTGAATATTATATATACGAATTTTACAGACAGAGTTGACAGAGTTCGCCGTAAGTTATTGCCATTTAAGTTAAAAGTTTCTAAATGGGCTGCATTGTTCTTTTTGGAGGCGAAAGCAAAAGGTGAGATGAACGGTCTGACTTTCACGTTCTTTCAGGTGTACGTTTTTTGGTATTTGCAAGTGATTTCCAAACTTTTAGATAGATTGGTATTAAATGCTTTGAATTAAAATATAAAAAATGGCTCTGTGTAAGTTTCTCTAGGAAATATTATGATTATTCATTGGATTGATTGTAATGTAATTAATAAGTCAGATAAAGACTAGAATAATAAAAAAACAAAATACTGAGAAAACATGGGGCTATGCATGGAATTAGACAGACACCAAATAGTGTTAACGGACATTCGCAAAGAATGTGATAAAACTGATTTTTCTTTATTAAAACTTATATTTAAAAAAAAGATGATTTAATCCACAATTAAAAAGAGTATATTCAAATCGAGTCCCAAATTTTGATGCGAAGTGAAGTTTGTAGAAACTTAAGAAATATCACAATTTAGAATAGGGTATGTAAATATCATTCGATAGAGGACTAAGTTTGCTGCTTGATAGCGCTAAGAGTTACAGGCTGTCCCATAAAAAAAGTCTCAATATTAAAGTTACGACTGTTTTTTTAAGGCACTCGTTATGATGGTCAGCTTTAAAAATGACAACTGTCAACCACAGTATTCTGTAGTTGTATATTGAAAAAAAATTGTTTTATATATTTTACAGCTATTTCCGCCCAATAAACTATTTGTAATAACCCTGTATAGTAGGACTATTATATTTATTATTATACACTCCAGTCACAATTATTTTTATAATTATAAGGATTTATTTTTAAATACTCTTACTTACTTTTGCTGTTATAAAGAAAATTAATAGCAGAAATTAGTGAAACTATACTGGAAGTATTAAAAGATGTAATTCCAGTACAAGATGTAGTTCAAGTACTAGAACATAAGAAATTCACGTAATATTTAATGACCCAATAATGAATCCCCTCATAACGTTTGAGGTCGCATGAAGTTGGCTATGTTTGTTGGCATGTTTCCTCTTGTGAAACGGCCAGCTTAACACTACACAATGCACAGTATAGTTTTCTTTATAGACAATATGAAATTGCATTTCTCTCAACTACTTACCGGTAAGCATGCTCTCGTTGACGATACACCCTCCAGAAAGCAGAACAGCGTCGCAGTGCACGTCGCATCCGAACTTTGGGATGACGATGACATCTCCAGGTACCAGTTCTGATGTGGAAACCTCGTCGTGCACCCCAGGGGCTCTACAGATCGTAGCTCTGTCGGAACGGTTCACCGTCCCTTTCAAATTTTTCTGATTCTACGAGGAAATATATTTCAACGAAAGGCCTAAACGGCATCGAAGGCTCTACCTTTCTGGTTTGAATCACCGACGTGGCTATGCCGAAGACTGACATGACGATCAAAGCCACCGTGTAGTAGTAGTAGCTTTCTGATAGCCAAACGATCAAACTGAACAACTGGAATATATAGAAGGGAGTTAGGGCTTCCAACAGTAACAGTGTCGAAACCGTTTGAACTGGCACGTTTATTTCGTTATCCCCGTAGACGATTTTCCTGAAAATTTCCTTTACCGATTCGGCTAACCAACGCGAACATCGTAAATATTACTTTCTGAGTTGTTCGTCTTTGGTTTGACCTCCGAAGTCGTGAAGATTCGACCTGGTTATCCCGTTTTCTAACCCTGCCAGTTTCGCGAATCGTTGCATCTCGTCGTCCCAAATGTAACTAAGTTTCTTACATCTAATAATACGTATCTGGTATAGTTCTGGAATGTGATAGAGTTGAAAGGGAAACTGCCGTTCTAACTCGTTTAAGTTACCTTTGGTTCGACCATCCGCCAGGCGAAATTTCAACAACTTTTGAACGCTTTTCTCGCCGCTATCGGTCGAGGTTTCGCTAAACAAATTCGTGGTCAATGACATTCAAAAACTTTGTTTTAAACGTACCTTCTTAATACTTTGACGGTTTTGACGAAGTAAGTTTTCGCTTTGCCTTGGTATTTATCCTGAAATTGGGTTGAAAACAACGCAATAACGATACAAACTATCTATGCCGTTCGCACTGAGGATAATGTAAGTAAATGAGGATAAGGATTATTAATTTTTTTTACAAAACTTCTGGATTTTTCCTGCGTCGGTTTTTGCTTAGTCGAAATTGCTGACGTTTCGCCAATCATCCTGTTGGATTCTTCAGAGCTTGACAGAAACAGTTTTGCTAATCATCCTGTTGGCTTCTTCAGAGCTTGACTGAAACTGTTTCAGTCAAGCTCTGAAGAAGCCAACAGGATGATTGGCGAAACGTCAGCAATTTCGACTAAGCAAAAACCGACGCAGGAGGAATCCAGAAGTTTTGGAAAAAGCATTACAGTAGCCTGTGGAAGTTTCTTTGCAAAAGAAAGGATAATTAATTACTTATGGAGAACTGCCATCTGGTGCTAGTTGTCTCAGATCTCTAATCCGCGCTAATATGTTGTAGAATTTTCTTCCTATTATGGAACTATAATAAACGATACAATGGAAAAATATTGTGATCCAGTCTTCTTTAGAAAACTTGGAAATTCATCAGGCTTCAGTCAGTCGAGTATTTGTAATCTTAGCCTATTTATGCTTGACGTTTCAAGAACTCGGATTTAAATTTGTGTTCCTGGGCTTAAGTTTGCCTTTGACGATCAACATCAATGATTAAACTGCATATTGAACGGAACATGCACAATGAATAACCTGCCGTGTTCTAACATAAAGTAGTAAATAATTAAATCCAATCTAAGTTGAGTGATTTAATTTCATTTTCTTGCATATGCTATTTAATAAGTATAAAAAAAATGTACCGTTATTAGAACCTTCTCAGCACTGCTTAACGGAGCTTTGGAGTGAGTCGCCACTAAATGCAGATACGGGTACCAATGAAAAAACAACCTGAGCAATCCCAGCGTTAGGCAGTAGACGGTCACGCAGATCCGCAACCTCAACTTACTGCTAGCGAATCCTTGTATTTCCTGCGAGAACAATTTGTTTTCAAGGTCATTTGGTATGGGGGATGACGAATTGTTACTGTCTACTGACGAAGCCCTTACCATTTGATCCTCTTCACCAAAATTAATGTACTGCGTTTTGCCATTCTTTTTGTTCGTGATAGTTCCGTTGCCTGTTTGAATTACCCTTTCATCTGCAACGATTAATTACTCAGTGTGATACAATACAATTGGAAAATAAAATAAAATAAATAAATAAAAATAATAAAAAACAAATAACATAAAATAAAAGTGCGGATTTTAAAATTTCGGTGCCTTCTTTTTTCTCATATACTCTGTGTTTGTTCATGTCAAAATGGCTGTTAAGCAATCGGTATGAATACAGGGTATTTTCTAATCGAATGTCGCTAATTTGGGGTTGATTTTAAAAAGAAAACTTCATCAACATATGTCCTCAACGTCTAAGTTTTGTGAGACAGGTTGGTAAAGTCTTAAAAAATAAAATGTTTTTTTAAATATTTTTAATACCACTTTAGATATTTTAATGAAATTCGGCACATATGTACTATGTAACAAGAGGCCTTATTTAGCTGACATTGATGGTAGGCCACTGCTTAAAATAAAAATTGTTTGTAGTTTCTCCAATCATTTCAAATAAAATTTAGTTTCTCTTCAATCCGACGTACGGATTTCGTTTAAAAAAATAAAAACCTTGAACTGAGGTGGCTTTTACTTGAGGAAAATCCATTTAACAAAATAAATAAGAACCAAAAGTTCAGATTTTCACGAAATTATATATTTTTACATGACAATTGTTTCGACAACACCGTGTCTTTATCAAATGTAATATTTACAAACTACCTGCTACTATTGTTGTGAGTAATTTAAATCTAATTGATTGTTAAGCAATACATTTGAATGTCTTATTTTGTTAATCTCCATGGTTTCTAATAAATTTAGTTTTCTACTTTTTGTGGCTGTATGTAAAATATCAAAATTGTCGTAAAAATGTGTTTTTCAGTGTTTAAGTGTGTAACATAATTAGAATCTATACTATTGTTTTTAAACGCTCTTTTATGTTCGTTATTGCGTTTTCTTGGAGGATCTACCTCTTTGTCCAATATAAAATTAAGATCCGCATTTCAACCTGTTGACACCTGATTTTCGTTTTATTGTTTTTTAAAAATTTTCCTATTGTGTTTTTAGTTCTGAAACCTATTTTTAAACCACATTTTGACAAATGTTTTGAAACTTCTTCACTGGGATCTCCTATGTGTGTAATTGTTCTAAATTGTTCGTGTTCTGTATTAGGTTTCGGATAAATAGAGTTTGCTGTTGTCTGGATTTGTTTTTTATTTATAATTTTATCTATAATGGACAAATTGTAGCCCTTGTTCAGTGCAATTTCATATTTAGTTCCTTGTTGTAATGTCTCTATATAAAAGAGTGAAATGCAGCCATTTTGTGTGTATAAAGGTGATTTGAGCTGTTATGTATGACTATGTCCATGTGTGAAGGTTTATGATAAATGAAAAAATCTAATTTGTTTTGCTTTTTCATAATAGTTAAGTCTAAAAAATTAATAGAGTTATCCTGGTCAATCTCCATAATGCAATGACAATTGCAATGGCCACTTTATAATAACGATAATAATAATAATATTTATTTTTCAAATCGATCGATCAATCGACAAAGCCCTCAAAAAAAATAAAATAAAATAAAATGACGCATAATCCAACAATGCAAACAGTAATCGATAAACAAGGAAGGAAAAAGACTAACTAAAGTACTCTTCTGCTCCGTACACGCATTTACACACAAGATATTCCTTTAACATTTTTTTTAAATGGAGATAAATTACAACACATTTTTATTTCTTTGGGTAAGAGGTTAAAAAATCGAGCACCACTTAAATTTGCCATTCTATAAGAACTATTAAGAACTCGAAAGTTATCTTTAGATCTTGCATTCACTCAGTAAAAATTACTGTTCAATACAAAACCTGATTTATTTTGACACATATGGACTATTCAATGTTAAAATATTGAATTTTTAAAAATAAGTTTTACAAGAAGTAGATCTGGAATACATGCATCTTATGGCCCTATCAGCCACGAGGGTAATAAAAACTTAATATTTGTGATTCTGTTAAAATATCCTTCAGGATAGGTAATAAATAGATGTTGACTCCCACCCCAGACTACCAAAGAGGAGCAATGAGTTTTAAAATTCATGTGGCTTTTGATTATGATGGAATCTTATAAAAGATGTGTTTAGTGGATTAAGGTATAAGTTATTATCATTAATCAAGAGTTCACCTCACTCAATACCACGTTATATTTGTCTTCCAGACATGAATCACACCTACTCATCATAGATATTTTTTGTAAACGCTGTTTACGCGATGAGGAAAAGTAATGGTCCTAATACAGAGCCCTGAGGGACGCCCATTGTTACCATGGATGACTTTGACCTTATTTCAGTGCATGCACCATCTATTTAATAGATTAGATAAAAATGATTCCACAAATTTCAATTTCAATACCATCGCAAAACATTTTCCATAATATTACGTGATTGTCGTGATCTACACAATCGAATAGCCTGCTGAGGTCACAGAAAACCCCACTCTTCCGGACTCTATAGAATTAACAATGCCCTCCAATGCCCAACAATGCCTCGAAAACTGAACTGGTTCGGGATATCATCACATTCAAAAGAATGTTTGTTTTTAAGCTTTTTAATGAGTGCACTGAATGGCTCCTCTTCAAGAAAAGTCGTTAAAAAGTTAGTATAACAGATCGGCGTTCTAGAAAATCGAGTTATTTTGTTCGTCATTGAACATGTCTGATATAACCCGAGGATCTTCAATGTTCTTTTTATTAAGCTCAAGTTGAATATTATTCACATTTCTCTTTTTGCTGGTAACAGTTTTTCTTTCTATCTCTTACTAGACTGTTATGCACGGTTTTAGCAAACACATACCTGTCTCGTAAATTTTCATATATTTTCTGTGGTTGAAACATATATCTAAGTCCCCTACTTGATTTTTTTGAATCATAACATATCTACGATTTTTTATTGTTACAATTTGACAAAAACAACGTGTAAAAATAGTCAAACGCACAATCAAGGCTACACACACGACACATATTTCGCATGTTTCATGAAGCAGTGCTTGTTCAAGAAACCTTATGGCCTTCTCCGAGATATTAATATTATAATTATATTATATTAATAGATAACATATCTATGCCATTTTGAAATGCAGAGCTTCTTGAACACAAAATTGATCTGTGGTATGATATTGTATTGTCAATAACAAAGGTATGGCATAAAAAAATTGGATAATACGTGATCAATTATCACATCACATCACTAGTTAATGTGATTCTTGTTCTCTATTGAACTCTACTTGCTAAACCAAAATAGGAATATATTTTATTAATTTCCCTGTACTTTGTGGATTATACTTGAAGTCACCACATAATATAACTTTCCTATTTGATTTATATACGAAATTGAGCACACCAGTAATTGATTATAAACAGAGTTTACCACTAGGAGAATGATAAATTAAAAATAATACCCAGCTTTCCTTGCTATCATTTTTTTTAGACCTGACACAGCACAAACTTCAAAATCTTTGCAACCGAAAACCAGCCCAAAGGAAGATTCTCTATGGCTAATCCTGTTTTGACTCTTATTGCACATCCACCCCAATTATATTCAGTACGGGCAGCTACTAACCACCAAGTCGAACCCTTCAAAAACAAACTGATTTAATTTTTCTTTTTCTACTCTAGAGAGCTTAAAACGTCATTTTCTGATCATACTGATTTTTTATCCACACATTCTCTAGGATATCTTCGCATATATTCCAGATTTTATTGTTGTAAAAATTACTACAAATTAAAAACAAAAATAGATATTATTCTCTTTACGTGGACATTATTAAGTATACATTTTTTTTTTCATGGCGACGGAATAAATACCACCGCAATTTAAGCCTTATCATTTTACGGCTTTTGTGTCGATCTGGTTTTTACGAGCAATTTGCTTCGTGAAGGAAACGAGTTTAGAACAATTATTAGATTATTACATCGAAATTTTATGGGACGGTAATATCTAGTCGTGAGTCGGGTAGAATTTGATCATGTGGCCTCGATTATGTTGTACAATGGATAAAAAAAAACATCAAACGATCCGTATCCCATCGCTGGTGTCGCTAATGGAGGGGAGCCCACCATATAATGATGTCCTTGCACTTGCTTTAAAATCTCCCGTCTGATTGTTTTGTGACGTAACGCTGTTCCTGTGCCGCAAATTGGCGAATTAGTTCTGCGGGACGTCGAGACTGGTACCTTTTATTACGGGGGTCTGCTCCACTGACCCACATCGTAAAATAGATTATTTCAATTTCAAAGGTTTTCCGATTTATTATTTCACCTCGACAACTACTAGAGATGACCAAGTGCTCTGCGTAGGTATGAGTAACCATTTTCCATGTTTTTGGAGAAAAAAGTTGTACGCATGGTTATTTCAAAATTTGGTACTCTTTTACGATGCCAATATAAAAAAAAAACACTTTTCTTGGCAATTATTGATGTCCAAATAGGTCCCTGAGATAATTACCAATAAAATTAATATTTGTACGACATTGATTTATATTAAGTTTGCAAAAGTTATTCCAAATTTTATAGTTATGGTTAAAAATATAGAAATTAATATATTATGAATTTATTATTGCTTAATAAATGAAAACTACGTAAGTTTTCAGATATTTTTTTCTTACTGGAATAACAAATTCTAATTAACTACAGAAAATCCCAGTACAAGGGTTTATGTTTATTGATAAGAAAATAATGACCATGGTATCATGTTTTTAAACTACTTCTACCTACTAATTTGGAGAGAACACTATTGTTTTTTCGTTACCTTTTTAAATAATTTAATTATAGTGTAAAGGTCGATAAGATCCATTTTTTTAAATACAAGAAGGTTCTTTAATTAGTTCGTAGTAGTAGTGAAAAAACTAACTAGTTCAGCAAGTATAACTGATAATAGTTTGACTATATTGTATCTACCGAAAAAAATTGTTACCTAAAGGACCACCAAAATCAGCGATCCCATTTTCACCAAAGATTTTGCTGGAAAAAGAATGATGCTGATCAGCGTCCAAGTTCAGAGGGATTCAATGAAATGATTAGACCCCAATAGGGAGAAAATAGATGCAAATTAAGACAAACAAAAGTTTATGCCAGAAAAGGAAAGTAGTTGAAGTAGAAACGGTGAAAAATGACAACATAGCCAGTGAATTTAATAAATATTTAGATAATGATTAAACCAACTGTTAAATCTGAATATTTGATTCTAAATGAAGATGCTGAAATATCACAGCTTCAGAGGATTTATGAGGTTTGAACGCGTTTGGAGAAAGATTAGGGGAATGAAGCAAATATTTCATGAACCTGGCATTTTCACAATGCATCATTTTTTAGGGGGTATTTGTTAGAGAAATGGAAATCATCTTTGGTGGTACCGGTGCCGAAAGTACTACGCAGAATTCGAGCTAAGCGATATTGTGCTGAAAATAATTATCTTTTCAAGTCAATCGGGATTTGCAGCGGGACAGACACTCTTGCGAGACTGTGGTGTGTGTTGGTGGCAATAGATTTGTTTTAACTATGTTTTTAGATTTTAGAGGAGCTTAGTGCATTACAATTCTAATACATAAATTAGAAAATATCGATATATAGCACTTGGTCCTGGATTGGTTGAAATCCCTCTAATCTGGAAGAACGCAAAAAGATAGAATGAGTCAGCTGTGTCTGAATCTTGATGAACCCCAGGGTATAGAAGTGACATAGTTAAAGCTGATAAAAAAACAGTAAAATTGCACTGTTTGCTGGCCATACAATGCTCTTGATGAGAATATAGAACGAGTGAAGCAAGATATCAATGATGATTTCAGTGAGTGTTTGGATGCCTGTGTAATTAAATCAGTATGCCGACATTTTTTGTTTTTTTGTAGTTATTCTTTTGTTTATAAAACAAAAAACATAGACTAAATTCTTTTGATATAGAAAATTTTAATTACAATATCATATTATTAGATCCTTTATATCTAGAGTACTCAAACAATTTGACAACTTAGACAACTATAGACTAACTCTAGCGAAATTTCCAGGGAGTGCTAAACAGAGCAATGCGAGTATTATTATTATTATTATAAAGGTTTCTTAGAGTTTAATCGGGTTCCAAAAAGTATTAAGGAATTTAATAATTTAAATGAATTTCCAAAATTGTTTTATAATAATTGGCTGTCATTAACCTTATTTTTTGGACGTTAATTTAATGTCATTCACGTTTTGTTGCCAAGTGGTTCGTATGTGTATGCATTTAAATTGTAAATTTTACGGTTTTTTCTTGTAGTTCTTTTAATTATTATTATTATACAAAATTTAAATGACAGAGGGAAAAAGAAACTAAGGAAAATTTTTAGGTGATAGGAATTTAAGAATTTAAATGAATTTCCAATATTGTTTTATAATAATTGTCTGTCATTAACCTTATTCTTTGGACGTCAATTTAATGTCATTCACGTTTTGAAGGCAAGTGGTTCGTATGTGTATGTAGTTTTTGTTATTATTATTATTATCATACAAAATTCAAATGACAGAGGGAAAAAGAAACTAAGGAAAATTTAGGTGACTAAATTTTCGGAGTTTATAGTAATTGTAAATTTTAATGCATAGTAATTACAACGTTGTTACTCATAATAAATATAAACATATAAACCTGGTGGTTATATTTTATCTAGTGCCAATTATAGGCGAGCCTTGATCAACATCACCCGGAAGTAGACATTTCGGTTTTTCTAATGGCGGTTGCACATCACAGCAATTATTGCGCATTAACAAATATAATATTAACAATTTAAAATGAGGGAGATTAGTTTTTTTCATTTGGAAATTTTCAAACACAATGCCGATTATTTACCCAGTACGTAGCGGTCGGATCGCGTAGTTTGACCACCGCGCGTTTGACGCCAGCGACCCATAAGGGTTCCTCAGGGTTCTCCAGCTTCGCACACCAATTTCCTAAACACTCAAAACATAAACATTCGAACGGACGCGTCGAGTTTGATCTCCCAATTTTGCTGACCAACCGTCCCGTACTATCTGAGTGTTGCTTGACCCCTTAACATGTCGTTTCGCTCTTATCAATTTTTCTTTCATATTTTGTTAGAAAACGCGGTAAACAGTATCAGCTGAACGGTTACTCCTAGTTTATTTATTGGTCGCAGCTAGAAAAGCCCAGATTATTTGCGGGAGTGATTTTAAGAGGAAGATTTTCTATTTATAATCTCTGGTAATTATAGCGATTTCTCTTAGTTTAGTTTATTGAGAAAGGGTGAGAGATACGACATGCCCCACATTAATTATCAGAAAAAGTGTTAATTGTTTTATTTTTCTTCGTTTTATTCACTACAATAACAGTAATAATGGTTTTAATAAAAAGTTCTACATTTACATCCCCTTTTTAATAAAATTATCAAAAATTTTCTCGTTATATTATCTTACTGAAAATATTTTGTATATTTATTTTCGAGTAAACGAAAAACAAAAGATTTTTTGATGTATTATACCTTGCATCTCGAGAATTTAGACGTTTAGAACCTTCTTCACAGGAAGTTTTTTCATGAAAATCCACCCCGAAAACACCCTTTAAATATTAGGCTTCAATTAGAAAACACCATATGTAATATATTGAACTTAGGCGACGTGTATGGCGATGTAAATATTTTTTGTTGTTTAGTTTTGGTTAGTTTACTTTTTTAATATATTATGACTATTATTATTATTATTTAATATGGTGTGTAATGCTTAAATACTTTTAAAATATTACTTTACTTGCTATTTTCGTGGATAAGTAACAACCTTCTTAGGAAAATTCTGGACGTGTTTTGTATGTAATACCTTATTTCGAATGTTATCTCAAAGGTGCCATTTGCAAGTATATATACGTATCGATTTCTCGGCCTGAAAACCTTTTTTATGTGTTTGAGGCTGATTTCCTTATAGAAGGGGATCTACTATAGTATGTGTTGATGTTTTAAAAATAACAAATACACATCAACCATTAAAAAATTAATTAATTAATTTTGCGTTGCATTTGAATTTCAAAAAGTTCTAGACTTCGAAATATTAGCAAATAAAACCTTTCTTCATGGCAACAAAATCAAGCACTACAGAACCGTTTCGGGTTGCTGTGGGTTTTGAAATCAATAAAGTTTTGTGCCACCTAACTTAGACATTTTTTATTGTTATGGCTATCTTAATATAAACAAAATGATCGCAAGAGTTTTCTGTAAAACAAGAACACAGTAAATAAGAACATTTTTTGCGACATTAGCCAAAAAATATGAAAATGAATTTTTTTATTAGAATATTATATATTTTATTATAATTATTATATATTATATTATAATTATTATATATGCTTTTTGTATAATAAAGCCTTTTTAACGGTACTAATATTTTTATTAATTTAAAACAGTTTTTTTTGTAGATTTATAATTAAAAATTTAAAAACGTTTTGTTATTAACTTAATTACCAGGAATGATTTTTAAGATTTGTAAAGAATTATCAAATCACATTAAATATTAAATACCGTTTTACAATGGTAGAACGTTGTATTGCTAATATATCGAAATGTTCAACTTTTTCAAATAGGAAACTTTATAAAAAGTCACTTTAAGTTATATAAATAATAAATATGATAAAATTAGGCCCGCGATAAATATTTAGACAACTGAAGAACGTATTGTCATCAAATTTTTTGGTTGCCCCTTTGAGAGATTGTAGTATACATTTTAAAAATATTTCCACATTAACAGTGTTGTCAGATCTACTTAAAATCCTAACCACTAAGAAATTTTGAAGTCCACCACCCCGAAGATTATAAATTATTTCATCTACGATCTTGAAGTCTTTGAAAGAAAAACTCTGATAGACGAGGTTTTCAAACAAATAACTTTTGTCTTAACTAAAAAAAATTCCTAAGTCGGTACATTAGGGGCCGGTTAAATAATTGTACACAAAAAAACATCAATTGCATACAGTAGATTTGAAGACATACAAAAAAAACAATTGTGTCAGAGTTGCCATAGTTGGATAAACAAAAATTATTGTGTACGTCTATATATTAAGCCGTTTCACACTTAAATAAAAGTATAAATAGTATATTATGCAACAATAATAAATGAATAAGTATAAAAAGTTTACTGAACGTGTTGCATACTATACTTTTTCTACGACCGTTAGTTTTTGGGTACATTTTCGCAAAACAACACGAATACATTCACTGACATGACCGCCCGAATTGACAAATGTCAAAATTGAAAGCGTGGGAAATATCTCCGAAAACATCCGATTGCTCCCAAATCCGTGCGGTAAAATCCCGGAAATGTCCGAAGTGGCTCGAATTCATGGGAAACGATACTGACGTGGTAAAGTGATGCTTCCCGCATGCTAGATCGGTGGATAATTAGGTATTTTGCAGACAGGAGTAGAAAAACTATTTAACTCACTCGTTTATTAAACACTCGCTCCGCTCCGGTCCTGTCAAATAAACTCGTGAGTCAAATGCCGTTTACCGCACTTTCCGGAAAATATACTATTATTTGCTTGGTGCTTTAAATCATTGTCTTCAAAACGGTTCGTTAAGGGTGGGTAGGTTATACGTCAACCGTTTGACGTTTGTATTGATATGCAATATAACAATTATCAAACTTTACCTTATTAATGAGCGACATTTTGCTAACGCATAATTTGGCGCCGTATCTTCATTTTCACCTTTTGTTTTCAAAATTAAACATAAAAGTCGCATTGCTTAAATATCTTATGACATCAAACCATTCTTTTAATAGCCCATTAAATTAAATTTAATATTTTTCGTGAACTGCATGCCGGCGTTAGTGTAACCCGCCACGAATGAGCCCTATATTAACCCAAACCATCTTGTAAACTGTGGAGTACTCACCACCCTTCGAATTGTTGTTGCCGATCATACCCAAGAATGCGAGTCGACGGTAGTGTCAAGTGGGAACGCGTCTTCACGATCCTCGAACGGATGTTAAGTAATGAAGCCGGTTTTGGTGTGCAGACTTTCGTTTTCCGAAATTCAAAATGGTACCCGCGACTGGTTCGTTCGAACGACTAGCTTTGCAGCCAAATCTAAATAGTTCAACGCAAATGTTTAAACAAACAGGCACGCGGTTTTGAGCTGCGGACTCGTTCGCGGCGCATATACCGCGTGTTCTCGCTACAATATAGGGAACTTGAACAAAATTTTAATTTGAAAAATATTGCTTATAAAAGTTTATACTCTTACAAGAAGAACCACAGTTCACAAAAAAAATAATTTCGTAGTTCTATATCACAAATATAAACAATTAAAAATTGTAAAATTTAAATTCTCTTTGAAACGCGCTGTCATTGGCTGTGACCGGTTGTGACGTCAATTCGCTCGTAAGACTACGCGCCAACCGGACGGTAGCATAGAAAAGCTATTAGAGAACGACAACGCGTTCGTTTTGGTGTTTTTAATTTTAATTTTAGACTTGATCCTGTCGCTTGCTTTTGTTATCTTGTGTTTAGTATTAAAAAGAAAGATTTTAAAATGACCGAAGCCGATTTTTTAAAAGGCCACTCTGATAATTTACCTTTAGTAACTATGTTTACGGTGACATCTTACATATAAAACACCGAAAGATTTTCTTTTGCTGTCATAGAAAAGTTAGCCACCAATTTTAAATCAATGTAATATTGTAATCAGCTTAAAGTTTTCCAGTTTTTAAAATTCAAATTGTATATCAAATATAATGAAAATTATTTAACAAAAAAAAGGATCTTTTTTTTAACTGGTGGAAACATAAATACTGATTTTAAAGTATATTGACATTGATTACTTAAAGTGTTCTTTATTTTAAATAGAGCAGCAGGTTAAGAATAAAGTATCACCTGAACATAATGTTAACAAAAAACGACGGCTTTTATTTTCCGGTAGATGAATAAAAAGTTTATCTGGTATTTTACAGATTGTACTCAAACACGATAGCACGATTTGTGTTGCTTCCATTATTATCATGTAAACTACACTAAGCACAAATACAAACTTGCGTAGATTAAATTAAACCCCATTTTTAAGCGAGCCAAAACTAAACGTAAAAAAAATAATTCTCGGCCTGTAACATGAGGATTACACTATAACAGGTCGCTATATCGATCGAAAAGCAGCGGTATGACGTCACGATCATATTCGCGCGTTTGGCGTCGTTTAAAAGGAATAGCCTGGTGTTACAACTGTATTTGTCTTATTATTTATTGCTGCTCAAATACTGGGTTTTGTTCAAGTTCAAGTGGTAATCCACCTGGAAAGGTTAGGTACTTTCTAGACTTCGTCGGTCAAGAATTTTAAATTTGTGAAATTGTTAAATTCCCTGTGAAAGAATTTGGTTATATTGGATGTAGATCACTAGTATATACTGCTATTTTCGTGCCAAACGATAATTATAAAAGCATATTCGTGGCGAACATTTGTCAATACTGTTCGTTAAGATACCTCCCAGGCGGCACTGGACTACACAATTTTTATCTAATTAAAGCAACGCAAATCGGGCAAAAAATATTTAGTATATTGTAAGCCTAGCAGTCTAGGCAGCTTTCGTTTTCCATAAGTTTTAATAAATATCATCACATATCTTAACACATTATAACAAATTAGAACAATTTAGATTTGAAATGTCCAATTTTCGATGACTTTTTCCAACATTTGTGGCCGTATATCGGCGATAACACGGCGAATGTTGTCTTCCAAATGGTCAAGCATTTGTGGCTTATCCGCATAGACCAATCACTTTACATAGCCCCACAGAGAGTAATCTAGCGGTGTTAAATCACAAGATCTTGGAGGCCAATTCACAGGTCCAAAACGTGAAATTAGGCGGTCATCAAACGTGTCTTCCTGTGACATGTTGCGCCGTCTTGTTGAAACCACATCTCCTGGACATCATGGTTATTCAATTCAGGAATGAAAGAGTTAGTAATCATAGCTCTATACCGATCACCTTTGACTGTAACGTTCTGGCCATCATCGTTTTTGAAGAAGTACGGACCAATGATTCCACCAGCCCATAAAGCGCACCAAACAGTCAGTTTTTCTGGATGTAACGGTGTTTCGACATACACTTGAGGATTCGCTTCGCTCCAAATGCGGCAGTTTTGTTTGTTGACGTAGCCATTCAACCAGAAGTGCGCTTCATCGCTAAACAAAATTCGCCTATGAAAATCGAGAACAACGGCAATCTCGTTTTGGGCCCATTCGACGAATCTACGCCTTACTTGATGAGCGTTTGGCTTCAATTCTTTCACGAGTTGGATTTCGTAAGCATGTAAACCAAGATCCTTCCGCAAAATCTTCCATAAAGTGGATGGACACAGATCCAATTCCTGTGATCGATGGAGGATGAACTCATTCGGGTGTTCCTCAATGCTTAGCTTCTTCTGTACGCACCGTACGGCGTGTCTGCGGATGCGAGTTATCATAAGAGTAACCGTGGTGCGAAAACGTTCCATGGTTAATCGAATTAATTGCTCTGATGGACGATTTTGTCCACGATAAAATGGACGTAGTGCGCGATACGTATTCCGCATAGAACCATTATTTTCGAAATAAAATTGTACTATTTGCAAGCGTTGTTCAGGCGGAATCTATTCATGATGAATTGCCAAACCAAACTGAGAATAAATCACTTGACAGCTGTTAAATCGGTCGCCATCTTGAACAGTAATGCCAACTTAAAGTTCTATACGTCGAAAAAAACACTCATTATTTATAAAGCAAAATCAGTTCATGTAATATGCAATTGATATGAAGGCTTTACTTGCCCAAAAGTAGAAACTTTCTTTTGCCACACTGCAGCTATATGCAACAGAAGACTTTAACACCAGAATTCATTTTATTTTCAATTAATTAATTAATTTTCTTTAATTAACAGCAACTGTTTACGATTTATTGTGACGTCAGAACTGTAGGCCCCTGAGTTTAATTTAAATATTTTTTGACAAGAAAAATAACTATCAGCAAGTCAGTATGAAATGATTGATGACGTTTTGCATCAAATTTAAAATTCATGCAAGATGTCCGTTATTGAGTCGTGAACCAAACCAAAGCGGAATTTACATCAGAGCAAAACATTTATTCTAGATCACGTTTGATTACCATTTTGTCGGTAATTCACCGCACGTCTTCAATGGCATTTTTTGAACTAGATTTCTCTATCGCTTTATTCAAACACACTTGAAATATAATCATGAAATGCTTTATACGGACATTCGAAAAAAACTGCCTGTCGGTCAGAAAGCAAATTGCGGTTTATTCGGTTAAAATAACATTTACAAATTTTTACCCGAACAATTGTCGAAAATGTTTTATACGGTAAATACATGCACATTTGAGATTTGAAGCATAGTATTGTTTGGTTACCGACTTACTTTGAGTGGTAATTTCGTTAAATATATCCTCGTATCCACTACAAACATACGAGGTGTGTTCAAAAAGTAAAGTGATTTTTGAGTTTTATCAAAAAGTATTTATTTATTTATCAATTTTAATGTTGTCCCCTTGAACCCTCGAAGTACTTCTGGTAAGCACTTTCTGGTATAGCCTTGCGTTCTTCCAGTATTTTTTTCTTTCTCTCCTCAATCGTTCCAAACCTCCATCTTCTCATGGGTTTCTTGAGTTTTGGGAACAGGAAAAAGTCGCGCGAGGCCATATCCGGTGAACATGGTGGCTGAGACATGATTGTGGTTTTCTTTTTCTAGAAAAAGTTAGGCACAAGCAAGAATGAGTGAGGAGGTGCATTATCGCGACACAAAATTTATGAATTCCAAGCGTTTTCTTCGTATTGTTTGTCGACCTTCTGGTAAGAACTCTTGATGTACTACACCACGATAATCAAAGAAAACTGTAAGCAAAAGCATTTAATCGAATTTAACGTGTTTTTTTCGGTCCTGGCGATTCTGGATTCTTCCATTGGGACGAGCTTCGACATCATAACCATATACCAAAATAAATAAGAGCTAGAAGTTCAGATTTTCACGACAATTACATGACAATTGTTTCGACAACACCGTGTCTTTATCAAATCATTTGAAGTGAAATTTCTTCAGCGCTTTCATCAGTTATATTGCGGGGACATCCCGAGCAAGGTTCGTCATCGGCGTCTTTTCGGCGATCTTGGAACAACTTGTTTCTGGTCAAAGTAAATTCACCATCTGCCGTTGTCAACATTTCAAGTGTTTTGCAGCACTCCATTCCATTTTTTACAAACAAAGTTATGCAAATCCATTGTATCATTTTTTTTTACAGCAGAGAATCACCGAGCACACAAAACACGTCTAACGCTTCTGTCTCACAACAAAAAACATAAACCTGCAAAACTGGTTGAAACTATGGACGTATGTTAGAGACGTGTGTATCAACATAACAAAAAAAATATATCGAAAATCGATGTACGTAGCCTGACCAATTACAAAAATCACCTCACTTTTTGAACACACCTCGTACATATGTACATTCCGGTTGACTTTTTTTTATAAGATCAAAGTAAATATTTCGAAAACACGTTCTGAAGTAATATTTTTAATCACTTAAGTGAGAACCGTCAGGCTCCGAAAAGGGGGCAAAAACCGACATTATCGACATTTTATTTCGATTATTTTCCATACAAAAAAGGCAACAGATATCGAAGTTTGCTAATTAAACTGCTTATTACTGTAAACAGACAAAACTAAGAATGCGTAAAAGTGTTGTACAAAATATGTTGCTGTATGGACCGGACGAATCGGACAGCGTGACAGACAAACGGCAGAGATGGATTTTCTTAGAAAAAGCAGTTTCGCGACTGCCAATATTAATAAGATTCCTTTCGAAAAATCGTCACGCGTAGCGCGGACCAGATTTTTATTTAAAAAAAAACAACTTCGGGGTTTTTTGTATTGTTTTTGTATCGTGCTCCTGCGGCCCACTATGGAACTTTCGCAAAATCGCTGTATAAAGTGACTTTCACATCTCGTCGAACTTCTAAGCTACGGCAAACTTCGGTAAATTTTACAATTTGTACTGGTAATAATTGAATTTTTTAGATTCCTTGTCAATAAATGACACACCCTG